GTTTCGTTATTTTGCATTTTTCATTTATTTAATCGATTCAGCGATTCTAGATAGTGATTGTATTTGGAAAAAGGGAGCGCATTGAGGGGGGTAGAGTCAAATTGAAGCGTGAGAATGGCGGGATATCGGATGGCTGTCCACATCAAAATCATTCTTTCCCAATCCCAGCCACACGTTTCTTTCTTTCTTTCTTTCTTACAACCTTCCCAAATTCACCGATTTTCGTTATTTTTGTCGTTTTTTTTTGAAAAAGCATTTTTGGGTTTATTTTCGGGAGCTCTGATCAGCTTTTCTACGTACCAAATCGAATTTGGGCGCGCGGCTGGAAACTGAAAAATCGGATGGCACCCGGGGAAGAGGCTTTTTTTCGGGCTGAGTTGCGTAGTTGTTTTTCGGCGTCTAGAAAATTGAAACACACATGATTTTTGGCTTTCAGATGTCTATGAAAGCAAAAGTATTGTTTTTTCGCAGTTTTTAGGCTTTTAATCTCAAGCGCAGTAGTTAGAGCGTTGGCCTGCCAATTTAGACATCGAGGGTTCGATTCCTGGGGGGCGGCAAAGTTTTGCTTTTTGACTAAAACCTTGTTTTTAGCAAAGTTTTAGGATTTTTTGTGAAGTTTAGAACTTTCTAAAGCGAGATTTTTTGTTTTTCTGCGCCTAGAAAAATTGGAAATACACGACTGTTGTTTATCGTCTTAGAATTAGAATTTTTCGCAACTTTTTAAGCAGTTCGATTTCAGGCGGCGGTTAGCACGCTCGTCTCCGGGGAGCGCAGTTGGTAGAGCGTTGGCTTGTCATTTTTGACATCCAGGTTCGATTCCGCGAGGGGCAAAAGTTTTGCTTTTTGCCTAAAACCTTGTTTTTAGGATTTTTCCTGACATTTAGAACTTTCTAGAGCAAGCTTTTTAGAGAAAAGGCCCCCCCACCTGCAGCCAGATTTGGCAAAAAGCCTCCCCGACAATTTGTTCGACCAGATCTGGCTTGGGGAGAAGGAGAAGGAAAAGAGAGGATGAGGCCGAGGATGTGTCTCCCTTGGGGCCCACCTTTTCTGAGCAAGAGAACGAGAAGAAGACGCGGCAATAGAAGAAGCAATAGAAGAAGCACACACTCCAAACCATTCCTCCTTTCATCCGCCCCTCTTTTCATTCCTCTCAAATACCTCTTTGGCTCGTGCTCCATTTTTGGGGAGCATCTCTATTTTATGCTCGTTTTAGGAAGAAGAAGAAAAAGCGGAAGAAGAGGGGGTTTCAAACAAAAGAGGGACGCTTTTCATTTTTTATTGGAATATCTGGACGCGAAAAGGGCCCTAGAGGGGCAGAAAAGCCGGCCGCTTCTTCTCGAATAATGCCTCGACATAGCTATGCTATGGTTGGTCTGCTGGCACCTGACACTAATCACAGGTGATTCTTTAATTTTTTATATTTTTTTGGGCGAATGGTGTAGTGATCTAAGGGTTGGTCTGTCAATCTGAGGGTGCGGGTTCGAATCCTGGCCGGGGCGGGGTTTTTGCATTTTGGTTTTGAGGGGTTTTGGCACTTCGGATTTTGAAGTAAAAGGGGTGTAACTCGGAGGCTTGTAATTTTTGGGGGGTTTTTTTGACCGGGTTGATGTGGGGCGAACAGATGCCGAGATTTCGGTCTGTTTCTCTCGCTCGCTCTCTCTCGCTCTCTCGCTCGCTCTCGCTCTCCCTAAAAACTTGCGAAACACAGATCGAACTGCTAAATTTACACCCACACGCACGGTGCAAAGCTGAAATTCGGTTTTCTCACTATCTCTCTCCCTCCCTCTCTCTCTCTCTCCTCTCTCTTGCTCTCTCTCGCTCTCTCGCCCAAACTCAAACCCAGCAGTTAGGCTTCTGCCTCCTCGCGCTGTGCTATCTAGAAACCCCAAAAAGGGCTACCGCCAATTTGTACCCGAACACCCACCCCCAATCCCCCGCCGCAGTACCACCAAACGAAAAATAATTTCTTCCGCTTCACCGCCTTCTCACTGACTCTTGTCCAGCTTCTTAAATGGACTTTTTAAGGTAAGAAGCAAACCCTAAATTGCCTAAAACATGAAAAAAATTGAGATACGCCCTGCGGATGGGACTGGACTATTAGCAGCGGGAAAACTGATTTTTTTCGCCTATTTTTCTTTCCTAGCTTTTGATAAATTATCGTGGATTTTATAGGTTTTTAGCAGTTTTTGCTTGCCAAAAAGTCACAAAAATTTAGATTGTTGAAGATTCGAAAAATCCCCCGCTACTAGTCCGGTACCAAAAACGCAGCGCTTATTCCAACCTTTTGATTTTATTATAAAAAACCAGGTACTGGACGCTTAGCAGGGTGGATAAAAATGGTCAAAACTTTTCGAATTTTTGAAATACTTTTTCCTTTTGTCCCTAAAATTAGTTTCCCTCCTGCTACCCCCGCCCCCCCCGCAAAGAGTCGAGTGCCTAAAATTTTGAGAAAACATTTTTCGGCGCACTAGCGTCCCAAAACCCGGAATTTAGCCCGAACTACTTTTTCTAGGCTTTTTTTCCAGACTTTTTCTACTCCCAACTCCTCTTTTTGGAGCAAGAGCTCAGACTCCGCGGCCCAAGAAAGACTGAGGGTGATTTGTGGATTGTGAAAGGATGCGCGGGAGATATTATCAGTGTCTTGTTCGGCTCCCTTTTCTTCTCCTCCTCCTCATCCTCCTGTTCCTCCTGCTCCTCCTCCTCCGTCCGGGCCAATTTGCCTTGTTAGGGTTTGCGGGGCCGAGCTTCTTCTCCTTTTTGAGCGACAACTCGGAGAAGGCATCTGCCGGTGGCCGTGGGCCCCCTTCTTCGTCCCTTTTGATGTGCTGATTTCGCTCGGATTCACTCTCCCCCCTTCCGTCCTTCCTTTTCTATCCCCCCGAAAAGCCGTTTTGTCACATCGCTAGTCAGTGCCTTCGTTTATTCGGTTTCTTCCTTCTCGTCCTCCTGCTCGTCCTCCTGCTCGTCCTCCTACTCATTCTCCTGCTCCTCTAGCTATTCCATGTGAGATATCGATATTCTGATGATCGATACGTGAGGGAGGAAGAGGATGACTGTCGATTCCAATATTATATCGGCCATTCCGTCCGGTGGTGCTCAACCGGTCGAGTTGAGGTCGGGATCGCACTATTTTCCCGGAATTTTCGATTTTTATAGCTTTTGAGAATGGTGTTTTTTTGAAAATGACTCGGTTTTAAGGATTTTTTTCACGATTTCTAACAATAAATTGAGCGTTACAATCGCTCATGCTCACTTTTAGGGCCCTAAGTATTTTCTCGCGATTTCTAACGAGAAATTTTGCCACAGACTAGCTGATGCTCACTTGTGGAGCCCTACGAATTTTGTAACGATTTCTCGAGTTAAAATTGCCCCAGGAAGGGTGGCGCTCGCTTTTAAAAGCCCTCTAAATTTGTTAAAAAGTTATAACTACTATTTCGGCGCCTGAGTAGCTCATGCTCATTTTTCGGACCCAATAGATCTGGTCACGATTTTTAATTATCGATTGTCAGCTAGAATAACTCGTGCTGACTTTTTGAATCCTCTTAATCTACAAACCATTTGTAAAAGTCAACCATCAACTAGAATAGCTCATGCTCACTTTAATTGAACCTCTAAGCCCCCGATGCTTGATCCCGCGCAACGCAATCTTTTCTCCAACCCCCCTCCCTCCTCGCCCAAACTTTATGGTTTATATGAAAAAAAGGAGTGGGCGGCCAGGAGGATGACTTGCAGAAATTGAAGCACGAGAACGAGAAGGAAGAGAAGGAGCATGGGGAGCATGAGAAAAGGATCGCATAGGGTCGTTGCCACTTGAAAGCAAAAGCCTCATAACTCGACGAGAAGCCCGGCCGAGAGGGGGGAAGGGCCACGCATTTCCTCGAGTGCTTCCATCACACTCCTCCTCCTGCTCCTCCTCCTCCTCCTCCCCGCTTCGTCTCCTTGCCCATTTCGATAGCTAAGATCCATTTCTATATACAAATCCGGAAATCGGGCTTTAAAAACCGAAAATTCGAATTTTAATTCGGGTTTTAATTCGATTTTCCAGCGGTTTGGTGAGTTAAAAATGTTTAAAAAGTCGTTTTTCGCTTTAGAGTGCCTTTAAAAATACAAAAATTTTTTAAGTCGTCAAATTGTCTTTCAATTTGGCGAAAATAACGTTTAATCGATTACGATAGCTATATATTCGTTAATGATGATGCGTAATTTGAGGCAAAATTGGCCATAAAAACGTCAAAATTCTATTTTTTTCACTTCACAACCTCTTTAAAAAAATTTAAAACCTAGAATTATAGCTAAATGTTACAACAATTGATACAAATTACCTTAATTATTGATCTATACAAATTCAGCGGAATTAGCAGAATTTTTGGGTAAAATCGTACGCAAAAAGCTAAAAAAACTATTTTTTTTGTCTTACCTGGCCTTTAAAAAACTTGATCTCTTTTTTTAATTAGATCGAAATTTAAATTTAACTATATAAAACTAGAATAATTTTTCTAAAATTTTCCATAAACGTTTTTGGGCTGTTTTCGTGCCCCACGGCTTTTCGGCCGCTCTCCCCCCGCATAGGGCTTTACCCCCCGCGTTGGTGGGTGGAAGAAGCGTGTGAACTCGTGCTCTTGCCTCTTCATCCTCCTGCTCCTCCTCTTGCTCCTCCTCTTCTTGTCTGATCATTCATCCCCTAATGGACCAACAGCCAAACGAGAGGGTTTTTAGGGTTTTTGGCGTTAGATTTAGCTTCTTTTCGTGTTTTTAGAGTTAAAAATATCTAATTTAACTTTTAAGAAGTAGGAATTTCAAAAATCCAATAGTACAATTAGACTCGTCTTTTCAAGAGGTTTCGTTAGATACCTAAAACGTAAAAATTAAACATTTCTACGCGATTCTAGAGGCTTTCAAGGACTTGCACCCTAGATTTTATTTTTTTGCTAAGTTACAACAAACCTACAGTACCCATCCTGCGTACAGTACCCCCAAAAACCCGCCAATTTAGCGCTCCGATGCTGAACTCTGGGCAGCCAGATCGTGTCCGTCGTGTCTCGCGCAACGCCATGTCGCCACGACCACGCAGCCGCAACCATACACTCATGAACAATCCGCCACCCCCGGCTGTCCATATACGGTAGGTTTAAAAAAATTTTTATTATGAGTTGGTATTACTGATGTTTTGCGCCAATGCGCGGCCAAATCCGACCCACCCTTTATCAACGTCCTTCCTTTCCCAACCCTCCACCTGGCGTGGCCAAGTGGTTAGTGGAACCGCCGCCAAATCCTGAGGAGATGGTTCGACCACCGCCGCTGCCGAATTTTTTTGCTTTTTGGGGTTGAGTTTCCTTAACTTATTCTAAAGTGTCCCTAATGGTTAAATATTTTATTTTGAGTTATTTGAGCTCCCTAGAGTCTCTGGAGGTGGAAATAGGCAATATTTGACGCAACCGGTGGTCGTTTAATGGTTTTTTGAGAATTTACAGCTTTGGATGGAGTGCCAGATTTTCGGAAGCTCGTGAGATCGATCTAATTTATGACATTCAAAAACGGTCATCAAACTCTCTGGCCGAGGCGCGACAAATTGAGCATGAGCTCCATAAAATGCACATGTTTTGGGGGAGCGAGGTGGTGGGTTTATGAAGCTTCATCCAGCTTCTTCTTGGTGGTAGAGGGTTTCCGCTTGTAAATTGGGCAATTTATAGGATTACTGTAACCCAGATTAAACTAGCGTAATGTATTTTTGGTTCTCAAGCCCTTTAGAAAAATTAAAATTCGCAAAAACTGGCTTTTTGGGTGATTTTCTAGATTTTGAAATTTTCGTTGATTTTCCCCAACATTTTCTGGCATTGTTGACGTGGGCCATAACTTATCAAACACCCAAAGATCTCTCTCTCTTTCCCGCTATTCGAACGTGTGAAGCCCCGGCCTGAGGATGAATTGTGGCGTCTCTGGGTCCCGCCAAGAAATTTGGGGCCAAAAGCTTGTGGAGGTGGTGCTCCTCTTCTCCTCCTCGCCCTCCTTTTCGTCTTTCTTCTCCCCAAATCGTTCCAAACATGATTTCCCCTTGACTTCTTCTTTTCTAGTCCGGGCCCCGGATTTTGTCTTTTCTTCGGGTTTTCTCCCATATTTTGGACGGAATTTTTGGTCTGTTCGGTGAAGCGGAACACTTATTTTTTTGAGTTTTGTAGGATTTTGATTTTTATGCCATTTTTAGTTGTTTTAACGATTTTAAAGGTGCAAAAATGTCTAGAAAATCACGTATTTTTGGAATTTTCAGCTCCATATCTATTTTTTATCTAAAATCTCGCCGAATTAAGCAGCCGATTGTTAGGTAGATTAGAGAAATGCGGGCACCGGCTTTTCCAGATAGCTTCATCCTCAAAATTTCGATCTCTAAATCCTATCGGTCAACCATTTAACTAAAAATGAAGCGATCTTTTCAAAAAAGGTAATTTTTAAAATTTTTTTGAGTGATTTTATGGAATTATTATTTTTTTCAAGCGCCTAACTGATTTCTGGCCGCCAAAACAGCATTCAGTACATTTTGACGACGAATTTTGACACCTCTCAAAGGCGTGAGAAAAAGGGCCAAGGCGTCAGCCAGGGGAGCAAGAGGGCAAGACAAAATGTAAACAGCTTCAGTCTGGGGGACGTATTTTGGTATGATTTGACTGGCAAGGAGGTGCTGCTCCTCTCTCTAGTTCTCGTACTCTCTCGCTTACTCTCGCTCTATCTCTCTCACTAGCTTTCGCTCTGTCTCTCTCGCTCTAAATGTCTCTCTCAATCTCGCTCGCTTAATTTTTGTCGCTCTCTCTCGCCTTCTATCTCTCGCCCTCTCTCTCGCTCTCTCTCTCTATCTCATTTTCTGTCGCTCTCGCTCTCGCTCACTCTCTCACTCTCTCCTTTCTCTCTCACTCTCTCGCTCTCTCCCTCTCGCCACTATTCCGTTAAAGGCCTATAAACGGCCGCTGGTGCCAAGGAGCAAAGCCATAAGCTGCCCCTCCCCTCCCTCTCTCATGCTCCCCATTTATTCCAGTCCTCTTGACAGCTCCTGCTCCTTTAATCCCCTCTCCTTTATGACTTTCTAATCTCTTGTTTATCCCCAGGTTTTGAGCCTCCCTCATCGCAACGATGAAAAAGATGGGTAGGAGACACTCCTGTCGCACCATATGTCTTTTTCGGTTAGTTCAAGCTGAAAGTTTGCGTTGAGCAGGAAAGTTGAGCAGGAAATGTTATAAATATTTTTGTTGTATGTCAGTTTACAAGAATTTGTTATAAAGTAGCATAAAGATGGGCCGGCGCATTAACGGGAGGTAAAAATAGTGCTGCTGTTTGCAAAAATTCGAAAAAATCGAAAAATGCAGAAAAATTATGACCAAAAATTATTGGCAGATTGATAAAGGTACTAGAATTTCCGCTATTTGCCAATTTACAAAACCGTGTATTAAAACCCCGAAAAAATGTAGCGCATCGGAGGTAAAAATGGAAAAATCCGCCGATTTTCGCCTTAAAAAAGTATAAAAAAAGCTCAAAGTTTTTCAATGCATTAGAGGAAGGTAAAACAAAATTTCGGAATTGCGCCGCATGCCAGATTACAAAAATAATCGATTACGGTAGCTTATAAAAATAGAGGCGCTTTAATAGGCACTAAAAACTAAAAATTTAACCCCAAATTTCCAGAACGCATGACATGATTTCGCCGGATGAACGGCGTTTCCTTGAAGCGGCCGAGCGAGGAGACAAACCCTCAATTATGGCGTGTCTGGCGACGGTATTTAATTTTTTAACGAATTTTTCTATCATAAGATCATTTAGAAAGACCCAGAATTAAACGTGAACGTTCTGGATTCGATGGGCCGATCAGCCATCGAAATAGCCGTCGACAACGAGAATATCGAAATTGTCGAATTGTTACTGCAACAATCGACAATTAGAGTGGGCAATGCCCTCTTGTGTGCCATCAGAGAAGGTTTATCCAATTACGCAACTTAATTCGGGGGTGTAATTAGGTGTGTATCGTCTCGTGGAAATGCTTGTCAATCATCATTCCATTAATAAGGAAATGCTCGGCGAGGGATGGACACAATATTTAGACCCCGGGGAAGCGGCTTCTGCTGAATATTCGAGGTATAGGTTTTTCGGGAGTACTGGTAAGTTAGCGGGGGTATTGTTCCGATTTTTTATGTTTTTGCTACTTTTTCGGCATCGACAAAAAACACCTCCCCGCTAAGGAACAAGTGCCAAATTTTATCGAGATTTCGATTGCGACACGTTTTTCTGGGATGGCTCCTCAGTAATCAGCGTTTCCCACTGCAGCTGTCTCTCTCCCTTCCTCTTTTCTCTCTCTTACCCCCACTCTCTCTCTCACGCTCTCCCGCTCTCTAACTTTCTGTCACTCATTCTCTGGCTCCTTCACCCTCTCTCACTCCCTCTCTCTCACGCTCTTAATCTCTCCTCTCTCTTTCTCTCTCTCTCCAGTTCTCGCGCTCTCTCGCGCTCTCTCACTCTCTCTCGCCCTTACTCTTTCCGCTCTCTTTCTCTCTTTCTCTCTCTCTCTCTCTCTCTCTCTCTCTCTCTCTCTCTCTCTCGCGCCGTCACTGTACCCCTCATTCGCTATTTTTTCGGTTTGCTGCTAAAATATCGGCATAAAGCCCCACCCCCCGCTAACTGATAAATATCAATTTTTTTGGGATTCATCGGTTACGACATGTATATATATATATATATTTTCAGTGATATCTCCCCTGTAATCCTTGCCGCCCACCTCAATCAATTCGAAATCCTTCCAAATGCTGTTGCGAAAAGACGCAACAATTGAGATGCCACATAAGTATAATTGCATTTGCGAAAGTTGTGATAGGTAAAAAATTAAAGAAAATTTTTTAATTTATTTAAAACTTAAATTCTTTTATTAAAATTTTTTTAACTTTCTAAAATTTCTAAAATTTACCTTATTTTTAGTCTTAAATTAAAAAATTCTTTTTAATTTTGTAGTTAAAAATTTCTAAACAGTGAATTTCAATTTTTCAGGGAGCGGCTGAACGACTCGCTACAGTATTCCCTTAAACGGATAAATACCTATCGAGCGCTGGCGAGTCCGGCTTGGATGAGTTTGACGAGGTTTTTAAATTACTTAAATGATTTAAATCGTTTAATTCGGCTATTTATAATTGTTTATGCTATTTTAAAATTTTATTTTTTCATTTTTGTATTTTTTTGAAAGTATTTTAAACTTCTAACTTCTATTTTCCAATTTTTAAAACTATTTTTAGCCCTGACCCGATTTTTTCGGCATTTCGCCTGAGCTGGGAGCTGCAGCAATTGAGCCAGATTGAGCACGAGTTTAAGGATACTTATTTAAAGGTAAAAACTTAATTCTTAACTCCTTAAAAATTGAAACTCCTAAATCCAAAAATTCCGCAGTGTGCGCGATTCCGTTTTTTGGTGCATAGCGGAACGGACGGGAGAGGAAGATTGTGGGGGCGGTTTGAAAAAAGAGGAGAGTGGGCCCTAAGGGGAGTTGGGCCCTAAGAGAAAGAAGTGGAGAGTGTGGGCCCTTTGCCAAATTTGATTTGGTCGATGTTTCCATTGCGAGAGAGAGGGAGTGAGAGAGAGACAGGTAGAGGGAGAGCGAGAGAGAGTGAGAGAGCGTGAGAGAGTGCGCGAGAGCGTGAGAGAGAGAGCGAGAGAGAGTGTGAGAGACAGGTAGAGAGAGATAGTGAGTGAGGGTGTAAGAGAGCGAGAGAGCGAGAGAGAGTGAGAGAGAGAGAAAGAATCTTCTTTTTCAGCTCTCCGAGCAGTGCAAGCAGTTCGCTTGCGATCTTCTGAGCCAATGCCGGAGCAGCGAAGAGGTGAGTTAAAAGGGTGGTGACAGAAGGGGAATCGTACAAGGCATCAAAATCAGCCGATTTAAAGGCACGGTGCCAGCAAAAAAACCGTACACGACATGAAATTCCTAAGCTTGTTTCTAGCCAACTGGCTGATATTAAGCCCACTAAAACCCTCAAATTTTGATAATAACCATCAAAACACGAACTACAGTACCCTTTTAGGTGATCGCCGTCCTCAACAAAGACGTCGCGAATCACGACGAAAATATCGACGTCTGGGCCTCAAAACTGTCCCTGAGCCGCCTGAAATTGGCCATAAAATATCAGCAAAAAGCGGTAAACACTTTTAAATTAATTTAATGGCTATTTAAACATATAATTTTAATTTTACAGTTTGTATCCCACCCCCACTGCCAACAACTTCTCACCTCAATTTGGTACGAGGGATTCCCGGGGCGACAGCAAAGAGGATCCCTCTGGAATTGGCTGATCTGCATTCTACTAATTGTTTTATGGCCCTTATTGGCTATTTGTTATATTCTAGTAAGAAATAATTAAATTAAAAATTAAATAAAATTTTAGCTGCCAAAAAGTCGCATCGGCCGCATCGTCCGCTCGCCATTTATGAAATTCCTCTATTATTCCATTTCTTTTGGGTGCTTTTTATTATTATTAACATTGGCTACATTTGAGGATTATCGAAGTGAACAGGTAATTTTATTTAACACACAGAAATATATTAAAAAAATTTGATTAAGCTAACGGCAAATTCCCGAGCGTCAGATCGGGGGCCGCCGGCGACAATAATTGAGGCATTGGTCGTTTGCTGGGTTTTAGGTAGGTTTTAAAATGTTTATATCAATTTTCTGTATTTTTTATAGCTTAAAATATAATTTTAAAAATATAGTAAATAAGTAAATAAGAGTAAATAAGCCCGAAAAAGCCTTAGTGGTTTGCCCGCTTTTCCCTAGCTTATTAAATTTTATCAATTAACAAATTTTTCATTGATATTTGTTATCAAAATAATTGATTTTCTATACTATGATTTTATAGCAAAAATTTAACTACCAATTCTTTTAATTTTTAAGTCAAAAACCCAAAAATCCAGCCGGGGTGCACCCTTTGGCGGAGGCTCCGCCCCCTTCCCTTCTTAGCCCTCTTCCCTTTCTCCTCCCACGTGCTACCGGTTAGCTCAGCCGGTAGTGCGTCTGTGAATTAGTCTAGAGCGTCCCCCATCTTGTGAGTTCAAACCCCCAGCAAGAACAGTTACAACAATCTTTTGCTTTTTGCTCAAAAATGTCTTTAATAGAATTCTTAATGCTTTTAAATACTTTTTACATACTTTTTAATACTTTTTACCCTTCTAGGAATGCTGTGGTCGGAGATAAAGCAATTATGGGAAGAGGGATTCTCCAAATACGTGTATCAATGGTGGAATTGGCTCGATTTTATCATGATTTGTCTCTATTTATGCACAATTTCGTTACGGTATTTTCAATAATTTTTTAAGTAACTGTGTTTTTTATTCTACAGTGTCACCGCTTATTTAATCTACCACAATTCCGGGGATCGATTTGTTATGAGGACATATTGGCAGGGGAATGAGCCGATGCTACTTGCTGAGGTAAAAAAATTGGCTTAAAAATTTTGTATTAATTTTTTAGGCCCTTTTTGCTGTTGGAAATGTGTTTTCCTTTGCGAGAATTATTTATTTATTCCAAACAAACCCGTATCTCGGGCCGTTGCAGGTGAAAATACGAAAAATCCCCCTGGAAAAACCTGGATTTTCAGATTTCTCTTGGCTGTATGCTCGTCGACGTCGCAAAATTTTGCTTTATTTTCGTGTTGATAATTAGCAGCTTTTCGATAGGGCTGGCACAATTATACTGGTAATTTAACGGGTTTAAAGACTCTAGAAAACTTGCGAAAACACAAAAATCGAGGCAAAAATGGATATTTTAGGTATTATCGATTGCCGGTTTGTCTAGGGGATGAATGCCGAGATGAGCCGAATGTTTTTAGCTCGTAAGTCGACTTAAAATTATGTAAAAAGTTTATTTTAGAATTTACGATTCTTATTTGACGCTTTTGTGGTCTGTATTTTCGATTACAAAGGTTAGTTTAGGCCTGGCTAAGCTTACTAGGGAAGTCCAAGATACCCGCGACACGAATCGGGCTGAAAATTTGCACAGTTATACAACCGACCATGCTGATCACCGCCTCGTTTACCGAATTTGCTACCGAGCTTAAATAATTAAGATATTAAACTTTTAAAATGCGCCAAAAACCCGCTACCCTGACCCTGGCTCACTAGAGCGGGTGGGGTTCAAGAGGTCTTTGCGAAGCCCCCATTCCAGATCTCCGGTAGTCAACTGGTAAGGAGGACCTCGCTTCCCAGGTGGAGGGTCCGGGTTCGCACCCGGTCCGCGCATTTTCTTTGCTTTTGCTAATTTTTGCCGCACATGTGGCGCATGTCCTGATGTGTTTTTTACTACACGCAGATGAGCCGGTTTCTGCCGTCGAATTACGGAATACCGGGTTTTAACAATTTTTTTTACAGTGATGTTTTTTATGAACTTTTTTCATAAATTTATGATTTCGTTGAATTTCATTTCTAGGATGTACGTAAATGCGTGTGCATAACACAATCAGGGCACGCGCCACATGTTAGCGACGCCACGCGACAAATTAGCAAAAAGCAAAAGAAGCGCGGACCGGTGCAACCCGGACCCTCCACCTAGCGAGGCCAGTTGACTACCGGAGATCTGAATGGGGCTTCCCAAAGCTCTGAACCCCACCCGCTCTAGTGAGCCAGGGTCAGGTAGCGGGTTTTGGCGCATTTAAAAGTTATATCTTAATATTTAAGCTCGGTAGCAATTCGGAACGAGGCGTTGATCAGCATGGTCGGTTCTATAACTGTGAATTTTCAGCCCGATTCGTGTTGCGGGTATCTTGGACTTCCCTAGTTAGGCTTGGCTTAGGCTTATCTTAAGCTTGGCTTAGGCTTAGCTTACAAGCCCATTTATCCCTTTTTTAGGTAGAGGACACTACCGTAGTCGAAGATCACCATCTGACCCAACTATTCGGTCGTGCCCTATTTATCACCTACCATATGACATCAATTGTCGTTCTATTAAACATGCTCATCGCCATGATGTCCCACTCGTTTCAGACTATTAATGTGGGTTTTTAAATGGTTTTCAAATTTTTTGAATAGTTTTAAATTCAGCTAAATTCAAATTTTTAAAGGACCACGCTGATTTGGAATGGAAATTCCATCGTACGAAGCTTTGGATGGCTCATTTTGATGAGGGATCGTCACTTCCGCCCCCATTTAATATTGTCGTTACTCCAAAGGTATTTTTAATACATTTATTTATGTCAAAAATATATTAACAAAATTATATTCTTGAAAAAAATCGATTTTTAGCGTTTCTAATTCAATGGATTAGGCTCGAAAATAGATAAAAACGTTAAAAATCAAATCTAAGCAGTTTTTCCAGGCGGTCCTCTATTTCCTATGCTCCGCCTGGAATACCGTACGCTGGCTGTGCGGCAATTATCAATATACAAAAAGCAGGAGTCGAGCGACTATCAGGGTACGTTAAATTTAATTTTCTGAACTGAAAACATTTCATAGCATTAATTGAATAGATTTTAAATTCCTCTACCCCTCAATTTTCCGCATTTTGCTTAATTTACCCGAATTTATGTTTCTAAAGGAGCTTGTTCGTTATCGGGGGAGATTGTTTTTTGCATAGCAATTGTTCCTATATTGCTTTTACTATTACTAAATTAAAAAATGTTACAAAATTTCGTAAAAATGCAGGAAAATCGATTTTTTTTATCAAAATTTCAAATTGTTTGAGTGTTTTTCGTAGTTTGTCGACTATAAAGGATGCTAAATGAACTAAAAATTAGATTCTACGTTATTAGGAATTTACCGATTCATACAAAAAAATTCTGTGTACCCTAGCCCCCCCCCCCGCTAATGCCCAAGAAACGTTTTTAAAACCCAATTAAATTTTCCCCCAGCTTTGGCTGTCCATCCTTTAAATATATCTAAAAATTAACTATTTTTATAGATAGAGGTACGACTGTCAGCAAAGAATATAACCTGTCTGTCTCTCTCAAATGTCCAGTAAAAAAACACCAACCCACCTTTCCCCTCGATTTTTTCGTTCCCAAACTCGTCCCCCTAAGAGTTTGTGTCTTTATTTGCTTAACTGTATAGCAAAAATAACCCTTATCGCTTCAAAAAATTTTTAAAGGTATATTGAAGGCAAAATCTATAGGAAAAGGTGTCGGAATCGGTTCATCTATTTCGCTCCAATATCACGTTTATACCACTCCCAGACGTAAAAAACGCTGAAGATACCGAAAATCTGGTCAAAATCTCAATATTTTACATTTTCTCTTCGGCAACTCGGAAACCAGACTTGGCGTATAGTCGGCAAAGCGTCCGCCTCCCAATCTCAAGGCCAAAGTTCGACTACCCGCCGCAACAAACTTTTTGCTTCTTGCCCCAAAACCAGCCTTCAGTGTACCTTTACGGTCTGTGTTTTAGCTACAGTGTTTTCGAGTCAAAAAGTCGCAGTAATTGCAGAGTAAAGACACAATTTGTGCTCCCCATGGCCTCCACCCTCATTGCTTCAAGGGCCCTGCATGTGGCAAAGAATTCGATATGTGTTTCGCTATTTACCCTTAAAAATTCGGGCCCTCTAGCATGAGGTGTAATAGATATTAAATTGGTTTAATTTAAATTATAGAGACCCGGCTATTCAAGGCGGCAAAATGCGAAGGATTCGAAGAAAGAGTGCCTGGATATTGATAAACCGTTGACGTATGCGGATATAATACAACGATTGGTCGCTAGGTAATTTTAATACATAATTTAGACCATTCTTAAAACCTATAAAAATATTTAAATTCTATATTTTATAGATTTATCCATCAAACTAAAAAAGATATGAAAATGGACGGCGTGAATGAGGATGATTTGCTGGAAATTAAGCAGGATATTTCATCGCTAAGGTATCGTTTTTCATAACTTCAATACACCAACTAAATTCAATAAAAAAACCATTTAAAAATGAATTTTTATGATTTAAATTTAGATACGAACTGCGCGACGATCGACGCCGTGAAATCGTTCGCTCCTCCTCCCATATTGATGCCGTCAAAAGGGATATTATGAGAACAATGAGCAGCACCACACGAGTATGAGCTTTATTTAATCTAAATTAATTTTCTAACAATATATTCGATCCCTGACGCTAATGCTAATTTACACTAATTTAGCCCGGTCTCCGTATCCCCAGCCCAGATCTTCGGCTTTCCAAAAAGCTCCATTTTGACAAAACAGTACGGTATAATCCGCCGTGGGCTTTTTGCTATATTGATTTCTTTCTTTTTTGCCATATTCCCTTTGTTGGAGAGAGAATATTTTAAAGTGGGGATTTGGGAGGTTGGAGCTGGGAATTGGGAGTTAGCCGTGATGTACACGCGACGCGAGCTTTACGGATCCGCGACGCGACCGCAACGGCACTCGACGTGACCGCAAACTTACACGCGACGCAGCAGGAACGTGACGCGTACGCGACGAACACGCCGCGCAAGCTCCAAGCGCACGCGGCGCTCAGGTGACGCGACCGTAGCGCGTACGCAACGTACCACGTACACGCAACGCACGCCCCATACACACCTCACGCGCACGTAATACACACGTGACGCACGCGCCACGCATACATGACGCATACGCAACGCTCCACGCAACCGCATCGCACAGGCAATTCAAGCGCAACGCGGACAAAACTGAACGCAACGCGACCGCAACGCAAGCGTGAGAAACACGTAACGCAGATGCGACTCAAGCGCAGGGCAGACGCGCTGAGTGAGCCAGGCTTTAGCGGTGAAGCATCCGCTACGCAGACGCGAAGAACATCAGACCCGTACGCTACGCACAAGACCCAAGCACTCGACGCAACAGACACACGCACACGACGTACACGCAACTACAAGCAACGTACACGCAACTCACGCACGGTGCAGCCTAACCAGGAGCCAACAGAGGTGCAAGTGCAACTCGAACGTAACGCACACGCAACACGCCAGAATCACCTACTCATAGCCTCAGAAAATCCTGACGCGTTCAAGTTTCGTTCCGACTAGCTCCCAGCTCCCAGCTCCCAACCTTCCAAATCCCAAATCCTCCACCATTTCCCACCTCTTTCTCTCCCTTGTTTTTTCCGTCCGACTCCTCTTTCCAGTGTCATTCCGTTTTGTGCCGTACTTTCCTGAATTCCCCCAACCCCCTTGGTTTGAAGTTTATTTTACCCAAAATTCAGAGCTATTTTTATTGCGATTTTCAGCAGATGTGGCCTCGCAGTTTCCGGCATCGAAAGCCGAAAAATTCGGTGACCGAAGAGGGAGATGGATTCAGTGATGAAGATGGGTACTGTAGACTTTAAAAAAATACGGAAAATATCCTATCCTATAAGCGAGAAAAGTATGTTTGTTTTCTGTACAGACGATTTCTCGGCCGTTAGGGCGAATTTCCGGCTGATTTTTGGCATGGAGGTGCAGAAACACATTTGCCAGAAACGCATTTTTTTGTTTTTCGAAATTCCTTCCTTTAACAATTTTACAAGCAAAATGGTGAAAATCCTTAACAAAATGGACGACGAGCCGTGGTGTCCGGGCCATAACTCGAAGCCCTGATGGAATTTCGGGCTGAAAATTGGACCACTTATGTATTCGATGGTGGGGATCACGCGCATCTTATTATTTTTACAAATTTTCGGCGCATTCATACTCAAAAAGAGAATTTTGTAAAGTTATCACAAGTCCTCCCTCCCGGGTTGAACCTCGCCCCCAGGACAGAAGAGGCCTTTCCCGCCTCCGGTCGCCATGGCACCCTTGGTACAGTGGTTGACGCCCGGTCTAGCGCACACATAGACGAGGGTTCGGATCCTGGCGAAACATAACTTTTTGCTTTTTGGTGGTTCATCAACAGAACATCATTCTAGGCTCTCGGCGTGCAAAGTTTAGGTCTGGCTCTCGCTCTAGCGCCGCAGGCGAAAGAAAAGGTCCTTGGCCCGGGCTCTAGCGCCGCAGGCCAAATCCTGGAGAAAAACCAGTAGCTAGCGCCGCAGGCCAGAGAATGGCTTCTAGAGTCAGGCTCTTGCGCCGCATGCTTGAAAAACGAAAGGGGAATATATGGTTCCTAGACGGGGGCCAGTGGAAAAGGGCCGCGAAGCGGTCTTTTTCCACTGGTCTCTAATAAGCAAAATATCCATTTTGTTAATTTTAGAACGAACGATAGTAATTCTCTGCTATTCACACCATCTGGAAAGGAAACGTTTACCCTGCCAGAGATTACGAAAACAGATCCCGAGGTAGGTTACTGTAATTAGCGTATCTTACCGGATTTTCGTAATGTAATGGCGTAACTTATCGTATTTTTGGTTACAGTACCCGAATATAATGCTTCGACATCCGAGAAAGCAGGCGCTTTGCAAGACTGATACTTCTGTTTCGTATTCTGATCAGAGGATTCCGAGGTGAGAGAGAGAGAGAGAGAGAGAGCGAGAGAGAGAGAGAGCGAGAGCGAGAGAGAGCGAGAGCGGCTGCAAGAGCGAGAGAGGGAGAGAGAGAGAGAGAGGGAGAGCAAGAGCGAGAGAGCGAACGAGAGAGCTACAGAAAGTGATAGAGCACGAGAGAGAGCTAAAAAGCGAGAGCGGGAGAGAAAAGGAGAGAGAGAGAGAGAGAGAGAGAGAGAGAGAGAGAGAGCTACGGAAAGCTAGAAAGAGAGAGAGGGAGGAGGGAGAGAGAGAGAGAGAGAGAGAGAGAGAGAGAGAGAGAGAGAGAGAGAAAGCGACAAAGTGACAGAAAGCGAGAGGGAGCGGCAGAAAGGGAGAGAAAGAGAGAGAGAGCGGCAGAAAGCGTGAAAGAGCGAGAAAGACAGAGAGAGCGATAAAAGCGAAAGTGAGAGAGAGAGAGAGCGAGCGAGAAACCGTTCCCAATTTGTAACCCATATTTTCAGGTCAATGATAACCGATCGCCCTAGCTCAGTTCAAACCGAAAAATCGCATAGTGTCAGCCCAAAAAGTGTTTTGAGATATAGGTAATCTTTTCCGGGTTTAATTCGTATCTTCTTATTTTCCAGAAGCTCCTCCCGAGCCTCATCAGCCGATAAAACAAAACCCGAAGTGAGCCCCGGAGATGAAGCCGTTTTCCAACAACAACCACTATTGGAGCACCACCTCCTGCTCCTCTCCCACATTCTGGATCGGCTCCTCCCTCCATCCCCCCACCTGCCATACCACAGACTACAAATCAGCTGGCCCTGGATGCGGTTCAGGTTGGAACATCTGCCGAAAACTAGACTTGCTAGTCCCTTTAAAATTTTGTTTTTATGTGATTGGAAAGAATATTAGCCAGTTTGATTATTAAATAGACAATCGTACAAAAATTTTCTTTAAAAAATTTAGAAAGGCAAAAATTAAATTTTAAAAATTTAAAAAAATTAAAATTATTTTTTCTAAACTAAATCAATATTTAGCTGTTATAATTTCAATACAAAATTTTTCAGCGTATCCGCACGGATTTGAACGCAAAACTGGATCAACTAATTGCCCAAATGACGCCAACGGCCAGCGACAATGTGATGCCCCGCGTCGGATTTCAACATATTTAAATTTAATTCATTCTTTAAATTTAATTCCACAATTTCCCTAGCTCAATATCTTATCTTTTCCTACTGTAATTTTTCCATATTTTTGTATTTCCCTAGGCGTCTCGATATCCTCCAATATTTTCTAAAAAATTTCCGAAATTTTCCCGATTTTTTGCGTCTTTCATTTTCCATTTAAAATTAATTTAATTAAAAAGCAATATGCCAAGTTTCAAACTGATCTCAATTTTTTTTTGCTAAAACGGGTCTATATTTGCAATATAATTTTAATTCATCTATTTTAATCGATTTAATAATTACGTCAACATTTCCGGTGCTGCGATGCGGAGATTTCAACATTTTTTCGAAGTTTTTGGTGTTTAGAATAAATTTTTGAGAATTTTCACAATGAATTTATCAAAACTGACAGACAAAATGGTTTTTAAACTCGAAGAGAAATTTAGAGTATAGTTTGAACGTTTTTAAGCTATACTATTTAAAATTGCGTAGAAAATGTTATATCATTGTAAAACATAACAATAGTTATATAAAAACTTATTGATAATACCGTAGCGAAATTGTGCATAATAGAGGCAAATCATGATGAAATCCAGCCAATTCCACCATTGATACATGTATTTGGAGAAGCCCCCTCCCATAATTGCTTGATCTCCGACCACAGCATTCCTAGAAGGGTAAAAAGTATTAAAAAGTATGTAAAAAGTATTTAAAACCATCAAGAATTATATTAAAGGCATTTTTGAGCAAAAAGCAAAAGATTGTTGTAACTGTTCCAGTTGGGGATTTGAACTCACAAGATGGGGAACGCTCTAGACTCATTCACAGATGCACTACCGGCTGAGCTAACCGGTAGCACGGGGGAGGGGAGGGGGGAGAGGGCTAAGAAGGGAAGGGGGCGTGAGCCTCCCCCAAAGGGTGCACCCCGGCGGGATTTTTGGGTTTTTGACTTAAAAATTAAAAGAATTGGTAGCTAAATTTTTGCTACAAAATCATAGTATAGAAAATCAATAATTTAATAACAAATATCAATAAAAAATTTTGGTAATGAATAACTAACTACTAACCAATACTAACTAAAACTAACCTCTTTTTGCTTCGAAAGTTTTTAAAACATCGTTGCACAGCTTTCAGGGTCCCGAATACTTGCTTAATTTCATTCTAACCAATCCGAAAACTCTGATTTTACTTATATCATGACGCTATTCAGTTTTATTTGACCGTATTAATATATATATTGTTCTCTCTTCCAACAGCGTTTGACTCGTCCTCGGGTTTTTTTGTGTGTTTTTCTTTGTCAAGCCATCTTTTCAGGCGACCACGGTCCGGAAACTGAAGCCTAAAAGCTCTCAAGAAGACTGACTTTATCACATGGGAGGTTGGTGGATGCTTTCCTGGCCAAAACCTTGATTTGTTTAGGTTGATCAGAAGAATCGGGAAGCCAACATGATGCGCAAGTACCACGTGACGAAACGCGATCACCACGCCGTGTACAACCGCTTGGCGGAAAACGTATCTTTGCTTTGGAAAAATACTTTATTTTCTTGTAGGTACGGACCATCGCGTCGGAGCTGAAAGATTTGCTGCAGGAACCGGAGCTGCTCGCCAAGCTTTATTCACACGGATTGATTGCTGCTGCTGATACGTTGGAAAAGTTGTCTAGGGTGAGTTTTTTTTGTGTGAATCTTCAGCCCTTTGCTTTCACGGCTTCGGGTTACAAGAAAGGCCTTGAAAGTTTCTAAGGGCGGTCTAAGTCCTAAAAACGAGTGTTTTGGGCTAGTTCTTTTCGTGTTCATCGTGTTCGGCGCGTTTAGAGTTCAAAAAGTAACTTTCTGAATGGTTACCGCTCGAATTTAGTGCACTCCTGCCTTGTCTTTGCTGTGTTTTTACTTATTTTTTGATTGAATCTCAATAACATATAAATTTCAGGTATTTGCGCGGAAGTCGCCTCCACGAAAGCTCAAGAGAAGATTGGGCCCGATGACGCTGGATCCCAAAATGGCTAAGTTTTATTTTAGCTTTTCTATTTGATTTTTATTTAGGAAGGAAATGATGCGCGACGATGGCCGAAGCCAAGGATAGACGGATGTTTTTTGGATAGCGGTTAGTGATTGAACCCTGACACTTCTCCGCAATTCTTTTACAGGGTTCCTTCTTCACTCAATGGGTAACAACCGACAGGACGATAAAGCGGAAGCATTCAATCGGATCGCGGTTAGTGATTGAACCCTGCCACTTCTCCGAAATTCTTTTATAGATATCCCCGCTTATCAGCTCGAGAAACACGAGAGGAAGAAGACGAATCAGTAGCAGATCATCGAGCAACGAAGAACAATATTCAAGCCGGAAATGCACGGAGAAGCTCTTCGTTTCGGGGCACGGTATCCCTTATCAATTCTGGCCCGCCCCGGAAGCGGCAATCTAGGGTAGACGTCTTCAAAGCGTTTTGGAGCTACTGAAATGGATGAAAAGGCGCCCAAATTCGGTCTAAAAACGCGTCTCATTCTGATTCAACGCGAAAAACAACGCGGGAAATGTGTTTTTCGTTTTGGTGACGTCGATTTTGTTGTAGTTTGTAGCTTAAAGTTAAAATCGAGCTCATCACGTAACTTTAGCCCAACATGCTTTGAAACAACATAAACGCCTTTGAAAGTTTCTAAGGGCGGTTGTGCATTTTTCTCGCAGGAAGAGTAGGGAAGGGTCGAAGAAATTAGTTCCGAAACGATTAACCGATACTAAAGGCTGATTTGAAAACGTTCATAAATTAGCATTGACCGGAAGTTCCGGTTCGGTCGATTTCCTCAAATCCCCCAAGGGTGTTTCATTCTGCTCGCCCATCGACCCGTTGTCCAGTCGCGCCTCCCCAATGGATCAAAGGGTAAATATTTATGCAAATATGGCTAGATGTTAAGAATTCTATGTAAATTCAATATTCCAATATTACCTTTTTTAGAAACGGAAGTGCCCGCCTTCAAGACGTGCGACGTGCTGATGACGCAGCGCTGAGGGAACCTCTGGTGCCTGTCGTTCGAGAAGAGGCGTCGCCACCTCTACATCTACCGCATCTACAACGACTACGACGGCTGCACGCGACGGTCCAGTTTGAATGTTTTAGAGTTCGTCAGTTAGAATTCACTGACTACGCGACGTTCCAAATGCCGCTATTTAAACTCGAAGCCTCCGGGAATCTAAGCTAAACCTTAGCCTAGGTTTAGCTTCACACAAACGAAGCCTGAGCTTGGCTTGAATCAAGCTAAGATAAGCTCTAAATCACCCATTTTGACATCGTAAGGCAGTTTCGGGTTAATTTAGCTTAGCTTAAAACCAAGCCTAAGTTAAGTGTAGTTAAAGCGAAGTTGAGCCTTGGCTTAAGCTAAAAACCAAGTAGCTGAAGTGGAGCGCCTCGTAGCCTCTTAAAACACCACTTTTTGTTTTTCGCCCTATACAAACCTGTTGATGATAAATAATGTATTTTTCGTGGCTTAAGTAGTTTTTGATTCCTAAAAAATTATCAAAAATTTTGACATTTTCAAAGATTAGAAAATTTGACCCTTTTTTGGTCATTTTCATATATTTTTGGCCGAAAAGTCAAAATTTACGATTATTATTTATAATATTTATATCTAAAAACGGTGTAAAATGCCATAAAAATGGTTCGTATTTTTTATAGAGCGCTATAGAATCACAGGGAAAAATTTGATTCCCCCCGCTAAAACCCTGGCCCCCTGCTAATAGTCCAGAAACGGGTCTTCATCTCCCCTGGCAGACCCCATCGTGCTTGTTTGCCGGCTAGAAGGAGATGCGACCTGCTCGACGACGTGGCGATGTGCCCCCCGAGAAGCGCCACCAGTTCCGCCCGGGTCACTTTGAAGGAAAGTTTTCTTAGTAGTAGTTTTCGTACTTAGTAATTAGTACAAACCTAAAATTTTTTGCTTTTCCGGCGTGCTCGACTCGGATCTGAAGGCTGATGACGACCCGCGGAGGGCACCGCTACGGCTCTTCGGTGGTGCTGCCGGTGCTGCCCGTGCTGCTGCTGCTTGAGTGGAACAAGCGTCTCCTCTCTCGCCTCTCCCACAACGACTTCGGCTGCCCGCGAAGGTCTAGTTTGGATTTTTTTTCAAGGTCCAAGGTCGTGTGGCTAAAATAGAGCTAAAAATAAGACATTGTAGTCTCAATGAATGTAAAAAAGAGTCTGAACTGTCTGCTTATATGACTCTACTTTTTTTACTACCAGTATCACGTCGCCCCCGCATCACGCTTTGAGCAGAAACGCAATTCCAGTAACCTTTGTATCGTACAGGGTCCGGAGAAAGTTCTGGGTGCCAGAAATAGCTATGTTTTCTCAAATCGCGTGTTCCTGCCAGGATGTTTTGAATGCTAAAAATTGGTAAATTGATCTGTTCTAGGCGCCAACAGATCGACAAAATTTTGAAATTTCTCTGGGTGGATGTACTGAAAGCATCGCGCTAACAAACGCAGCTCTTTTCTGATGTAACGCAACCGACGCTCAAACGAAAACGCAGCCCAAAAGGAAAGCCTCTATACACGAGAATCTGAACGTCATCATCAAATCATGACCAACTCCTCATTCATCAAATTGTTTTGCCCCTTTGTGGTCCTCTCCTCCAAATTTAGCCCCATTATTACATCAAAAACGTTACAACCAAAAATCTTTCTACTCCGAAACAATACTATGTCGTAAAGTGGTGCTTATCGGACTCGGAAAATTAATTTCCAGCGCTTGCAATCGGACCCCCTTTCTAAAGTAAATTGCTCACTTTAAAAATGTCATTTTTCCGTTCCACAGCTTCTTTTCTCTCTTGATTCACTATAATTTCTTTTATAGGCCGGATGCGGATGCGCGACAAGTCGAGAACGAGGGCAAGCCCGGCTCCACTTCCAAATCTCCACATTTTTGCGGTCGTACGGTTAGTCGTTGACGTGTTACTCCTCCGCCGATTCTTTTTCAGGTATAAGGCGAATGAAGGTGGCGTCATCGTGGCTGAGGTGATGGTGAAGGCGGAAGAATGTGGCACTGGCACCATCTGGGAAAGATGTGGCAAGCTACCAAGCCGACGATAATTGAAGCTTTATTCAGGTAGCTAGCTATTCATAACTTATTTTAGAAACGAATACGCGATGATACGATTGACGCTGTGACTGAGCCTTGGAAGAGTAACGCGCACGGATAAGGCAATGCTGCAAGGCGACGTGAGATCAACTACACGATGCCGGCCGACTTCTTCTTCTGATGCTAATGCTTTTATTTTTGCGGTTAGTCGTTTTACTATATACTTCTCCGCCTCTCTTTTTCAGACATGGGAAGCGGATGAGGCTCGTGTGAAGGGGCCGCCGACAGCGAATGCGAATGCGATGACAACGAAGCGAGTATCGACGCTGGAAGGCTGGGGAACGACTTCAAACTAGTGCCAATCCAAGCAGAACAGAATCCATGGAAATTTTAGAGGTACTTTTCGATTGAAAACTGATTTTAGATTCGGGAAGCGCGAGTGGGCAACGTGGTGCTAATGGAGGGGCGGTGCGAGACTGAAACGCAATGGGAGCCATTCTCGAGAAGCTCGTACACAAAACGAAACGGATGGCATCTTCGGTCTCGGCATGATGGATTTGTTTAAAACGGCTATTTTGTTCAAAATAGATTCATTTAGATCGAAGTTCCGGGGGTCATGTCCAAAAACAGGACACCCAACCTATGAGGGCGTCTCTTCAACGGGCAAATTCCACGTGGAGCTGCACAAGCTTTCGGTGGACCGTGGATGCCGCTGGGCAGAAGCCATCGCCATTTCCAGTAGCCAGAAACCTCCTAAAGTAATTGAAATTAACATTATTACAATTTGTTTTACAGGATCTGGTTGGTCGATGGTCGATCGACACGCCTAGCAATGCTGAAATCAAGCAAAAGTACGTCAAGATTGAACTTTCGGAAGCCGAGGAAATGCGGAAGAAGCATTTCTTTTCTACGGCTTCGTTTCTCTCTTGGGTCATCATAATTTCTTTAGAGGCCTGAAGCGGATGCGGGACAGGCTCCGTGAAGGCTCCGCGCGACTTCCAAATCTGCACAATTTTGCGTTGTACGGTTAGTCGTTGACGAGTTACTCCTCCGCCGATTCTTTTTCAGGTGGCGGAGGAAAATGGGATGAAAGTGGCGTCGAGGTGGACGGGAATGACAAGAAGCGATGGGTAACAAGGGCGACAATCCGGCAATTACAAGCGCTGCAAAAATAGTTCAATCGAGCTCGAATCGAATGAGGATCGGTTGAAGATTATGCCGGTGATTAGGGTGTTGCAAACTTATCTTAGGATGAATACGCGATGATACGATTGGCGCTACACAGATCCGCGTGTCCACCCGCAAGCCGGCCTATTTTCTTCCTGGATGCCGAGCGGAAACGGGGTGGAACACCTGGAAATCGAGTGGAAACGAGCGGTTTCCACGTGTTCCATATCATCGGGAAAGCAGTTTATTTTGCAAAATACTCAAGTTTGCAGTTTTTGCCCCCGGGGCAGATTAGCAGAGACCCTTTGCAGAATTCTAGAGCACTAATCGATAGATTGCCTGCCAGTTAAGAATAAATCGTAGCAAAGGGCAGGCTAGCAAACACCATTTGGGAATTTTGGGCCCGAAATACCCCGGAAAGCGCTCCATTTTCCAGGTGCTACCAATATCTGGCGGATATGGACAAGGCGAGCAAAGTGGAGAATCTGTCTCGATTCTGAGGCGGAGTGAGAGACTACAAACTACAATATTATTGTTATTTATTTAATCCTATTTATTGCGTGCAATTCTAGCCACCAGCCCTCAACAACACCGTGTCTTTCAACCCCCCGAGTGTCTGTGAATATCGACAAATTCTAGCCCGCCGAAATGTACATTAACGATAAATTCTACATAGTTTTTCAACGCCAACTTCTGTTCCAAAACTTTAATCAAAACGACAAAAAAACCGCGTGCAAAAAATTGATTTTTGTGCTTACGGTTCTATCGTTTTGTTGCTGAAAAAAATCGTAAAAAACAAAGAAAGCACACAAATTCTTGCAAAGTCATAGTTTCGTTTACGTTTTTGATGTTGTTAAATTGACTATAACGCCAAATTAAGCGCCGGAAGTTTAGCTTTTTGGTTCGGCGAACCGCTTCCCTATACAGTGTGTGTCAAAACGATAGAGCCACCTCTTTGAACGCTATTATCTCGGCCCTCGTTGAGTTTGACGCCAAGCTAACTAGCAGGTCTTGTAGCGCTCGAAAAGGCGCATTTTTTCATCTACTTGAAGTTTTTCAAAAATAGAGCACGCTATTTTTATAAGGAAAAGAATAAATAGAGGTTTTTAGGTTTTTTTTATAGGTTTTTTTGGGACACCCTGTACGGTTGGTTTCAGATTTTTCGCTTTAAAAACGGAATTGCTATTTCTATCTAGAGATCTAAACTGAAAATCTAGACTGATTTCGGCCCCTATTTTTAACCGGGTATTTCCGCTGGGTGGCTCACATTTCTCAAATGGCCACTGCTAGCCATGCGAACCGTAGTTGGATGGTTGTATTTCGGCAAATGATCTCTGCTCGAAAATCGAAAAATCGAAACTTTGACATTTTATTCGACTAAATTCATTTTAGCTGAAACAACAACATCAATAACGACAAATTGGGAGCGGGAAAGAGTAACAATCAAAAACACGAAAAATCAAGAGTTCCGGGGATTCCGGGGATTTAATTTTCGGGGAGGGAAAATGGGTTCAGATTGTTGTTGACCGCGTCGAACTTGTCGCCGTCGTCGGCCGGTTGTTCGAATCGGGCGCTCGAGCGGTGAAGGCGCGGGTAGAAGTCCTAGAATTGTCAAATGATAAACGTAAAAATCGGGTACTGGGTTGTTAGCGGGGGGGGGTATTTTTCTACCTATTAAGCATTTATATAATCGATAATCGATTTTGATCCTATTTTTAGTGTTTTTTACTATTGCTAGAGCGTTAAAAAATTTGAAGCTACAAATTGGCTTTTTGGTAATTTTTCCTAAATTTTTTACCACAAATTCAAAATTCCAATTTTTTATTTTATGTGCCTTTTGTAACCAAAAAAGTACATAATACTTATATTTTTCAGTATAGCGTCTAAGCGATCAATGGGAAACTCCCCCCCGCTAACAGTCCAGTACCGCCAAAAAAAATCGTACCTTATATAGACCACCGGCGGCCGCGGCCTCGTAGGTCCCGGCAGGGACATCGGCCTTGAACAACTCGGAGATGATCGCCAGCAGCGCCAGCGGATCGATCTAGAAACAAGGGTTTAGGTGGAAAAAGAGGGTGGCACCTCGGATGGCGGCGTCAGTCGACGATTGGCAAATGGCCTCGGAGGCGGCACCCTCGGACGGTACTTCACTGACAACGAATCGTTATTTAGTGGAAATCGAGTGTTTCGTATATTTTGTAGCCTATTTTGTGCAGAATTTTGTGCTGACCTAATCTGCAAAGCTTGTATGTTCGAAAAACGCCAAAAATGGCTTAATTTATGCCATTTCGCCTAGATATTCTGCATATCGTCGAAAATTCTGTCGTTCCTCCGATTTTAAAACCACGATTCGAAATCAGCACAAAATTCTGCACGAACTACAAAACTCGATTGCCACTAAAAAGGTCTCCTTGTGAACAGCAATAAATCAACGATTCTTTAGTTCATTCAGGGGGAAACCAAATTCCAGAATTTACGTGTTTTAAACCATTTCACTATATTAAAAAGTGCGAAACAGCTTGTAGATTTAAACTGTCTCAAAATCGAATTTTTGTCGAAAAAGAACAATTTTTACGTCTAGGAATATTAAAAAATTCGAAAGAATTCCTATCACAAGATTATAAAACTCGATTTCCCTCTGAAAATGAAAAAGAACCGGAAACGTTTGATACCTTGATTTGAAGGAAGCGTGGCGACGTTTTTCGGTCGCCTCTGCCCCGGCCGTGGTTGCGTTTTCTTGGCAATGCACACCTCCTAAAAAACTAGATTTATGATCGAAACTCTGAAATTGACCTCGTAATCACTTTCATTGTTGTCATCGTCGTCCATTGGCATGTTATGATCGAAACCGAGACGTGGCGGAGGCTTGCGGATACGAGATGGACGACCCGTCATTATCTCTGGTGGGCCCTGAAAAATAAGAAAATGGTTTTTGATTATTCCAAAATAGTAATAATCAACTACTTTACAAATTTGTATTCAAAATACAGAAGATTCTGATTTTTTTTTTGACTAAAATGTGAATTTTTGAAAATTCGTCAATAGTTTTCCACTTGAAAATAATGGAAATCGTAACAACAACATATTTGAAATATCATTAGAGCGCATACTATTGCTTTTTAAACATTTTCTAACTTACTAAAATTCGATTCCCCCCGATAACGCAAAAGCACCCAACGGAGTTTCGATCAGAATGTCGAAATTTCGAAACCAAGTTAAAACAGTTCTAAAAACGAACCTGATCATCACAAGCCGTTTCCAGAAACGTCTTGGTGGCAGAAGTGGAGGCGGAAGTAGCGGAAGCGAAGCGAGGTGGCGGGATGCGAGTGCGACGCGGGCGTCCTGCCGCCAAACCGAGAACATCCTGGAAAGAATTCGCATTTTCTGTTTCCCTGCGACAACAAAGTTAATGTTACTATAAACAACCATTTTGGTGTTTTTGTGTGCCCAAAGAAGTTTGGCGGGTTTATTAGGGGGGGGGGGGGCGCCTCTTGCCGGGGGGTGGGTGTTTTTTTGGAAACCAGGGGAGGAAAAAGGCGGGGGTTGGAGAGAAAAGACCTAAAAAAAAAAAAAAAATGGCTTTTTTTTTTAAAAATTTTTTTAAAAAAATAAACAAAATTTTAAAAAAAAAACATAAAAAAAAAGAAAAAAAAAAATTAAAATGAGTATTTTCAGAGTGTTTATAGTAAAATTAAAATCGTTCTAATCAATTCTGGATTTTTAGGACCCCCCGCTAATGCCAAAGCACCACGATTTCTGTACCTTATCGCTGGCGACGGTGAGCAGCAACTTGGTTTCGTCGCGCTCGAGCGTGCCGTTGCTGAACAACTCCTCCTTGTCGGCGGTAATCCGGTCTATCAGCTCGTCGGCTTGAAGCGGGAAATTGGCCATGACGGTGGCGGTCAGATCCGCGAAGTAGGTCTCCGTCCTGAAAATGGGTTATAAAATAGAATAAACAATAGTAGCTTACCGAAAATCCACGACAGCAATATGGCGTCGTGCAAAGTGGTGAGCACGCACATGCCTGGTGACTTCCTCTTTCAAACGGTTCAACGATGGGCAATCTAAAAAAGGGACTAGAAAATCGTAGAATTTTTCGAACTCAAAATTGTCTAAATCTCAAAAAAAAAACGAAATTTTAGTCAATAATTGCAAATTTATATCTTTTTATAAATTTTAAAACTTTTTACGTTTAGGAGCAGTAAAAACAGCTTAGAAATCCATTTATATTTCCAAAAAAACCAAACTTTCGTATTTTTTGTAGTAACAAATTTGAAAAGTTGCACCCCCCGATAATGCAAAAGAACCAAAATTTCGACATTTTCAAAAAGAATCAGACGAAAAAACGTACGAGGGCATTTGAATGGGCGATAGTCGAGATGGGCCATCGAGTGTTTGATCAAGTTGATCGTGTTGAGGCTGGCCTGGGGTTGCACCGCCAATTTCTTCATGCACGTCTAAAAACGGGCACTCTGGCAATTCTAGAAGAGCTGGAATTTACCTGGCATTCATTCTTCACGACCGCGCTCATTTCTTGGTCATTCTCGTGGGGTGGTTTGTCTTGATTCTCGTTGCCGGCCTGATGCTCCTCGATTGGCTGCTTCCGCTTCTCGTTGACGTAGTCGGCACAATCTTCCTTGTAAGCCGGGAATGACGCGGCCGCCACGCGCTTCACCTCCCTCGAGAACATCGGGTCGCTAAAATAGTATAAGTTTACAAATGTTCCGGTTTTATTTATTTTATAATCATCAGAATATTTATGTGATTTTAGAGGCCGATTTCTCTGCTATAAATCTAGGAAGATCCTAAACGTAAAGAAGTGCTATTCAAATGTAAAGAAGCTTAAAAGGTTTTCAAAATCTAACAAATTTCCTGTTTTTAACTAAATTCAATTTTTTTTGGGAAGTTTCTATCTTTATAAAAACTTTCCCACTTAAAAACAATCGCTAAATTTACTGAAAAACCATGAAAAGTTTTGCTATTATCCGCAGAAAATACTAAAGATGCAAAATCAACTAAAAATATCGAATTTTTAGATTTTTAAACGTTTCCCGTTTAAAAAATACCGCATCGTCACCAGTCTGCCGTTGAATTCGTACTGCTCGCCGTCGTGGTGGTCGCCGTCGATGTGGGTGATGGCATGGTTGACGAGGCGCTGGCCCGTTTCAGAAGCGCGCACCTTCAAATCGACGCCGCACGTCTGGAAATGCATTCTTTGCCAATATTCCCCACAAAATTCACCTCGCAATGGTGGTCCCGGGTGAAAAGCTCGAGCATGTCGTGCTGCTCATCCTGGCAATGTGAGACCGGCTCGTCGACTGGCCAGATTGGCACCTAAAAACGGAATTTGTGGTACTGGACTGTTAGCGAGGGGGTATAAGGAAAGATGCACCATTTATCTAACTTTTACGCCGTTTTTAAGTGCATTATAAAAATGTCGAAAACTCGTTTTTGGACAAAAAATTTAATTAGTGAAATTTTCCATTAAATGTTTTTGTACTTTTTCGTCATTAAAAACTAATAAAAACACAACAAAAATTTCAAAATGCTCTACTAGGTAGGCGTAGACTAGCCCTCCTCCCGTAAACAGCCAAGTACCACATTTTCCAGTAAAAAAACCTTCCAACCTTCTTCCTGGGTCGTCCACGGGGCCTTCGCTCGCCCTAAAATACAGAAATTAAAAGCAGCGAAGATCCAAACCTCGGAGCCATTGGAGTTCCTCGCCTTCTTCGACTTCGTCGGCATCTCCTAAAATTCATTAAAATGCCAAGCAAAAATCCAAACCCAATCCGGCGTCTCGGCTCGCTTCCTCGATCTCCTTGGTGGCGTTTCCTAAAGGAAGTTTGATTTTAAGAATATTTGGCAAACCAAATCGGAGCCGTCAGACTCTGGCGCGGGCTGGCGCTTCCTGGCCCTGCCGTTCGTTTCGCTGGACTTTGACGTTGATGGCTGAATTAGAAAGATCAAGAAAAATCCAGGGTATCCCGAAAATCGCTTTCGCATTATCGAAGAGGATAAAATTTTCCAATAAGAATAGTGGCAGTGCTTCTAACCTGTTTTTTACTACTCCTAACCGTTCAAAAAAGCATGCAATTTTTTTATAGAGGAGAAAATATAGCGATTTTCAACAAAAATCGTTTTTTTAACGAAATTTCGATTTTCAGAATGTTTAAAACGTTTTTAGCTCGTTTTTCTAGTTGGAATATAGTTATACACTACTAAAAACACTGACAAAATACTTTCGATTAATTTTCCAAACATTTGTAGACTTATAAAAAAGGTCGGATCTTAGGTCAGTCAATTCAGGTGCGCTCGAGCGTTTTTTGGGAACCCCCGTAAAGTAAAATGAACCTTTGGATCGCTAGCGCCCGCCGCCTTCTGCTCTTTCTTGTCCTGAACAAAAATAAAGGTACAACAGGGATGGAAATACCGGCTTGCGCTGGGCCTCCTCGTCGTCGGAGTCGACGGGCTCTTCCCCTTTGTATTTCCAGTAGCGGATCCAGGGGAAGATGTTGGCCATGTCGTAGAACCACTCCAGGTCGACATCCTCTTCTTCGGCCGTTTGGACGGGGCTGACCTAAAAAGGAATCCATTTGAGAAAGAAAGGATCCGATACCTTGGGCGTATCCTCCTTGTCCTTGATTTCTGCGGCTTGATGGCACGGGTTGTTGTTCTTCGTATCATCGTTTGGCTCCATGCTAAACAAAAATAATTGGAAAGTCTAGTAAAGTAAAAATAAAATAACAAAAATTGGAATTCAAAGTGCAGAATGACGGCAATTCATATAATTCGACCGCTCGACCGCTCGACCGCTCGACCGCTTTTTCGGCTAACCGTTTAAATAAGCTTTATTAAAGCTAATATTACAAAATTAAGCGTTTTATTATTAAAATATACTTTAATCAATATATTAACGTATCAGGGAGTACTTTATCGTGAAACCTGGCTTGTAGGGGCCCCAATACTCTTGCATCGGCGCTTTATCGCTCAGTTTTAGCCCCGCTTTCATATATTAACAGATTTAGTATCGAAAAAACTTTAATTCAACTGTTGTTGCCGTGGTATGCTGTTGTACCGCGTGGTCGTCGCTGTCAGCTTGTAAGAATTGACCTCAGGATTTTATTTTACGTCGGCAGCAGAGCATCTTGATAGTAAATTAAATAGATTTAGCGTATCAAACGGTTTATCTGTAGATCATCATACGTTAACTCGTTACCTTTATCTTTTTTCAGGCTTTTCTGCACGTTTATGATTGTTTATATTTTATAGTTCCTTATGTCAAAAACGTTTTCATGATAGAAAGATGTTAGCTAAATGTTTATTTTTAGAAAGTAACCTAAACCTAAGCCTAAGCTAAGCTCATGGACGGCGAAACGGCGAAACGGGTGCTTATGCAGCTGGACGGCGGACAGGATTTTGACTACAAGACGCTTCAACGCCGTTTTTTATAACTCTAAGCTTGGAAAAGCTAACAAAGCTGTAATCTACGCCGAAACGTAGTTTTAACTTCATACAAACGAAGCCCTGGATTAGCTTGAGCAAGGCTAAGCCCTAATTACCCCATTTAGACCTCTAAAGGCGATTTAAAGATGAAGTTAAGCCTGGATTAGGCTTAAGCTGCATTATGGGCTTTAGCTAAGCATAGTTAAAGCTAAGTTAAGCCCAGACTTAAGCAAATAGCAGCAAGAAATAGTTTACACGCCTCTACCACCAATTCCGGACTGCCCCCCTTCAATTGCATTAATACCCAGAAGCTGTTTGCCAGAACTTTAAGATCATGTAAAAGCCACGCCTGTGCTTAGCATTGCTCAAGCACTTAAGTAATGAAGTCAGTTTTGCTGGCTAGCAAAATATAGTTACGCATTGACCGAGAAGCCGTTTCGCACGCAACCATTGCTGTTAATGCCGCAGGTATCACGACTATCGTTGACTGTCGTCTATTGATGGTTTCAACATGATGCTGACGATTCACTCTTTGTCATCGGTTCGGCGTCGATAGAGAATTATTCAACGTGAAAGAGCCGACTCGATAGCTAATATACTTTGAAGTTATACGCACTGACTTTAAATTCAAGGGCTTGTGATACATTAACCAGAACTGTTATAAGGTGCAAGAAAAAGCGGTAGAGAGCAGTATACTAACGCATTAGCATCTGAATATCAACCACATGAAGTATTGCCTCCATTAAGTGTGGTACCGAAAACTACTGAATACTAAACAGTATTATCCCAGGAATAGATAAATCTAACAATGGAAAAGCCTGAAGTATACGACGAACCCCTGATTTCGGTAGATGATGCTCCAAATGAAAAGAAAGCGCTCGTAAAACAGTGTAATATAGACAAACATCTCTCTAAAATATTAAATATGCTTTCTACAAATTTTTTCGATACTAAATCTATTCATATATGAAGGCGGGGCTGAAACTGAGCGATAAAGCGCCGATGCAAGAGTATTGGGGCCCCTACAAGCCAGGTTTCACGATAAAGTACTCCCTGATACGTTAATATATTGATTAAAGTATATTTTAATAATAAAACGCTTAATTTTGTAATATTAGCTTTAATAAAGCTTATTTAAACGGTTAGCCGAAAAAGCGGTCGAGCGGTCGAGCGGTCGAGCGGTCGAGCGGTCGAGCGGTCGAGCGGTCGAGCGGTCGAGCGGTCGAGCGGTCGAGCGGTCGAGCGGTCGAGCGGTCGAGCGGTCGAGCGGTCGAGCGGTCGAGCGGTCGAGCGGTCGAATTATATGAATTGCCCAGAATGACCATGAAAAACCAAAAAAAAGTGCAAAAGTGACGCGAGAGAGCCCAATACGGCACAGTACTCTAGTTACTCCACTGTAATCTGTAGTCCATCGGAAAATGTAAAAATCCAAAAACTTGTGCTTTTCTCGCCAAAAAAACACACACAAGAAATATGCCTTTTCGAGGTTTTTCCCGTGTTTTGGACGGCTTTTGAACAATTTTCGGGTCCTGAAACCATAAATGATAACCTGGTCGCTGTATTATCGCTTGTTTTTCGCCTTTTCGCCCGCCATGGTGCGTTGCTTGCGGTCGTGCCTTCTTACGGCCGCAATACGCATAGCGTTTCCGCGCTATTTACTCGGTTCGTAAAGCGCCCGGGGGCGCGCACGGGCGGGCCAGGACACAAAAATTCCGCTGCACAGTTCCTATCGCGCGCCCTTGTGACCGTAACCCCTCAGAGCTCCCCCAGAGCCCGTTCGCCTTTTCCGACCAGCTTTTCATCGCGTAAATAATATAAAAGGAAGTGGAAAAACAAAAACAATAATAAAAAGCAAAAGGATAACTTTTTTAATTAGAAAAACACTTTTTGAAAGGTACAATGGGAAAATACCCATTAGTTGAACGTTCTGATGAGGATGGTTGTCTAGATGTATCACTTGATGATAGAGTCACCCGACGAGGGAGTTGCGGCTCGTGATTAGTTATTCAGTTACGTTGCGATTAGTTTAGTGGATTTTGTTAGCTATTCACCTGACGTGCGCTACCCTTCGTCTTCTCTGGTCTTCTCTCTTCCCAGGCTGAGAAACCAAAATTCTGTGACGAGTAGACATAGGCTAAGCCGAAGAGCGTGTTCCGTTATAGCTCCCGAATGAATGGTTGCTCTTCCAATTTGAATAGTATGAGTTGCCTGCCTTCAAGCTACTGGATAACCAGATGACGAGCTGGAAATTTTACAAGCAGAAGTGAGAGTACGCCGAAGAGCTACTTCATCGAGGAACCGCCTGCTGTTTTTTTATAAAATATAAACTAAAAGATTAGTAAACATTGTAGTTTTCTTTTCTGCAGCGTATGCAATGGTCGCTCAACATAGGCTCGCTTCGGTAGGCACGCCTACAAATACGGTTTTGACCACGTAACAACCAGGAAACGTCTTCGTGTTTCTGCGATCTGTCAGACGTTAGGCAATCGCGACTAAGAGCATAAGCCGCTAAAAGGAATTTGGCACCGGAAATTGTTCTCTATCGCTCCCGCCATCCTTCTCTATCATCAAGAGATACACCTAGACAACTAACCTCATCAGAACGTTCAACTAATGGGTATTTTTCCATTGTACCTTTCAAAAAGTTTTTTTTCTAATTAAAAAAGTTATCTTTTTGCTTTTTATTATTGTTTTTGTTTTTCACTTCCTTTTATATTATTTACGCGATGAAAAGCTGGTCGGAAAAGGCGAACGGGCTCTGGGGGAGCTCTGGGGGGTTACGGTCACAAGGGCGCGCGATAGGAACTGTGCAGCGGAATTTTTGTGTCCTGGCCCGCCCGTGGGGCGCGCCCCAAATTGCGCCCAGGGGCGCGCTCACAGGCGCGCCCGAGGGCGCAATCAGGCAAAGCGCCCGAGGGCGCGCCCGAAATCCGAAAGCGCCCGCGGGCGCGCCCCAATCGCGTTGTAACGGCGTATAACGAATTCTTTAATGCTTTTATTATTAAAAAAAAGGGCACTGCATCGCTTTGGAAGATGCTGTGCCCTATACTTAATGTAGATCTTCATCTTCCCTGAGAACATGTTCGTACGGCGCACCTGAAATAGCTTTTTTTTGATTTCTTGGCTTTAGCTTCATTTAGAACTTACATATACGTTCGAATGTGCGACGGACGGTTCCTAAAAGTGTAGCTAATTAACTAATTTCCTTTATAAACTTCGTAAGCTGCACTTACTTTGTTTCCGCTTCCTGAAAACTTACTTTAACTTCCTTCTTGCCGACTTACGTAGAAAATCCGCTCAAAGATACCGAAAACGTGGCGCTTCGCATTTGCAATGATGGCCATGATCGTCTAAAAGGTTGGCTCATATAAATCGAGAATCTATAAATCTGAGTTTAAAATTTCGAAGATTTTTAAAGTTTCGAAAGCATTTGCTGCGTAGGAGAACTTTACCTTCGTTACCTGTACCATGGCGATTCAAAGTATCGTTATCTACAATCGACGACCATAACCAAGCAAATCTAGTAACGTTTGTGCTAATTTATATATTTTAAACATAAATAAGTGCATAATCCAGGAACTTAGGCGTTTTTTCGCAGAATTGAAAGGTGTTCACCATTCAAATGCGCCCGCGGGCGCGCCCCCAATTGCGCCCATGGGCGCTTTTTGCGCCCGGGGCGGTGTTGCGCCCTTTTGCACAAATTGCGCCCTAGGTGCAAAATGGCCCAGTTCGGGCGCGCCCGCGGGCGCTTTGGGTTTTTGGGCGCGCCCGCGGGCGCTTTGCTAACCGAGTACCGAAAGCCACTTTCCGCGTGCGCACGATAACCTCGAAACAGCATATTTCTTGCGTGTTTCTCATTTTTATGGTCAAAGTTGCTGAAATGTCGTTTTGGCGATTTGCTGAAATGTCATCTTCCCGGTTTTTCGTTTTTCGTTTCCTTTATGGATTTTAAAGTTTTGATTTCCATTATTTTATTGATTCATTTTTGCTTTTTATTTATTTTTTTGCAGAAATTCGATGTCGACTGAAAACAGCGCCTCGGAAGAGCCGGCTGCATCGCCAGATCAGCCCACGGCCTCATCCGCCGCCCCGCCATCGACTGACCAGCTCGTATACCTGAATTTATTAACATTTACTTTCTCCATTTTTAGAACCATATCGACACGGTGCGACGAATGGTGAACGACGACATGCAAGAAGTAATGCAGGTAAAGAGATTATCGGTTCTTTGGCAGTATCGTTTCTTTTTTAAGGATAAAATTTTTCCAATATAAAAAGCGCAACCGTTCTTTACGGCTCTTAGGCGTAAAAACTGGAGATTTGATAAAAATACCAAAAATATAGATTTTTTGACCAGAATAATCACCTTTGCGCAAAATTTCGAAATTTGTAAGTTTTTCGATGGTTTTTCCACTTAAATATAGTTAAATTCTACTAGAAAGACTGTTCCATGCCTTTCTGATATTCCTACACGTAAAACCGTTCCAAATTTTCGTGAAATATGCAAAAACATAAGTTTTCGTGCAAAAGAATTGCCGATTTTCGACCAAAATTTTCCGTGAAAAGATTTTTAGGTTGTTGACTTGAAAAAAAAACAAAAATTTTTAATTTATATTTAAAAAAATCCCCCCCCCCCCAAAAACCAAAAAAAATTGACCGAACAACTGGAGCTGGCGATGACTGACGGATCGAGCCAAAGACCCGAGTTCCTGAAGGTACTTGACGAATTCCAAACGGTCATTGATGAGATCGAGGCCAATCTGGTAGCTATTTATCGCTTTATGAAACTTTCTATGTTTAGCAATGCATTATCGAAGCGCAGAAGAATACGCGCAGGATGTGGAAAATGTTCCATGATGAGGAGGTAATTCTTGGAGTTTTGAATTATCGGGGGTGGAGAACGTTTTTTCTAGGTTCCCAGAATTTTCTAATAATGTAATGCTCCTGTTTTAACGTTTTTTTAGTTGAATTATCTATATTTCCGGCGGAATGGCGATCTGAAAACCTTGGAAAATTCGAAATCGGTTCTTTGCTATTGTTGCTCGAAAAATCTATATTTGTATCTTTTTTTTAAAAATTGATGCCGTTTTTGCGTTTAGAATATTAAACAGGGAAAAATTATTCATGAACTCCAGAAATTTTTATGAAAAATACAAAAATATTGGGGTTTTTTTACCTAAAATGGCCGATTTTGACCAAAATTTCACAGTTTTAGATATTTTTTAGGGTTTTAGATGATTTTTGCGCCTTAAATAGTATTGAATTTACCATAAAGGGATTAAAGTACCTATTTGTATGTAATAAACATTTCAAGAATAATAGGGAACCCGATAATGGAAAAGATCCTTATTTTTTAGAGACGACCTGAGTGCAACATGACTAAACAGGGAATCGTCGATCTGGCGAAGCAGGGCGACACTTGGAAGGGGCTGATCAACAAGGCCGTCGACGCCGTCGTGAAAATGAGGGCCCGGCAGCCACTTCGTCAACAAGAAGAACACCCAAAAAACAAATAAAAAGCGTTGAATCTGCGTTTTGCTCGTTCACTTGTTATAATCTTTGCTTGTTACTTTGAATAAATTGATTGTTTAGGACAGTAAAGTACAAAAAAAGCTTGAAAACGCAGAATTACTGTTTTTGTTTGCTTTCTTTTCGAATTTAGCAGGATTTTTGTTTTTTTTAGAAGGAAAACTCTACTCGTTTTGCTTCTTTTTTGGAAGAATGCCCATCGCGAAGGTAATTAATTCCCGGTTTCAATGCTTATAAATTCTATTTTGGTTCTTTGGCATTATCTGGGGGGTGAGGGCTGATTTTTCGATTATTCTAGCAATTCCCAGTTACGTAGTGGAAAAAAACCCTAGTGGAAATAACCCCCGTTTTTCAGAATAATCCGTATCAGCCTTCTCCGGGAGCCATTATGCCGGGTAAATTTTGAAAGGCGTGAGAAACCAGGAAAATTTAGGAAAGGCTGTTCCGGTTTCGTGAAATTCCGGTGAAGCCTACTGCTGGCCAACCCATTTTTGAAGGGCGGCATCGGCGATTGGAAGATACTATTTCTAGATCCGGACCCTTGGCTTATACTTCGTAAGGTTTCTACATCCAGAAAACAAAAACTGTTTCAGTAATTCAACACAGCTCATGGCCATTCAATTGACCGTCACTAAAACAATCTTTCAATTTGTCAGAATCGGTAAGAGATCAAAACGTTATATTATGTGGAATTTAGCTTTAGGCCTGATGTCCGCCGTCCCAATCGCTGTATTTGTGCGGAAGCGATCGGCCGATTAGCCCAAGCAGTTGGTGATGCACAGGTAAACTGAAAGACTGATTACAGTAATACCGTTTTAGTACGTTGCATCGGTCGCTCAGTTCTGCTTTGGAAAACTCGAGACGGTCCGTGATGTCCCCACAAGAACAGGGTAGATCATTCATTTTTTACGAAGTCTGTGGATTCAGGTATTCTTTGGTGTTGGGCTGTTTGCACAAACACGTTGGGTCGCTCGGATCTCCTCACCACCTGAAGACGGCAGTTGAGATATGCCTAGCATTAGCTCAGGAATCGACAAGCCCCGATTGTCCAGGTATAAAAACGAAATGTATCCTTCAGCAGTTTTCAGGCGTGGGCACTCGTTTCCTTGTCCTTGATCGCGGAGACTGGCTTAATTTTCCGAAGATTCGTGGATTCGGTGCTTTCCGTCTGTTTGCGGCTTCTCCTCATCGCAAATTGGTAAGGCGAAATACTCTGGTGACTTTCTCTGAGCGTTTTTCCAGTTGAATGATTTGATTACCTGCGTGGGCCCCCGAAATGGGACTATTTGGAAGCATCGACCCCACCCGCGCATCCCTTCTGATGGCTTGTGCACTACAATTCGCCTTCCCGCCCCCATTCGTCAAGGCAGAAGCTATTCAAGGTCTTCAACAAATGCATCTTTTCGCGCCCCATTTTGTCAATTTACGTCTCATGGTTCTGGAGATTATAAGGTATTATTTTTCCGCCATTCAGATAGCAATGTCTTGTTTTCAGCCTGTTTTCCTATCCCGACCTGTGCTTGCGTCGTGCTGCTGTCTGCTGCCTTCGCCAACTGGTCCAGAAGGAAGCCAAAGAAGTGCGAGAGCATGCGCAAGTTCTCGTTTCGGAAGGCGTTGTCGATGAAACGAAGAAATTACCCCTCCCCGACACCGGCCTGGAAGGTGCTCTATTTGGGGATGCTGGATGTCGAGACAGATCCCACTTTACGGTATATTTTGCATTGGTTATCCAAAACTTTTTCTCTAGTTCCCATATCAAAGAGATGGTGATCTCCCTGGTGCAAGCAACAAGCTCGGGTCTGCCCTCAAAGTGGCACTCACTCTGAAACGGTTTGCTGGCTTCAGTGCTCGTAGAAGAGGCCCGTGATGAAGAACAGGATGAAGACGAAGATGGCGATGTCGCTCTGGTCAACAAGAGTTTTTGTCACCCAGGTGAGTACCACACGAATGGCTTAAAATACGCATTTTCCAACCTGATCTAAAAGATTTTTAGATTGTACAACGGCTGATGTCGGTTTGCGATTCGGAGAGGGCTCATCTGGAGTTGGCGCTGACGAAAGGACTGGAGATGTCATCCCAAGGCCGTGCCGACTACATCGTCCTCCACTTGTCCGACCCGATCCGACAGCCACCAGCGATATCGCCGAGCTTCGACTGGCCGGACTGTATTCTCTTCAAGATGTGCTCACCCGCTTCCGGCCGTGCCTGAACCCGAATTCCCAGGACATGTGATTTTGGAACAATTCCAAGCGCAGGTACTATCTGCATGAAGAATCAAAAATAATGTTTTGTTTTAGGTTGGTGTTTCTCTCCGGCTGGCATTCACCGATGAGACGCCCTCTGATGTGACGGCAGCAGCGTGCCAAGTCTGTTCCACCTGGATTGGCCGTGGCGTCGCTCGTGACCTGAACGATCTTCAGCGTGTGCATCAACTGCTTGTTTCTTCATTTGGAAAACTGTGACACGGATCAAATAACACCCAGCTCTACAGTGACAGCGCATCTACATTGGAGAAATTGAGCATCCTAAAGGCAAGGGCCGACGTTTACGTCTCGACAATCGAACAAGAGCGCAACATGGATCATCGACGAGTAGGTAATTTTTATAGCAATCAGGCCGATTGACTGTTAATAAATTGTTCGGATTCGCTCGTTATATTCCCCAATAGCTTTCGCCAAATTTATTTCCCAGATGACATCTACCCATCGGGATCAAGGGAATCGCTTGCTCCTTCTGGTTCAGCCCGAACTTGAACATCATGCCGGATATTGGCTCGCAGCTCTTAGGTATGGTCAATATAATTGTTTTGATAGGTTGTTTAGGGACGCTGCTTTCCTCTCGCTCCCTGCCAATTTCATTGGTCAAATGCCGAACGAGGGCGGCGCTTTCTACCAGGTTTTTATCGGCTGTGAAATGAGAAACCGGCTCTTTAGAAAGATAGCGCGGATGCTTGTCGAGAATACTATCGACAATGCTGGTCACCCGTCCTATTGGCTGACCAACGCTTCTTTCGTGCTACCGACAGTCTGCGGGGTGTGTGGAGTTCTTACCTTCACAACCAGCTTAGGCGCCTGACGTCTGGCCGGATTCCCGCCGCGTTGCACGCCTTCACGTCATGTTCGGCTTGGCGATCGAAGCGCTGTCCTACGACGAGCATACAGGATGACGCCACTGTTCGAGTAATATTCAACGTGTCTACTGCAATGCTTTTACAGCCATATGTGAAAGCCCCACACGCGCTCTTCATGTACGATTGGGTCCAAATGCAGGCGATGAGCGATGTACGAGGCTGCTCGAAATCATAAATGTTTTGCACAGGTATGCGCGGCCATCTAGCTCAGATTTTGATATATTCCAGGCTGATCCTACAATGCTGCGTTGATTGTACGTCCGTAATTCTTGACGCAGCAAGGGCTTCTATCCAGATTAGTACGAAGAAAGGTGTGTATATTGTATCATCTGTATTATTCGTTTAGATGTCGAAAACGGAAATGTCGAACCAAAGGCGGTTGCTGTACCGAGCAACCTCTTTGCCGGCGGTGAAGGTGCGGCTATCGGGAAACCCCAAGCGAATACGAAAAGGGAAAGACGGTCGACTCACTCAGCAAGACACTGAGCTACGCATTCCTGGAGTTGTCCCTCTGCGTATTAGTTCGACAGGTATGATCGCTATTTGATTAAGAATCGTTTCAGATGCCCCAACTGAATAGCAGCGCCATGATACGCTCGCGATCGACAGCTCCTTTGCACCAAAAGCGAGTGATCCGGCTAACGACAGAAGGTGCAAAGCTGGTCCAGTGTGCGTTCGCCTACATTCACAGGTTGGCGAATGACTTCTGCGACTTACTAGCAGCATATTTAGATACCGCATCTGCTGCATCCATCTGCCCTTCCTACAACACTACCCGTCCTTCTCCATGTGGCTCTTTTGCGAGAAGCAGCTCGCATCAATGAGTCTTCCATCGCCCCCGATTTGCCGCCGGGTCACATCACAGCTATTGCTACTGCTGCGATCCAGGTATCAAATCGTCCCACACTTTCATTCATTCGTTTAGGCCATCCACTCCCTCTGTTCAAATCCACCTTCAACGCAAGCCGGACTACAATCCTGGTTGACTGTCGTCCGATCTGGCATCTTCTCAATTCTACTAATGACTGATGGCCCGGAGAGCATCGACAACTGCGTGATTCTTTTGGCAGCTATTCTCACTTATTCGGCGGCACCGACTGATGCGCTCTACGGACACAGCGAATACCAACAGCGCCTATGTCTGCTAGCGAAAAACCAACTTGCTAGTGAACATCCTCAGGTGAAAACTTAGCTTTTGTCCTTTCCTAAAATGCTGATTATGTTGAAGGTTATCGTTGTAATTCTTTGATTGCAGGTCGTAATCCGGACGCTTCAAGCCCTTGCGTCGCTGTTTGCCCGCCGAGATGCTCGACAAATCTATGCTCGACAAATTGGCCCTCATTTCTATGGATTGCTACAACCATTTGTAGTTGGCGATAAGGTTGGCAGTTTTGTACAATAAAACCCCGAGATTCAGGCGCGAGATCTTGCATTGGCGGTCATCGACAATCAACTCTGCATTATTAGCGAAGGTATCAAGGCGTTGGAGTGTATAGTGGGCGCAGCTGGCGCTAAATCAAGTAAGTGTTCTTTTCCACAATAACTAACTTTATTTTTCTAGAATTGGCGATCCTGAACATTCTAGTGCAATCCCTGTACGCTCTGATCTTATGTACCAATCAGGTAACCTCACAGCTGGTTTGGTTATCTGTTCTTCCAGGATGAATGGCGAGCGCTAAATCCGACAGCAAGGAAGCTTCACGAAATAGTTCTCCAACGCTTGAATATTATTGCCCCAGCCCATCCTGTGCATTTCAAAACGGTAATTTTGATCCCGGAAACATATAATTTGTCTCAGGTTCTTTCTGCACATGCCCAGTTGAAGCAAAAGCTCGAAGCGGCGCTGCTCTTCCAGGCTTCTCAGGTCAGCCAGGCAAGCCAATTGCAGAAACAACGTCTGGCCGAGATGAATAAGGTACGTACTTTTTCTGTAGCAGGATCGGGTGGATAGATAACGCAAATTTTTATAATTTACGTTTAGACGTCTACCGCAAGCGTCATCGAACCATCCATCAATTTGACGATGGATTTCAACAACACTTTCAACCGGGCCGCCGCTGCAGAATAATGATTTTTCTAAGAACGGTTCCAAATTTCTACCTCATGCCCCTGTTTCCCTATGTGAATACGTGTATTAATAATGCTCAATTATATATCGGCAAAGCTTTACGAAATTCACTTTGCAATGAAATTTTTGCCCGTTGCAATTAATTGTTTGCTTATATTCCCCTCCTTCCGTGTCTTAGACGCAATTTTTTTACTGTATCATCGGGATTGGCTGTGGATTCACCCCTGGTCTACTGCTTCACGGAGTCACAATCGGGTGTTCGTTTTGGTGAAGAGAAAGAAAGCATGCGTTGAATAAACTTTTTTGTTGTGATACCAGCAGTACAAGCATAACCATGGTATTTAGAACCACCGACTTCAAAGTGTATTAGAACCGGATTCATTTGGAAGCCATCCGGAGTTTAGAACACAACCTATGTCGACGATATTTGCTTTGAGCGCTTGGGGAACCATAATTCCTGTTGCACAACAACGTTTAGGCCCAAGAAGCAAGGAATTATTGTCGACATTATCAAGGAAGAAGATACTTCAACCACGTCAGCTCTTCTTTTCAAAGCTCTACGACCACGACAGTAGCCTAATGGATTCGGCAATGGCAGCATACTTACCGGGTAACTTTCTAAAAATGCTTTCTTCATCCTTGGCACCTTTTTTCAAGTATTCTCACATTAATTCCCCGATTTTAGGCCCATCTACATTTACTGGTGAAGATCCCACCGAGCTATATCTCCACGGCAGCAAGGCAGTCGTTGACACAGTCGCTAAGTGTCTACTCAAATTTGACGGACTTCGCCATGCCAAGCGTGGAGAATTTACCAAAAGGTAGTCCTACCTAACAACAACTTTTCAATAATTCTAGGGCCTTCTATAACGGCAAATTGGATCTCACCGCCGCTCGGGGTCTGCACAACTTGATCAATTCTGAGACTGATCGGCAGAGGAGGCAAACAAACCATCCGTTTTACTCATTTTCCTTTAGACATGCTCAGCGCTAGATGGAGGGCGATCGCGATTTGCAGCATATTCGTGATCAACTCTTGGAAGCTTTCGGCCGGGCCACGCTGATGATCGATTTTGGTGAACACGTGAATACAAGCTTAGAAGACGTAAGGCAGGTCTTAGTCTGCTGTAGAAAACAAAGAAGTTTAGAGTACGGATACGACAACTAAGGAAGTCTCTCGATGCGCTGATCCGACGCTTCAGAAGTGCCGAGCTTATACATCGAGGACTTAAAATTGTATTGGTCGGCCGGCCGAATTCTGGAAAAAGCAGTTTATTAAACCGACTTGGTGAGCGAAGAAACTCTTTTGTTATTTGAAAATTTAGTTGAACGAGATGTTCCCTGTGTATCAAACATCCCTGATACGACCCGGGACTCAATTGAGGTCAATTTCATACGTTCGCTTAGAATTCCTTTTAGGTTCGTCTACAGATAAATGGCGCCATGCTGACAGCTACCCTCGTTGATACAGCAGATTCGTGAAACCGATGATCTTATCGAGAAAGAAGGAGTGAAAAGGGCGAGGAAAAAGTATGTGATTTAATAACTGCATTTAATTTTCCTTCAGGTTGAAAGAAGCGGATATCGTCTTCTTAGCTGTGTCTGATGCTCGAGAGGACGACATTGTGGTGGGAGCCACCAATTGGCTTGAAACCCATTTTAGCTTGACGAACTTCTCAGCGATCTACAAGAGGTTGTGAATGGCGCACCGATCAATGCTGTGAAAAATAAAGCCGATCTAGCATCTAACAAAGTGGTCGGTGCTGTTTGTTTCTTATTTCCTCATTAGCCCGCCAACAATCAATCACTGTCCGCTTCTGTTCTCTCATGTGCGTTGACCACGAAAGGAATAGAGGAATTGTGGGCAAATTTACAGAGGTAATTGTGGTTCTTTTTTAGAATTGTTGTTTAGGGTGGTTGATGACATTTGCCCGGAAGAGAGCGGCCCTGCGTCGGCTCAAGTTGAACTGTTAACGGAAGCTCAGGACGCCGTTCTTCAGGCTAATTCCGTGGTATTTTTTGTATTGTATTCAGTGGTATATACGTGCCTAGTCGGATGTGGCCTTACGCGAGCATCATCTACAAATTGCCTTCGACTGCGTCGGCGAATTAACCTGCTCTACGGTCAATGGAGCTGTACTGGATCGGCTTTTCGCGCAATTTTACATCGGTAAAGATAGTTTTGTTGGCGTTAGCACAAAGGGTAGTCGAGAGAAAATAGCGGGGGGGGATAGCTCCTTACCAATTTTAGGCGCGAAACTCGCGCGAGACACTTTCCCTGTCTTATATTATAAAACGGGCGAGCGGACAGTTTTACGTCTCGAATTTTGGCGTATCTTTCGTCCAGCTTTGTAGTCTGTAGTCCAGTTAAAAAAAGTAAAATTGATAATAACCGAGCTACATTTAAAATTATGGATTTTGAACATTTTCTGTGAATTAAAGTTTTTATAAATGGGGTTTCTGCTTCCCTAAGACTAAAAACAGCTAAAACAGGTAGAAAGTTGTAGTCTGTAGTCCATGAAGAAAACTAAACCCCTAGAAATCGAAAATAGCCAGCAATATTTAAAATTATGGGTTTTGAGCATTTTCCTTTATCTAAAGTCGTTATAAAAGAGGTTTCTGCTTCGCTAAACGAGGTGAAAAGTTGTAGTTTGTAGTCCAGCAAATAAATGTCCAGATTTTAGAGCCCTGAAAAAGGTGGAATTAAGGAAATTGTTGTTTTTCGAGGTTTCTACCGTAGATTTCCATGCTTTTTAGGTTTTATTCGTGAAAACAGTCTTGTCCAATGGATAGTAATTTTACAAAAATAATCTGTCGCGTCGGTGTCTTTCTCTCCCCCCCCCCATTCCGTTCTGGGCCCAGAATAAAGATTTATACTGTGTTGTGATTCGCATGGCAAGATATCAGTGGAAAAAAAGACACAAACACATCAATGCACACTAGCCGAAAATAGAAAAATATTTGAAAGGAACAGAGGAGGCACGACTTTGCATTCGGCTTGGCTTGGGCTGCTTGGCTTTCTTGAGATTCGGCTTGGTTTGATTGAGGCGAGAGGGAGTGAGAGTGGGACTGGAAGCGAGAGAGAGAGAGAGAGAGAGAGAGAGAGAGAGAGTGAGAGAGAGAGGTGCTTGGCTTAGGGCTTGGAGCTTGGCTTAGCTTCGGGCTTGGCTTGGCTTCGGGCTTCGGGCTTAGCCTCTAACTTGGCTTGGGGCTTGGCTTGGCTTGGCTTTTGTGAAATCTTTTTTTTAGCATCTGAATATCAACCACATGAAGTATTGCCTCCATTAAGTGTGGTACCGAAAACTACTGAATACTAAACAGTATTATCCCAGGAATAGATAAATCTAACAATGGAAAAGCCTGAAGTATACGACGAACCCCTGATTTCGGTAGATGATGCTCCAAATGAAAAGAAAGCGCTCGTAAAACAGTGTAATATAGACAAACATCTCTCTAAAATATTAAATATGCTTTCTACAAATTTTTTCGATACTAAATCTATTCATATATGAAGGCGGGGCTGAAACTGAGCGATAAAGCGCCGATGCAAGAGTATTGGGGCCCCTACAAGCCAGGTTTCACGATAAAGTACTCCCTGATACGTTAATATATTGATTAAAGTATATTTTAATAATAAAACGCTTAATTTTGTAATATTAGCTTTAATAAAGCTTATTTAAACGGTTAGCCGAAAAAGCGGTCGAGCGGTCGAGCGGTCGAGCGGTCGAGCGGTCGAGCGGTCGAGCGGTCGAGCGGTCGAGCGGTCGAGCGGTCGAGCGGTCGAGCGCTCGACCGCTCGAATGAATTGCCCAGAATGACCATGAAAAACCAAAAAAAAAGTGCAAAAGTGACGCGAGAGAGCCCAATACGGCACAGTACTCTAGTTACTCCACTGTAATCTGTAGTCCATCGGAAAATGTAAAAATCCAAAAACTTGTGCTTTTCTCGCCAAAAAAACACACACAAGAAATATGCCTTTTCGAGGTTTTTCCCGTGTTTTGGACGGCTTTTGAACAATTTTCGGGTCCTGAAACCATAAATGATAACCTGGTCGCTGTATTATCGCTTGTTTTTCGCCTTTTCGCCCGCCATGGTGCGTTGCTTGCGGTCGTGCCTTCTTACGGCCGCAATACGCATAGCGTTTCCGCGCTATTTACTCGGTTCGTAAAGCGCCCGGGGGCGCGCCCCAAATTGCGCCCAGGGGCGCGCTCACAGGCGCGCCCGAGGGCGCAATCAGGCAAAGCGCCCGAGGGCGCGCCCGAAATCCGAAAGCGCCCGCGGGCGCGCCCCAATCGCGTTGTAACGGCGTATAACGAATTCTTTAATGCTTTTATTATTAAAAAAAGGGCACTGCATCGCTTTGGAAGATGCTGTGCCCTATACTTAATGTAGATCTTCATCTTCCCTGAGAACATGTTCGTACGGCGCACCTGAAATAGCTTTTTTTTGATTTCTTGGCTTTAGCTTCATTTAGAACTTACATATACGTTCGAATGTGCGACGGACGGTTCCTAAAAGTGTAGCTAATTAACTAATTCCCTTTATAAACTTCGTAAGCTGCACTTACTTTGTTTCCGCTTCCTGAAAACTTACTTTAACTTCCTTCTTGCCGACTTACGTAGAAAATCCGCGCAAAGATACCGAAAACGTTGCGCTTCGCATTTGCAATGATGGCCATGATCGTCTAAAAGGTTGGCTATATAAATCGAGAATCTATAAATCTGAGTTTAAAATTTCGAAGATTATCAAAGTTTCGAAAGCATTTGCTGCGTAGGAGAACTTTACCTTCGTTACCTGTACCATGGCGATTCAAAGTATCGTTATCTACAATCGGCGACCATAACCAAGCAAATCTAGTAACGTTTGTGCTAATTTATATATTTTAAACATAAATAAGTGCATAATCCAGGAACTTAGGCGTTTTTTCGCAGAATTGAAAGGTGTTCACCATTCAAATGCGCCCGCGGGCGCGCCCCCAATTGCGCCCATGGGCGCTTTTTGCGCCCGGGGCGGTGTTGCGCCCTTTTGCACAAATTGCGCCCTAGGTGCAAAATGGCCCAGTTCGGGCGCGCCCGCGGGCGCTTTGGGTTTTTTGGGCGCGCCCGCGGGCGCTTTGCTAACCGAGTACCGAAAGCCACTTTCCGCGTGCGCACGATAACCTCGAAACAGCATATTTCTTGCGTGTTTCTCATTTTTATGGTCAAAGTTGCTGAAATGTCGTTTTGGCGATTTGCTGAAATGTCATCTTCCCGGTTTTTCGTTTTTCGTTTCCTTTATGGATTTTAAAGTTTTGATTTCCATTATTTTATTGATTCATTTTTGCTTTTTATTTATTTTTTTGCAGAAATTCGATGTCGACTGAAAACAGCGCCTCGGAAGAGCCGGCTGCATCGCCAGATCAGCCCACGGCCTCATCCGCCGCCCCGCCATCGACTGACCAGCTCGTATACCTGAATTTATTAACATTTACTTTCTCCATTTTTAGAACCATATCGACACGGTGCGACGAATGGTGAACGATGACATGCAAGAAGTAATGCAGGTAAAGAGATTATCGGTTCTTTGGCAGTATCGTTTCTTTTTTAAGGATAAAATTTTTCCAAATATAAAAAGCGCAACCGTTCTTTACGGCTCTTAGGCGTAAAAACTGGAGATTTGATAAAAATACCAAAAATATAGATTTTTTGACCAGAATAATCACCTTTGCGCAAAATTTCGAAATTTGTAAGTTTTTCGATGGTTTTTCCACTTAAATATAGTTAAATTCTACTAGAAAGACTGTTCCATGCCTTTCTGATATTCCTACACGTAAAACCGTTCCAAATTTTCGTCAAATATGCAAAAACATAAGTTTTCGTGCAAAAGAATTGCCGATTTTCGACCAAAATTTTCCGTGAAAAGATTTTTAGGTTGTTGACTGTTTTTCCACTTCAAATATGGCTAAATTTTGCTAAAAGCACTATTAGAACACGTATTTTTACGTTTCTAGGCATTTCGGGACTTTTAGAAAGAGTTAGCGCCTCCCCCCATTACTGCAAAAGAACCGATAAGCATGTGCTTTTTATAGAAATTCACCGAACAACTGGAGCTGGCGATGACTGACGGATCGAGCCAAAGACCCGAGTTCCTGAAGGTACTTGACGAATTCCAAACGGTCATTGATGAGATCGAGGCCAATCTGGTAGCTATTTATCGCTTTATGAAACTTTCTATGTTTAGCAATGCGTGATCGAGGCGCAGAATAATACGCGCAGGATGTGGAAAATGTTCCATGATGAGGAGGTAATTTTTGGAGTTTTGAATTATCGGGGGTGGGAGAACGTTTTTTCTAGGTTTCCAGAATTTTCTAATAATGTAATGCTCCTGTTTTAACGTTTTTTTTAGTTGAATTATCTATATTTCCGGCGGAATGGCGATCTGAAAACCTTGGAAAATTCGAAATCGGTTCTTTGCTATTGTTGCTCGAAAAATCTATATTTGTATCTTTTTTTATAAAAATTGATGCCGTTTTTGCGTTTAGAATATTAAACTGGGAAAAATTATTCATGAACTCCAGAAATTTTTATGAAAAAATACAAAAATATTGGGTTTTTTACCTAAAATGGCCGATTTTGACCAAAATTTCACAGTTTTAGATATTTTTTAGGGTTTTAGATGATTTTTGCGCCTTAAATAGTGTTGAATTTACCATAAAGGTCATTAAAGTACCTATTTTTATGTAATAAACATTTCAGGAATAATAAGGAACCCGATAATGGAAAAGATCCTTATTTTTTAGAGACGACCTGAGTGCAACATGACTAAACAGGGAATCGCCGATGTGGCGAAGCAGGGCGACACGTTGAAGGGGCTGATCAACAAGGCCGTCGACGCCGTCGTGAAAATGAGGGCCCGGCAGCCACTTCCTCAACAAGAAGAACACCCAAAAACGAATAAAAAGCGTTGAATCTGCGTTTTGCTCGTTCACTTGTTATAATCTTTGCTTGTTACTTTGAATAAATTGATTGTTTAGGACAGTAAAGTACAAAAAAAGCTTGAAAACGCAGAATTACTGTTTTTGTTTGCTTTCTTTTCGAATTTAGCAGGATTTTTGTTTTTTTTAGAAGGAAAACTCTACTCGTTTTGCTTCTTTTTTGGAAGAATGCCCATCGCGAAGGTAATTTATCCTCGGGTTTAAAGCTTAGAAATTCTATTTTGGTTCTTTGGCATTATCTGGGGGGTGAGGGCTGATTTTTCGATTATTCTAGCAATTCCCAGTTACGTAGTGGAAAAAAACCCTAGTGGAAATAACCCCCGTTTTTCAGAATAATCCGTATCAGCCTTCTCCGGGAGCCATTATGCCGGGTAAATTTTGAAAGGCGTGAGAAACCAGGAAAATTTAGGAAAGGCTGTTCCGGTTTCGTGAAATTCCGGTGAAGCCTACTGCTGGCCAACCCATTTTTGAAGGGCGGCATCGGGGATTGGAAGATACTATTTCTAGATCCGGACCCTTGGCTTATACTTCGTAAGGTTTCTACATCCAGAAAACAAAAAAGTGTTTCAGTAATTCAACACAGCTCATGGCCATTCAATTGACCGTCACTAAAACAATCTTTCAATTTGTCAGAATCGGTAAGAGATCAAAACGTTATATTATGTGGAATTTAGCTTTAGGCCTGATGTCCGCCGTCCCAACAATTCGCTGTGAATTGTGCGGAAGCGATCGGCCGATTAGCCCAAGCAATTGGTGATGCACAGGTAAACTGAAAGACTGATTACAGTAATACCGTTTTAGTACGTTGCATCGGTCGCTCAGTTCTGCTTTGGAAAACTCGAGACGGTCCGTGATGTCCCCACAAGAACAGGGTAGATCATTCATTTTTTACGAAGTCTGTGGATTCAGGTATTCTTTGGTGTTGGGCTGTTTGCACAAACACGTTGGGTCGCTCGGATCACCTCACCACCTGAAGACGGCAGTTGAGATATGCCTAGCATTAGCTCAGGAATCGACAAGCCCCGATTGTCCAGGTATAAAAACGAAATGTATCCTTCAGCAGTTTTCAGGCGTGGGCACTCGTTTCCTTGTCCTTGATCGCGGAGACTGGCTTAATTTTCCGAAGATTCGTCGATTCGGTGCTTTCCGTCTGTTTGCGGCTTCTCCTCATCGCAAATTGGTAAGGCGAAATACTCTGGTGACTTTCTCTGAGCGTTTTTCCAGTTGAATGATTCGATTACCTGCGTGGGCCCCCGAAATGGGACTATTTGGAAGCATCGACCCCACCCGCGCATCCCTTCTGATGGCTTGTGCACTACAATTCGCCTTCCCGCCCCCATTCGTCAAGGCAGAAGCTATTCAAGGCCTTCAACAAATGCATCTTTTCGCGCCCCGTTTTGTCAATTTACGTCTCATGGTTCTGGAGATTATAAGGTATTATTTTTCCGCCATTCAGATAGCAATGTCTTGTTTTCAGCCTGTTTTCCTATCCCGACCTGTGCTTGCGTCGTGCTGCTGTCTGCTGCCTTCGCCAATTGGTCCAGAAGGAAGCCAAAGAAGTGCGAGAGCATGCGCAAGTTCTCGTTTCGGAAGGCGTTGTCGATGAAACGAAGAAATTACCCCTCCCCGACACCGGCCTGGAAGGTGCTCTATTTGGGGATGCTGGATGTCGAGACAGATCCCACTTTACGGTATATTTTGCATTGGTTATCCAAAACTTTTTCTCTAGTTCCCATATCAAAGAGATGGTCATCTCCCTGGTGCAACCCACCAGCTCGGCCTGCCCTCAAAGTGGCACTCACTCTGCAAGGAATTGATGGCTTCAAGTGCTGGCTTCAGTGCTCGTAGAAGAGGCCCGTGATGAAGAACAGGATGAAGACGAAGATGGCGATGTCGCTCTGGTCAACAAGAGTTTTTGTCACCCAGGTGAGTACCACACGAATGGCTTAAAATACGCATTTTCCAACCTGATCTAAAAGATTTTTAGATTGTACAACGGCTGATGTCGGTTTGCGATTCGGAGAGGGCTCATCTGGAGTTGGCGCTGACGAAAGGACTGGAGATGTCATCCCAAGGCCGTGCCGACTACATCGTCCTCCACTTGTCCGACCCGATCCGACAGCCACCAGCGATATCGCCGAGCTTCGACTGGCCGGACTGTATTCTCTTCAAGATGTGCTCACCCGCTTCCGGCCGTGCCTGAACCCGAATTCCCAGGACATGTGATTTTGGAACAATTCCAAGCGCAGGTACTATCTGCATGAAGAATCAAAAATAATGTTTTGTTTTAGGTTGGTGTTTCTCTCCGGCTGGCATTCACCGATGAGACGCCCTCTGATGTGACGGCAGCAGCGTGCCAAGTCTGTTCCACCTGGATTGGCCGTGGCGTCGCTCGTGACCTGAACGATCTTCAGCGTGTGCATCAACTGCTTGTTTCTTCATTTGGAAAACTGTGACACGGATCAAATAACACCCAGCTCTACAGTGACAGCGCATCTACATTGGAGAAATTGAGCATCCTAAAGGCAAGGGCCGACGTTTACGTCTCGACAATCGAACAAGAGCGCAACATGGATCATCGACGAGTAGGTAATTTTTATAGCAATCAGGCCGATTGACTGTTAATAAATTGTTCGGATTCGCTCGTTATATTCCCCAATAGCTTTCGCCAAATTTATTTCCCAGATGACATCTACCCATCGGGATCAAGGGGAATCGCTGCTCCTTCTGGTTCAGCCCGAACTTGAACATCATGCCGGATATTGGCTCGCAGCTCTTAGGTATGGTGAATCTAATTGTTTTGATAGGTTGTTTAGGGACGCTGCTTTGCTTTCGCTCCCCTGCCAATTTCAATGGTCAAATGCCGAAAGAGGGCGGCGCTTTCTACCAGGTTTTTATCCGCTGTGAAATGAGAAACCGGCTCTTTAGAAAGATAGCGCGGATGCGTGTCGAGAATACTATCGACAATGCTGGCCACCCGTCCTATTGGCTGACCAACGCTTCTTTCGTGCTACCGACAGTCTGCGAGGTATGTGTAGTTCTTAGCTTCACAACCTTCTTAGTCGCCTGACGTCTGGCCGGATTCTCGCCGCGTTGCACGCCTTCACGTCATGTTCGGCTTGGCGATCGAAGCGCTGTCAAATCGTACGACGAGCATACAGGATGACGCCACTGTTCGAGTAATATTCAACGTGTCTACTGCAATGCTTTTACAGCCATATGTGAAAGCCCCACACGCGCTCTTCATGTACGATTGGGTCCAAATGCAGGCGATGAGCGATGTACGAGGCTGCTCGAAATCATAAATGTTTTGCACAGGTATGCGCGGCCATCTAGCTCAGATTTTGATATATTCCAGGCTGATCCTACAATGCTGCGTTGATTGTACGTCCGTAATTCTTGACGCAGCAAGGGCTTCTATCCAGATTAGTACGAAGAAAGGTGTGTATATTGTATCATCTGTATTATTCGTTTAGATGTCGAAAACGGAAATGTCGAACCAAAGGCGGTTGCTGTACCGAGCAACCTCTTTGCCGGCGGTGAAGGTGCGGCTATCGGGAAACCCCACGCGAACACGAAAAGGGAAAGACGGTCGACTCACTCAGCAAGACACTGAGCTACGCATTCCTGGAGTTGTCCCTCTGCGTCATAGTTCGACAGGTATGATCGCTATTTGATTAAGAATCGTTTCAGATGCCCCAACTGAATAGCAGCGCCATGATACGCTCGCGATCGACAGCTCCTTTGCACCAAAAGCGAGTGAGCCGACTAACGACAGAAGGTGCAAGGCTGGTCCAGTGTGCGTTCGCCTACTTTCACAGGTTGGCGAATGACTTCTGCGACTTACTAGCAGCATATTTAGATACCGCATCTGCTGCATCCATCTGCCCTTCCTACAACATTATCCGTCCTTCTCCATGTGGCTGTTTCGCGAGAAGCAGCTCGCATCGATGGGTCTTCCATCATATCCGATTTGCCGCCGGGTCACATCACAGGTATCGAATCGTTCCAAACATCTTCATTCATTCGTTTAGGCGAGCTACTAATGTCTGACGGCCCGAAGAACATCGACAACGCGTCATCCTTGTGGCAGCTATTCTCACTTGTTCGGCGGCTTCGACTCATGCGGTTTATGCAACACAGCGAATCCCAGGAATGTCTATGTCTGCTAGCCAAGAAGCAACTTGCTAGTGAACATCTTCAGGTGAATAGTTAGCTTTTGTCCTTTCCTGCAATGCTGATTTTGTGGTTTATCGTTATAATTCTTTGATTGCAGGTCGTAATCCGGACGCTTCAAGCCCTTGCGTCGCTGTTTGCCCGCCGAGATGCTCGACAAATCTATGCTCGACAAATTGGCCCTCAAGTCTATGGATTGCTACAACCATTTGTAGTTGGCAATAAGGTTGGCACTTTTGTACAATAAAACCCCGAGATTCAGACGCGAGATCTTGCATTGGCGGTCATCGACAATCAACTCTGCATTATTAGCGAAGGTATCAAGGCGTTGGAGTGTATAGTGGGCGCAGCTGGCGCTAAATCAAGTAAGTGTTCTTTTCCACAATAACTAACTTTATTTTTCTAGAATTGGCGATCCTGAACATTCTAGTGCAATCCCTGTACGCTCTGATCTTATGTACCAATCAGGTAACCTCACAGCTGGTTTGGTTATCTTTTCTTCCAGGATGAATGGCGAGCGCTAAATCCGACATCAAGGAAGCTTCACGAAATATTTCTCCAACGCTTGAATATTATTGCCCCAGCCCATCCTGTGCATTTCAAAACGGTAATTTTGATCCCGGAAACATATAATTTGTCTCAGGTTCTTTCTGCACATGCAAAGCTCGAAGCGGCGCTGCTCTTCCAGGCTTCTCGGGTCAGCCAGGCAAGCCAATTGCAGAAACAACGTCTGGCCGAGATGAATAAGGTGCGTACTTTTTCTGTAGCAGGATCGGTAGGATAGATAACGTCGCAAATTTTTATAATTTACGTTTAGACGTCTACCGCAAGCGTCATCGAACCATCCATCAATTTGACGATGGATTTCAACAACACTTTCAACCGGGCCGCCGCTGCAGAATAATGATTTTTCTAAGAACGGTTCCAAATTTCTACCTCATGCCCCTGTTTCCCTATGTGAATACGTGTATTAATAATGCTCAATTATATATCGGCAAAGCTTTACGAAATTCACTTTGCAATGAAATTTTTGCCCGTTGCAATTAATTGTTTGCTTATATTCCCCTCCTTCCGTGTCTTAGACGCAATTTTTTTACTGTATCATCGGGATTGGCTGTGGATTCACCCCTGGTCTACTGCTTCACGGAGTCACAATCGGGTGTTCGTTTTGGTGAAGAGAAAGAAAGCATGCGTTGAATAAACTTTTTTGTTGTGATACCAGCAGTACAAGCATAACCATGGTATTTAGAACCACCGACTTCAAAGTGTATTAGAACCGGATTCATTTGGAAGCCATCCGGAGTTTAGAACACAACCTATGTCGACGATATTTGCTTTGAGCGCTTGGGGAACCATAATTCCTGTTGCACAACAACGTTTAGGCCCAAGAAGCAAGGAATTATTGTCGACATTATCAAGGAAGAAGATACTTCAACCACGTCAGCTCTTCTTTTCAAAGCTCTACGACCACGACAGTAGCCTAATGGATTCGGCAATGGCAGCATACTTACCGGGTAACTTTCTAAAAATGCTTTCTTCATCCTTGGCACCTTTTTTCAAGTATTCTCACATTAATTCCCCGATTTTAGGCCCATCTACATTTACTGGTGAAGATCCCACCGAGCTATATCTCCACGGCAGCAAGGCAGTCGTTGACACAGTCGCTAAGTGTCTACTCAAATTTGACGGACTTCGCCATGCCAAGCGTGGAGAATTTACCAAAAAGGTAGTCCTACCTAACAACAACTTTTCAATAATTCTAGAGCCTTCTATAACGGCAAATTGGATCTCACCGCCGCTCGGGGTCTGCACAACTTGATCAATTCTGAGACTGATCGGCAGAGGAGGCAAACAAACCATCCGTTTTACTCATTTTCCTTTAGACATGCTCAGCGCTAGATGGAGGGCGATCGCGATTTGCAGCATATTCGTGATCAACTCTTGGAAGCTTTCGGCCGGGCCACGCTGATGATCGATTTTGGTGAACACGTGAATACAAGCTTAGAAGACGTAAGGCAGGTCTTAGTCTGCTGTAGAAAACAAAGAAGTTTAGAGTACGGATACGACAACTAAGGAAGTCTCTCGATGCGCTGATCCGACGCTTCAGAAGTGCCGAGCTTATACATCGAGGACTTAAAATTGTATTGGTCGGCCGGCCGAATTCTGGAAAAAGCAGTTTATTAAACCGACTTGGTGAGCGAAGAAACTCTTTTGTTATTTGAAAATTTAGTTGAACGAGATGTTCCCTGTGTATCAAACATCCCTGATACGACCCGGGACTCAACTGAGGTCACTTTCGTACGTTCGCCCAGAATTCTTTTAGGTTCGTCTACAGATAAATGGCGCCATGCTGACAGCTACCCTCGTTGATACAGCAGATTCGTGAAACCGATGATCTTATCGAGAAGAAGGAGTGAAAAGGGCGAGGAAAAAAGTATGTGATTTAATAACTGCATTTAATTTTCCTTCAGGTTGAAAGAAGCGGATATCGTCTTCTTAGCTGTGTCTGATGCTCGAGAGGACGACATTGTGGTGGGAGCCACCAATTGGCTTGAAACCCATTTTAGCTTGACGAACTTCTCAGCGATCTACAAGAGGTTGTGAATGGCGCACCGATCAATGCTGTGAAAAATAAAGCCGATCTAGCATCTAACAAAGTGGTCGGTGCTGTTTGTTTCTTATTTCCTCCTTAGCCCGCCAACAATCAATCACTGTCCGCTTCTGTTCTCTCATGTGCGTTGACCACGAAAGGAATAGAGGAATTGTGGGCAAATTTACAGAGGTAATTGTGGTTCTTTTTTAGAATTGTTGTTTAGGGTGGTTGATGACATTTGCCCGGAAGAGAGCGGCCCTGCGTCGGCTCAAGTTGAACTGTTAACGGAAGCTCAGGACGCCGTTCTTCAGGCTAATTCCGTGGTATTTTTTGTATTGTATTCAGTGGTATATACGTGCCTAGTCGGATGTGGCCTTACGCGAGCATCATCTACAAATTGCCTTCGACTGCGTCGGCGAATTAACCTGCTCTACGGTCAATGGAGCTGTACTGGATCGGCTTTTCGCGCAATTTTACATCGGTAAAGATAGTTTTGTTGGCGTTAGCACAAAGGGTAGTCGAGAGAAAATAGCGGGGGGGGGATAGCTCCTTACCAATTTTAGGCGCGAAACTCGCGCGAGACACTTTCCCTGTCTTATATTATAAAACGGGCGAGCGGACAGTTTTACGTCTCGAATTTTGGCGTATCTTTCGTCCAGCTTTGTAGTCTGTAGTCCAGTTAAAAAAAGTAAAATTGATAATAACCGAGCTACATTTAAAATTATGGATTTTGAACATTTTCTGTGAATTAAAGTTTTTATAAATGGGGTTTCTGCTTCCCTAAGACTAAAAACAGCTAAAACAGGTAGAAAGTTGTAGTCTGTAGTCCATGAAGAAAACTAAACCCCTAGAAATCGAAAATAGCCAGCAATATTTAAAATTATGGGTTTTGAGCATTTTCCTTTATCTAAAGTCGTTATAAAAGAGGTTTCTGCTTCGCTAAACGAGGTGAAAAGTTGTAGTTTGTAGTCCAGCAAATAAATGTCCAGATTTTAGAGCCCTGAAAAAGGTGGAATTAAGGAAATTGTTGTTTTTCGAGGTTTCTACCGTAGATTTCCATGCTTTTTAGGTTTTATTCGTGAAAACAGTCTTGTCCAATGGATAGTAATTTTACAAAAATAATCTGTCGCGTCGGTGTCTTTCTCTCCCCCCATTCCGTTCTGGGCCCAGAATAAACATTTTATACTGTGTTGTGATTCGCATGGCAAGATATCAGTGGAAAAAAGACACAAACACAGAAATGCACACTAGCCGAAAACATAGAATTATTTTAGAAGAACAGAGGAGGCACGAATTTGGATTCTGCTTGGCTTGGCCTGCTTGGCTTTCTTGAGATTCGGCTTGGTTTGATTGAGGCGAGAGGGAGTGAGAGTGGGACAGGAAGCGAGCGAGAGAGAGAGAGAGAGAGAGAGAGAGAGAGAGAGAGAGAAGAGAGAGAGGCGCTTGGCTGGGGCTTGGAGCTTAGCTTAGCTTCGGGCTTGGCTTGGCTTCGGGCTTCGGGCTTGGCCTCTAACTTGGCTTGGGGCTTGGCTTGGCTTGGCTTTTGTGACTTGACTTCAGGCTTGGCTTCTTACTTTGAAAATAAGCGTTGAAATTAGAGTTATAAACGTTTTGAAGTACAGTAAATTTCTATAGCTTTTGCTCTGCTTTTCTTGATGAGGGGGCATTGCGCGCCAGCTAATTTGATAGAAAAAAGTGGGGGATTCCGGCTCGGACCGTTATCGCGTCGTTAGGATGGCCTTGGAATGCTGGAAAAATTGGGCGCCATGGGGGGATCGGATACTGAGCGATTGGAGCTTGGAAAAAGGTGGAAGCGACGGGGCAGGACAAATGACATGCTAATTTCTCAAACGGAGCGATTCTGCGAAGGATAAAAGCCAAAAACTGGTTCACGCGGCCGTTGGACCTGTAAATTAGTTTTAAATCGATTTCTTCAAAATCCAAACATTTTGCTAGCGGTTTTCCTAATTTGCATAAAATGGTCTCCAAATTGGATTTTAGAAAGGATTTGAGCTTTGGGGGAGCGTTTGTTCTGGGTATTGGACGCCAAGAGCCGATGTCCCCGAAACGCGCGCCAGCTGGCCGTATGGTTGGCGAATGCAGGGGCGCTAATTTGCACAAACCAGGCTCGGGAATTTATTTAGCACACTGTAAATCTAAACTGTAAGCCCTACAATATAAAAAACAAGCAAGAAAAAATTCTGGGTCCCGGCGCGAAAGGGCGCGGCGATTACGGTATCGGGGTGTTGGGTGTACAAACAAGGACATAGATCGAGAAATCTACTCACTGAGAGATAGTCCGATATACAGTTAGATGAACCGTAGACCAGATAGAGATATAAAGAGAGAATCAGAGAGTTAGAGCACGAGAGAGACTGGTGCTCATGCATAAATCGCCCCTAGGGGGTTGAGGGGGGATAGTGGAGGGCTGTGACCTCAAACAATCAGCCCGGACTAGTGGAAAGGGTGAGAACAGGAGGGAGAGAGCGAGAGAAGAGAGAGACACTAGAAAGAGGGAGAAATGGGCGGAGAAAGAGAGGCGAGAACCCCCCGCAGCCGGCTGCCACTAACCCGTCCCATCCCCCTCCCCCATTCCATTCTACCACTATCGCCAGTCCGCGAACATGAACGGGCGTATGTCGCGGCTACGCAGGTTTGTACTTTGCATGGCAGTTTAAATAACTTCTACCTTGCAAAAACCATTAGTCGCTTTAAGACAATTTTTTAATCGATTTTGGCCCCAAAAATGGCAAATTTTCGTCTGAAAAATTAAAAAAACCCATTTTTTTCGCGGATTCTTTTGTAATAAAATTCCCTTATTAATATCATTACCAAAAACACTACCGTATCCTTGCGTATGGGTATTAAAACCCACCAAAATCTTGATAAACGCTTCAGAAAAATTTTTTAACCGATTTTAAGCTCAAAAATTGGTCTAAAAAAGTTTCAAACTCAATTTTTCGCATATTCTTATGTAATAAAATTCCGCTATTAATTCCATTACACCAAAAACACTACCGTATCCTTGCGTAAGAGTATTAAAACTGGGGAAATTCAGCTCTAAAAGTCGGACATCCTCCAATTTACACCCCAAAAACCCTACAAAATTTCCGAAAATGCGTCTAATTGGCAGATCGTTATCCCGATCCCTCGTCCAGCTGAACAATGTCACTTTTCGGAGAATGCGGTAAAGAAATTGAATTCTTGTGGCTTGGCTACGATACTTTACGTTGCGCCCCCGTTCCTCTTTTCCTACACTTACACTTCAATTTTCTTGTTAAAAACGCGTTTTAAAAAGTGTGCTGTGAATTTAGGAAGTTAGAGCGAGAGAGAGAGAGAGAGAGAGAGAGAGAGAGAGAGAGAGAGGGGGGGGGAGAGAGAGAGGGAGAGAGAGAGAGAGAGAGAGAGAGAGAGTGAGCGAGAAATCGAGTGAGGGAGCATCAGCATGAGCTTACCCTCAATTTAATTAATTTTCATTGATTTTTCTGAATTTTTAGATCCCTCTCCCGCTCAGTCCACCAATTAAATGCCGTAATTCCACTCAGCCGCCAGAACAACATCGAGCTCCCCGATTTACCTTCTCAATCCGAAGGAGTCTTGCTCTCCAGATTCGCTGTAAGTTATTTTTGCTATTTTGACGTTCTCTTTTGTTTACATTCCCCTCCCACTTCATTCTGAAAATTGTTTATTTGAGGTCATTTTCTGTTTATTTAGCTGTTGTTTTGGGGGAATTTCGGTAGTAGCAGCTTTCTATTAATTTTTTTGGGTTTTTGGGGAGCGTCAGATCGTATTTGGGTTCCTTTTCCTTTTTGCCCTTTTTCTGATAGTGTCAAATAAGCGTAGCATCGCGGAATCGAGGGCATTGGGGGGAGTGAGAAATGGATGGATAGATTGTTCCCAAGAGATGAATCGAAAGAGGGGTTCCGATCTATAATTGGATGCGGTTCCACTTGGAATGGGTTGGCTGGGCGCCAGATTGTAGAAAAATTGTAGTTTGTCTTTATAGATACTGTAAAAATTTAGAATGTCTTATAAAACGTTAAGCTGGCCGTCATTTTGTATAAAACATCGTTCAAAAATTTTTTTGTTACTGGGGAATTTTTTAAAAATCGTTCAACTAGCCGCCAGTTTACCTAAAACGCATACTGTAACTCGATATCTACAGTATAAACTTTAAAACCCACCCAAATCGATAAAGTGACTGCCAATTCCACCAACTATGAATCCCGATAACGTCTAAATACCGGATAATCCGATTTTAGTAGCCTTTTTTGCATCAGCGCGGCCGTTCGCGCGTTTGATTCCCCCTCCATTCGTTCCTATGCACATTATTTGCCTAGTCAACCTCCCCTAAAAGATGGACAGAAAGGATGACGATCTTTTGAAAGGGAGGGGAAAACCGGGCATCATTGTGTCCCAACGAGGAAAAAGAAGAAGAAGAGAGAGATAACAGCTGTCCCTATCGCCTTTCCTTTTCTTTAGATTCCTTTCAACTTACGTAGCTGCTTTCTGTTTCTCTCTCTCTTTCTTTCTCTCTCTCTCTCTCTCTCTCTTCCCTAGCACTACTCCTTACACCCCTGAAAAATCTCAGTTCCAACTCGGCTATATCAAAGGAAAGATGAATATTGAGATTAGAGTGACCTAGATTCCGCGAAACCGGCAAAAAATGAAGGACGAGGGAGCGCATTCCCTCGGAAATGGGTTCCACACCAAAAAACCTAGCCATCGCCCAAAAAGCAAAAACATTTCCGTGTTGGGGATTAAACCCGGGTTGTTTCCTTGATAAGGAAGAGCTTTACCAATTGACCAAGTGCTTCGGAGAACAACTTTTTTTAATTTAGCTAAAACCGTAGAAAATTCTAGATTTCAGGCCCAAAAACCAACCTAAAATCCAAAAAGTGAAAAAATTCCTTGCCGGTGATCGAACCCGGGATGTTTTCCTAGTAAGGCAGTAGCTAAATCGTAGCTTTTCCTTGTTTGATATTCACTCAAAAAGAATTCCCGTGAAGGGATCCACGTTGTTTGTTTGCTGGAAGCTATTGTTGGGGGTGCTGAGAAGAAGCGGAAATGGCAAAAAAGGGGGGCCGCTTCTCGCGCCGCGTCAACTCGAGAGGGGGGGACACTCATAATTTTCGGCCTATGACTCAAGGATAAGCTCAAGAAATGTTGAATTGATGTTTTTGGGGGTGATTCAGGGGGGAAAAGTAGAGAAAAATCAAGCTTGGGCTTTGGCTTAGCTTAGCCTAGGCTATTTAGCTTTTTTATATTCTCCAACCCTCCAAAAAAAACACTCTCTCATCAATTTCATGCCGTAAACGGTTGTACTCCGTACTTTGTACAACTTCGTACAAATTTCAAGAAACCCCAAAATTCGGGCGGCTTTCCCCCCGGGAAACATTACTAAAACGGCTGCTGATTCAGAGCCCCCAAACGTATGGCCAGCTGTCGGAATTGGTCACCAAACACAACGATGCGCTCCGCGAAGTCATTGCCGTTTTTGAGGAAAAGTAAGGGATTTGGAGGTTTATAAATGGTGCTATTAAATAGACAAATGAGAATCCTATATCCCTACTAAACTGTTTATTTAAAAAAAATCGCTTATTAAAAGGTTATACGCCTTTTAAAGCGGCCCTTATTGCCTAAACCTCAAAATTTTGCCTTAAAAACTATATATATCTTTTTTATATTAAAGCCTTTTCCTAAAAAAATTCCTCGCCAGACTACCCCTTATTTCTAATTCTCTATCAAATGGTAGCTAAATCTAAAGTATCACTAGCTCTAAAAAGTTTTACAACCCATCTCCCAAATTTCCAGGGTGGCCATGGACTTCACGTACGCCAAGACGATGCACAAATTGGCGCAACGGCTTCAGAAAGTGTCTGGAGATGCTCAGTGGTGGGCACAAAGAAGAGAGAAGCTAAAACGAAAAAGAAAACCTGGCTCAAATTAGCGAAATTCCGTTTTTTACGGTCGTAAAGTCGAAAAACAGGTGTTCCAATTTGTGAAGGTTCCTTGGGGTAAGTAGGCCTTGAAAAAGACCTAAAAACTAACTAGGGACTGCGAAGCTGGGCTACAAACTACAAGATAAAACATAATACAAGTTAGTTAAACGAAATTCAGTTTTTTACTCATCGTAAACTTGCAAAAAAGATGTTTTCCATCTAGTGAAGTGTCCCAGCAATTTGAAAAACCTCAGAAAACCTAAAACTCGACAGAAATCGCCAAACTGGACTACAAACTGTAAAATAGAACAAAATATAAGTTACATTATAGCTAAATTCCGTTTTTTATTCATCGTAAACTGGAAAAATGGGGGTTCCAATTAGTAAAAGTGATCCTAGGAACCTGAAAAACCTAAAAGAACCAAAAAGACCTTGCTAAAATGTCAAACTGGACTACAAACTATAAAATAAATAAAATCTAAGTTCATTTACAGCGAAATCGATCGTGGCTGGGGCAGTGTCGCCGAACAATTGACAGCTCATGCCACTCTACACAGGTAAAAACTCGCCTAAAATCTTGTAGCTTGTATTTTAGCAACCTGGGCTCGGCGTTTAACGATGATTTAGTGCAACCATTAAGAAGTATCTATACAAATCAACAGAAAACGATACGATCGGTAATTTATAGTTGTTTATTTTTGGACAAATTGTTTTTATTAGGCAAATAATCTAGTGGACAAAGAAACGCGAAGATGGAAGGAGAAAAAGGAGGAATTGGCAAAAGCTAAAAGAAGTCTCTATGTATCGAGTAAAGAATTGGAAAAGATTGAACAGTTAATAGATGCTGATCAAAATATGGCCAGCAAGGTATGAAAAAGAAAAAATTAGTTCAAAATAGGTTTTTAATAGTTTTCATTACGCCGTAAAAAGCTGACAGAAACTGTGAAAAAAGGCGAAGATGATTATTTATATTCTACAATTGATGTGGAATCACAAAGAAGGTACAAAAAAGCGAAAATTAGGAAAATCAATTGATTTAGGGCAACTTATGGAGTTTTGAAAAAAGCTGTGGAAAGTATTGAAGCTGTAGAAAGACAAAGATTGGCCCATTCACAGGTAAAACTAGCTTTATTAAGTAATAAAAACATTATAAAACTATTTAGACAGCGCTAGGAAGAGTACAGCGTAAAATGGAACAATTAGCGCCGAATATAAATCAGGTAAAATCAGAAAAAAATGGATTTTAATGAAAATTAACAGATGTTTGATCGTTTCGCGAGTGGATTAGATGTGGCTGTGGCTTGCGATTCGTCGGCTTATATAAATTCGTTACAATCCGCCTCGACAGCCGCCCATTCTGTCACTTTGGTCGATTATTTTGTAAGTATTTCAGGGGTATCTTTTAGGGGTGTATATGAGGAAAATTGGTGCGCGGATGGGGACCCTTGCGCGCCCCCAGCCACCCCCACCCTTCTTATCCCCCTCTCCCCCTCCCCCTCCCAGTTGGGTACATGGCTCAGTTGGCTGCGCGGCGCCTCTGTAGTCCAACGGCCGAGAGATCGGATCCGTTTCGCATCCCCTATATGTTTTGCCTTTGCTCAAATTGTCAATTCTTTTGCGTTTTGCTTCTAATCATCGGGAAAGCAATTTATTTTGCAAAATACTCAAATTAGCCGATTTTATCAGGGCAAACGTCGAGGGTTCAATCCCCTCCGAGAACAATCTTTTACTTTTTGATCAAAAACGTTCAATCCTTGGCTCTATACTGATAGCGGGGTCCTTAACTTTTAACGGGGTCCTTAACTTTTATCGGGGTCCTTAATAATTATCGGGGTCCTTAACTTTTAACGGGGTCCTTAAAAAATATCGGGGTCCTTAGATTTTTACAGGGTCCTTAAATTTTGGCGGTAAAAAATTCAGGACTCGGTTAAATAACGACCTCCTTAAAATTTTAAAAATAGTTTTGAGGCTCTGGGTCCATGACCCTTGCCAGAATGCTTAAATATAGTGGGCATGACGAAATAACAAGAGTGGTTTTTGTAAGATGTTTTAACGAAGTAGGGAACTTAGAAGCGAAAAAGTATGGAACTTTTTAGTATTTTGAATCAAAGAAAGCTATCGGAGTGCGCTATCAAACATATGGTAAAGATAATCGATCGGTTTGTATTTGCTACATGTAATCCTGGTTGCAAAAGAGATCCATATCCCAAAATTAGTCATATTAGTGTAAAACTAAAGATACTTCCTACCGGCACCCTCATACGCAATACTTCAAAAAAAAAAAAGTTGCCAGCGGCGCTTTGTAGAGGCACTAAAAACAATAACGATGCAAGGCAGCAAATCAGCAAAATCTATGTTCCAGGGCGGGGTTCGAACCCGAGCTACAAGCCTTCCCAGACAGTCTGCTAACCACTTGGCCAGCAGGAAACCGATAGCCTATCTTAGGGAATAACACCCCAGAGCCTCGAAGCTATTTTTAGAATTTTAAGGACGCCGTTATTTAAATTTTTTACCGCCAAAATTTAAGGACCCTGTAAAAATCTAAGGACCCCGATATTTTTTAAGGACCCCGTTAAAAGTTAAGGACCCCGATAAGTATTAAGGACCCCGATAAAAGTTAAGGACCCCGCTATCAGTATAGAGCCCAATCCTTTTGCTTTTTGTTTCTTTCCTTAGAAAACGCGTTTATCCATTTTTAAATAGCTTCAAACCTCTAGAATAGGGACTCAAAATCCAAGTATTTTTCTGGCGGTTTCGACCCGTTTTCCCAATTCTCTCCCCATCCATCCAGACTCGTATCAAAAATTGTATATCGATTTTTTTTGTAAATCTTAAAACAAAATTTTTTTCTTTTGCTTTTTATTTTTAAAGCTTAATTTTGGGGTTAAAATGGGCCTCAGAGTCGCCGACACGAAAAAATATCTCGAAAACCACTGAACCGAATTTGCTAAAACGTTGCGCTAAGCCATAATTTGAGTGGCGGAACATTTTTCTAATACATTGCGAAACCTGAAAGTGGTCGGAACATAGGTATATCGCGTACAAAAAACAGTTGCCTCGGAATTAGTAGTTTTCCGGGTGATCGCTGCATCTAGCGATTAGTGGCAAAATGATGCGTCAAAATTTTGTGTATTGATGTATCTCTTAGAATGCAACCAGCGGCCGTAAATAACTAAAAATTGTCCTGAATCGGCCACCGGAAGACCAAATTTGGCAAATATTTCAGGGAGTGAAATGGCTGTCATTCTAGGGCTCCAGTTGGGAAGAACGCAAAAAAAAAGAGCAAAAAGAAATTCGCTTTCTAAAGGGACTTATTTAGAGGTTCCCCAGCGCAGGGATCCCAGGCCATCTTGGTCGATTATTTTGTAAGTATTTTAGAGGGAATTTTTACACGTGTCTATTAGGGAGATGAGGGGATGGGGGGCACCCTGGAGCACACTAGCTTCCCCCTCCCTTCTTATTCCCCTCTCCCCCTTCCCCACCCAGTTGGGTATATGGCTCAGTTGGTAGCGCCGCTCCTCTGTAGTCACGGGGCCGAGAGATCGGATCCCCCACCGTTCCTTTCCCTTTTGCTTTTTCTCGAAAACCTTCAAAACCTTTTGCTTTTTGCTTCTAATCATCGGGAAAGTAGTATATTTTTGCAAAATACTCAAATTAGCGGATTTTATCAAGGCAAACGTCGAGGGTTTTGCTCCAAATTGACATTTTTTGCGTTTTCCATATCTTCCTCCGAAAACCCGTTTATTCATTTTTAAATATAGTTAAAACTTTTAGAATGGGGCCTCAAAATCCAAGTATTTTTCTGGCGGTCTCGACCCGGTTTTCCAATTCATCTCTCCATCCATCCAGACTCGTATCAACGATTCGATTCTTTTGTAAATCTTCGCATTCGTTTCTCGATTCAATTGGGCACTAAAATCATTTTTTAATTTCGAATTAAACTAAATTTTAATTCTACCGTACCTCTTCTTTGTAATGTAGTTTTAAGGCCATTCCCTCAGGTATGGAAACAGATGAAGCAACTTCTTTAAACATTCGATGCAGGCCAAAATGATTGAAAACTGTTGCCACGTTTTTAGTGCTAAATTGGGTTTTAAAGGTTTAAAAAAAGCGATACCTTGTAAAACTTTTGCCGTAATTTTGTACTTTACTTGTCGTTTTTGATCTCTCATTATTTCTCAGCATATAGAGATAATCAGGATACTTTAAATCCGGTTTTAAAGCCGGGAATTTGAAGACATTTCTGATGCTTATCGACGATAATCTTTTCCCCTTTTTCAGGTTTTCTACCTAAAATCGATACGGTTTTGTGTAATTTTAATACTAAAACCACCTCAATCAACATATCGCTGTAATTTCTATGCTTTAATGGCACGATCAATTCATCAGAATCTATTATCAAGATGTAGTCGAATTTTTGGGAATATCTAAATTTATTAAATTGGTATAAATTAGAGTAAAATACCTATAAAAACAGTCGTTATACGGTATCAGCTCCAATCTTCGTTTTTGCTGTCTATTCCTCCAGATATAGGCGCTTCTCTCTAATGGGAAATTCGGGAATCCATTGGGCAAAAGTAATGGGATCTAAAAAAAATTTGTTTTAAACTTTGTAAAATTACCCAATCAATTAATCCATTATTTTTATAATGTTGAAGTACGGTAGCTGTCCTCTCGGTCACCATATAGGTGTAAATCCCGATCCGCGAGGCCCCAAATAACTTTTGCGCTTCGAGCCACTCCAAAAGACGATCGCTACGGTCTTCCTATTTTCGGAATTTTTTAAATTAAGTTAAGATATACCATAAAATCCATTCCTTTAAGGCATACGGCAATTTTTCTCGCTTTTTCTGGCTTGTCGATCGTTTCCGGCCGTTTTATTTCGATAGAAACATCATTTCCCACACATTTTTCGGGGCTAATCGACAGTATAAAATTAGCATTATTTCTGTAAAAGTTTTATTTAATAATTTAAAGTCCACTTACCGTAATCTGGCTGGAATTGGGCACGTCAACAGGCTCGGGACCCAAAATTCGTCCCTTGGGTCCCAGGCCCGTTGCCATATCTCGCGGATGTAGCCTCAAAATTTTTTCTAATAAGAATTTTCCGTTTTTTACCTTTTACCACGCTTGTCTGCCTGCCAGAAAAGATGTTACAATAAATATCGGTTCGATTTTCGATGGTATTTCTCGACATTAATAGCACCTATCAAAATTTGGCACTAAAAGTTGCCAAAAAAAAGCTTTAAAACCTGTAGGGCCGCATTTTGGGGGTATAATTCATTTTGGCGCTCGTCAAAATAAGCGGAGAAAAGCTAAAACTATTAAAAACAATCATAGAAATAAAGATTACTTGAATATTTTCATTAACGTTCTGCCAAATTCCACCCTGGCTAACCGTTTTTGGGAAATAAGGTCGGCAACCCCAGGAAAATTCTTCTACACTAGATTCCTGAATTTATATAAATTAAATAAATAGAATTCATATCCTTTTCCTACCTCCTCAAAAACAGCCCTCACTTCCGCTTTTCCTCGCGACAACTTTTTCATGTAATCGATGGCTTCGGATGCCTTTTCCAAGTCCAAATAGAAATCTCCCTAAATAACTAGTTCATTAAATGAGATTTTCAATGCTTTTACCCATATTTCATCGCTAATAATTTGTGGTTTCTTTGGTAATTTTCTGGCTTCTTCAAGTTCTCGGATTTCCAAGAAAAATAGAATTAAAACGAGGCCAATACAAGCACTTCCGAGTCTCAAACGGGAATGCCAGAAATTAAAGGTGCTTCTCATAAAATATCTAAAAATGTTTGATCGAAGAGAGAGAGAGAGAGAGAGAGAGAGAGAGAGAGAGAGAGAGAGAGAGAGAGAGCGAGAAAGCGAGAGGGAGAGCGAGGGAGAGAAAGAAAGAAAACGGAGCTATATGTCAATAGTATCGAATGGGACTGTTATTTGGGGCAGTTGGATGACCTTGAGAGAGACTAGGGGCGTTCCTACACTAACCTTGAGCCATCAATTCGGAGCATCTGGGAGCAAATCGAGATCTCCTTTTTCTATAGAAATTAATTTTCCTGCAGAAATTGGCGTTGGGCGCAAAAGGCAAAAAATTGTTCTTGGAGGGGATTGAACCCTCGATGTTTCGCTTGATAAAACCATCGGAGTTGAGTATTTTGCAAAATAAACTGCTTTCCCGATGATTAGAAGCAAAAAGCAAAAGAATTGAACGTCTTAGACCAGGGTACAAGAGGGGCCAGCACCCACCCTTACTGGTAGGGACCGTCCCCACCATTCTTGTACCCCTCTCCCTCTTCCCCTCCCAGTTGGGTATATGGCTCAGTTGGCAGCGCGGCGCCTCTGTAGTCTTAGGGCCGAGAGATCGGATTCCCTACCGTCCCCTCACTTTTGCTTTTTGCTCGAAAACCTTCCAAACCTTTTGCTTTTTGCTTCTAATCATCGGGAAAGTAGTTTATTTTGCAAAATACTCAAATTAGCCGGTTTTATCAAACCAAACACCCAGGGCTCAATCCCCTACGGGAACAATCTTTTGCTTTTTGCTCTAAAATTGTCAATTAATTTTTAATTGGATTTCTAGTCGCTCAAAGGGCCAGTTTTTTTTCCTGAAATCCACCTAGAAATGTTTGATTTAGGCGGAAAACTTCTCTGAAATAATCCTCGGCGAAAGGCGGAAAAGCTCGCTGAGAAGAATTGCCGGGCTATTGGATCGAGAATTGAGGACAGCATATAATAAAGGGCTGCCAATACCTGCCGCCGGCGAATTGGTAATTAAAATATCGAATTTAATTTAATAAAATGATGAATTTAGACCCAAGTCGAGTTCCTGGAATTTTTATATTATAAAATAAACGAAAGCGTGAATTCGGCAGAGGGTGGAGCGTCGAGGGGATATCATAGATTGGCCACATATATGCAGAAAAGTAAGGATAAACAGGTACGGCTATAAATAACACTTTTCCATGCTAAATTCTTTACAGGGATTAACGAATAGCTCGCTGATAATTCCACTTTCGGAGTCTCTAACAGGAAATGATCAACGAAATGAATGTTTTGTCGACAGAACCGATGATTATGATCGCGTAATCGAATAGAAAAATTGAAAGTGTTAAAAAATGAGGTTTAGATTTCGGATGAAGGGTTCTATAATTCGTCTGGGCCGAGGAGTACTGATGAAGGAATCGAGAGTATGAATACCTATTCCATTGGTTTGTATAGAAAAATGAAAGTTATCTAGAAATTTTGTTTCTAGGATTTTCTCAAGCGGCTTCATCGCCTCCAGCCTCGGTTGTAGAAACGATCACAAATAGCCCGGTATTAATAGAAATTGAGAAGCAATATAAAATGGTATTTTACAGCCAGAAATTGGGTTTAAATACCCTTCCCAATCAGCTGTCGATCAACCAATCCCTAGACAGACTACAATCATTGATGACCCAGATCCGGCAGTCGCTGTTTGTGAGGTAATAATAACTATTAAAATAAATATATGAATTTATATCTAGGCTCTCTACGATTTTAATGGGACTGACAGTGAAGAATTGACGATAAAAGCTGGCGAAAGATTGGTAAGGCACAAAAAATACAAAAAAGATCTGAAACTTGGGGCATCAATCACCGAAAATGCCCTAGTCTATAAGTTTGAAGTTATTTGACAAGAAAAAATCGTGTTTTCCGAGGAAAAAACGAAAAGCAAAAGGACTGAACGTTTTAGAGCAAAAAGCAAAGATTGTTCTCGAAGAGGATTGAACCGTCGACGTTTGGCGTGTTAAAACCCGCTAATTTGATTATTTTGCAAAATAAACTACTTTCCCGATGATTAGAAGCAAAAAGCAAAAGGTTTGGAAGGTTTTCGAGCAAAAAGCAAAAGAAATGGGGTACAGTAAGATCCGATCTCTCGGCCCTGTAGCTACAGAGGCGCCGCGCTGCCAACTGAGCTATGCTACCACGGCGAGGGGGGAGGGAGAAGGGTACAAGAATGGTGGGGACGGTCCCTACCAGCAGGGGCGGGTGCTTGGTTTCCATGCCCGGCTAGAACCATCGTTTTGCGTTTGGCGCCAAACAGTATTTTCCGCAAGAAAATGGATTTCTCTATATTTGTATTTCTAGAGAAAACTACCTATATTTACTAATTTATTGCAATTGTAGCGTTTTACCACGGCTTTTCGCTTTTTTGGTAACTTTTTTCCATATAAAATAGCGCAAACATCAAACTCGTTTTTCAAAAAGGTCACAAAACTAATATATAAAAACTAAGGTCATCAAATTCTTTTCCCAAAAAAAAAACTACAAAATTCAGATCGTTGAGAGTCGATTGGGAGATGATTGGCTGATCGGGCGAACAATTCAACATCAACAAGATCAACAGGAAAGAAGAGGACGCTTCCCAACAACTTATGTCGCTTTCCAAAAACAAAATCCTCTCACACCAGTCTCACTCTGCTAATTGAATGTCTTTTTTTCTATTACGGGTCCCCAAAATTGCCTTGCCGAACCTATTGTCATAATATTTTGCGATAAACATTGTTTTCTTGATTTCATAGAATTTATTCGGCTGAAAACTATGCTAAAACAAAAAGATTACCTTAACAAGGGGCTATTTAATTACATTTCTAAATCCTTGGAACACAAGCTAAGCAACCCTATGAAGCTAAATGTAATAAAATAGCCGTTTTGATAGCTTTTTCTTTATTTTAAAAAAGGTGTGCTAACGAAAGTCTTCTAAAGCGTGAATTATACAACGGAGCGGCGGTCCTAATTAGGTGAAAAAATACATATCATGTGAAAAACTGCCTATCCGGGGTATCAACTATAATAAAAAAGTAGTGGTGTCTGTCTGTCTGTCTGTCTGTCTGTCCGTCATGTCCCGAATTCAACTCGAAGGGGAAAGGAGCTAGAGCTTAGCTCTCTTCGGATTCGGATAGAGCATGGTCAGAAACCCCCAAACTGATAAAAAAATTATGAAAAAGTTTTAATTTAAATTATTAAAATTAACTTTGAAAGTTTTTTCCTTAGTAATAGGGGTGGGGGACGGAGGTTGGACATAGTGAGCCAGGTGGCGCGCGTTTCGTGGATGAAAATTTTCACGGGGGATTGCATTTCTTTTTTTCTCTCATTCCATCCGGTCGGTCGTTATTTTCGTTTTTTTTTAAAACGATTTCGGCTAGGGGAGGTATCTAAAGCCATCAGGAAGGTATTTAGGTAGTTTTTGAAAGGGATTTCGGCTATGGGGGGTATCTGAAGCCGTTAGCGTGGGTATTGTTGGAGGTAGGGAAGGATATGGTGGAGTAGGACATGTAGGGTAGCCCGAAGGCCAGATGGTTGCAGTCGCGAAGCGACTGTAACCATCTGGTAATTTAGGCTTTAGAAGACCTTATTTAGCACCAATATATTTGTAAAATTAAGAATAGGCGATGAAAGCTACTATTTTCCATACTTTTGGGGTGGACGCACTAGAAATTGATTGGATCCGCTCGATTTCCATGCGTTCCACCCGGAATCCGGTCTATTTTCCACCCGGAAATCGCTCGCGTCCGGTATTGAAATTCATCACGAATCCGCGAGCGGATGTTGACAGGATTCCGGGTGGAACACATTGAAACTTCGCGTTTCCACTCGATTTCCAGTTCGTCCACCCCATTTCCACTAGATTTCCAGGCTTCCGCCCCGTTAGCGCTCGGCATCGAGGAAGAAAATAGGCCGGCTTCCGGGCGGACACGCGGACTTGTGTAGCGCCAATCGTATCATCGCATATTCATACTAAAATAAGTTTGCAACACCTATCTACCTGCATCATCTTCAACCGATCCTCATTCGAATCGATCGGCGGCGACTTGAACTGTTGTTGCACCGCTTGCCAGTGCCGTATTGTCGCCCTCCAGTCGCCCATTGCTTCTTGTCCCTTCGGCCATGACGCCACTTTCATCCAACTTTCAGGCGCCACCTGAAGAAGAATCGGCGGAGGAGTAACTCGTCAACGACTAACCGTACAACCGCAAAATGTGCAGATCTGAAGTAGCTTCTCATTGGATCGGCGCCCGCTTGAAGATTTTCCTGCATCAATTATCGCCGTCAGTCATTGCTTCTTTTCATTCAGTCGCCACCTTCACACCAGTGTCATCCGAGTGCCATACCTGAAAAACAGGGGCGGAGGAGTAGCTAGCAAAACGACTAACCGCAAAAATTAAAGCATCAGCACAAGAAGATGCAGTTGGGCGCCATCTCGTCAACAAAACACCTCTCCCCTCCATTAGCATCACGTTGTCCACTCGCGCTTTTTCACCTAAAATCAGTTTTCAATCGAAAAATACCTCTAGAATTTCCAGGGAAGCCCCTCTGCTTGGATTGGCACCGATTCGAAGACGTTCGCCCAGTTCCCAGCTCCAATGTCGTCTCCATCCATCCCCGTCAGCCATTGCTTGTTGTGGTTATCGTCGTCCGGTTCCCAAATCTGAAAAAGAGAGGCGGAGAAGTATATAGTAAAAGGACTAACCGCAAAAATAAAAGTATTAGCAGCCGAAGAGGAAGGCGGGCGGCATCGTGTGTTGCTCTCATGTCGCCTTGTCCTTGCGCGTTATTCTTTCAAGGCTCAGTCACAGCGTCAATCGTATCATCGCGTACTCGTTTCTAAAATAAGTTATGAATAGCTAGCTACCTGAATAAAGCTTCATTCATCGCCGGCTGGAGCTATTGCCACATCTTTCCCAGATGGTCAGTGTCACATTGTCGCCTTCACCATCACCTCAGCCACGTTGACCCCACTTTCATTCGCTTTATACCTGAAAAAGAATCGGCGGAGGAGTAACTCATAGACGACTAACCGTACAACCGGAAAAAGAGGTAGATTTGGGAGTCGAGCGGAGCCTACACCTTGTCCTCGACGCGTCCAGCATCCGCATCCGGCCTATAATAGAAATTATAGTGAATCAAGAGAGAAAAGAAGCTGTGGAAAGTTCAAAGTACATTTACAATGTAAGAAGTTTACTTTAGAAAGCAGATTCCCGGGGAATTGCAAAACTCAAATTCGGGAATTCTCTTTCGAGTCCGTCAGACACCAAATCACGACATAGGAATGTTTCGGAATGTTGGAACTTTTTATTTTGTAAGGTACAAATTTATATTCCCTTTTTTAGCCCTACTGGTGGCCGCTATGCCATGAAAGTCATCTCAAAGGAGAACTACATAGAAAAGGAGCATGTCTTCGGAAAAGAGATAGATATCCTCAAGGAGCTCCAACATTCCCCTGATATCGTACGACTTCAGTTATTTTTTCATAATTTCCATTTTAGGCCAAATTCTTGGAAGGTAACGTGGTGGATGGGGCGTTGTACATGCGGTTCGAATTGTGTCCGGTACGTTAAACTACGTTTTTCATTCACATAGAAATTTAGGCTGGTGATCTGTTCGACTTTCTGACTGAACACGAGAAAGTGTCCGAGGAACAGGCCGCTCAAATGATTCGTAAGCATTTGTGCCCAAAATTTTCGATATTTTAGCTATTTCGGGGTTTTTCGAGGGTTTCGATGTTTTTTTTTGCATAATTTCTTGATCGAGCGTAGAAAAATTTGCTGCCATTTTTAATATTGAGCTCAATAAAAATTAAAATACAAAAGTTACAGCAAAAAATAAAAACGTCTTGAAAACCGGTATTTTTGGACATTTCGAAATTTTTGTGCAAGAATTAAGGTGTTAAAAAATATACCAGGAGTTTTGCTTGTAAAATAATGTAAAATAAACTATTTATAACAAAAATATAATTATATATAATTAAATGTATTTTAAGTGTATGTTAGTAATTTCTTATTTTCAGGCTGCGTAACGCAAGCCCTCGACTTCATGCACGAGCGTCGCATCGTACACCGCGATATCAAACCCGAGAACCTTTTGGTAATTTAATTAATAATTTTTATGTAATTTTATAAACGTTTATTTCTTTTTTTTCAGCTAATCGCCGCTGGCAATGGGATGTTCAACTTGAAAGTGACCGATTTCGGGCTGTCAAGTTATATTGCTGAGGGGCAATTGCTGTATGACTGTTGCGGTACTCCAACATACGTTGCACCAGAAGTACTTCTAAATGAGGGGTTTGCTAAATTTTCTATACCTTAAAAACGTTTTTATTTCAGATACGGATTCACCGTCGACATCTGGTCGCTAGGGATCATTTTGTACATCGTCTTGGTCGGATTTCCGCCATTCCAGACGTAAGGATTTTTTTACAGATTTTATTTCCGAACTGTTCTGTTAGCGCGGGGTCAATTATAACGTTTTTTTTTCGAGAATTTTACCGGTTTTTGGGTATAAAAAGTGCGAAAAAATTTTTCAAGGAAATTTTCAATTTTCAAAAAAGTTTAAAACATTTTTATGCCCTTTCCGCGATGTAAAATAGCACCCCGCTAAAAGAGCAGTACCTTATTTTATATATTCTTTTTTTTTAGCGCTACCCGCAACGAGGCCGATCTCTTCAACCAAATTATCGAGGGCTTTGTCTACTTCCCGTCGCCGGCTTTTGACAAGGTAGCGTTTTTTTGGTAATTAGGGAATTTTTGGTAGTTTTTAATTTCTATAATAATAGTCTAATTTTTAATTTTTGGCAATTTTTGGTAATTTGTTAAATTTTATGTTTTTTGTTGTCTTTTCAGATTAGCTGGGCCGCGCGCTTGGTGATCCTCCAAATGCTGCAAGGGAAAGACATTCGCCCCACCGCCAAAGAATTGCCACAGATCGCCGGAGATTGGTATAAGGTATATTTTACTTATGTTAAAGTCTACATCTAAACTTTAATTTATTAAAATTAAAGTAAAATATTATTTTTGGCGAAATAGCTTAAAATTTTAGGGGCAAAACGAAAACTAGCATGCAGAATACCTGTCGTAACCGTTTTCGAAATTTGGGACTTTAGCATTATCGGGGGTAGAACCCAGCCCCCCGCGATAATGGGTAAGCTCCGATATTTCATCGAAAACTAGACTGGTGGGAAAAAATGGGGTCTGGTGCCTTAGCGGGGGGAGGGGGACGTTCGTCCGAAGACCCCCCGCTAATGAACCAGAGCCGGGCGGATTTCGGTAATAGCAATTTTGGGATTTAAACAATTTAATTTGGGGGCTAAAAATACCGAAAATCAGGTCAACGTTTCAAAATTTAATAGTTTTTTTTGTAGAAAATAGGTTGGCGAAAAATGGGTTCTGGTGCATTAGCGGGGGGGGGGGTAGATTTCGGCAAAGACATGAATCTGGGTTGAAATCAGGTTAAAAATACCGAAATTCGTGTCAAAATTTCGAAATTTGATAGTTTTTTTGTCGAAAATAGATTTTTACGTGTAAAAATGAAGTTAAAATCTGGGGTTTATGTAATTCAGTACTACTTTTTTCTAATTTTTTTAATTGATTGAATTCAGGACGCGACGAGCACCGACGAGAACGAGGATATGGCTCGTGAATTGGTCACTCACCATCTCGCCTTCAACACGAACGATGGAGAAGGTTTTGATGATGTAAGATTTTTTAAATACTTTTCCATTTGATTATCGTTAGTCTCGATACGAACAGTTTTACCACAATTCTCGTCATCTACTCTCCTAAATATTCGTGAGAAAAAAGTATCCGTTTCACTAAAAATCGTTTTTTCCGCATGACACCTCACTAAAAAAATGCTTTTTGAAATTCAGCGCACGAAATTGGTTTTATAATTTAGTTATTTTAAAGATTAAAAAATCTATTTTTTAGCCGGCCGACTTCGTCTACGAACGCCGTGCTTCCCTGGACGAACTTTCTGGCGTACACGCAGGCCCGTAGCTGACCCGAAATATCGGAGGTTGATTCTCCAGCTCTTCCCAGTATTCCAGCAAATTTTCGCGTTTTCTCGGTGCTTGTGTATTATCGGGGGGTGGGCGGCCTGAATTTTGCCCAAAACTCCAGAAATTTCTAAAAATTTCCTAGTAATTATTCTAGCAATTATTTTACTCTTGCTTTGGTAATTATTGACTATATTTAAAGCCTAAAACTACGGTTTTAAAAAGTTAGAAAGTTTAGAAAATTTTTTAAAATGCATTAATTAGGTCAAAAATCTTTTTTTTTTTAATTTTTCGCTGAAATTGAAGAGGTTTTCATGCTTAGAAATAGGAAAAATCATAGCATCACTCTATTTATATAAAATATCTGATCCTTAGAAAACTGGCCACCCCCGAAAAGGCACAAGCTCCGAAAATATTGGCTCTAAGATTAAATTTTTTGTTGTTTTCCCCCTGTGTATCAATCGAAGAGATTTTCTATTTATTTAAAACTAACAATTTCGTTTCTTTTGTGATCGGCTTTTCTCTCCTACGCCTGATCTCGCCGCCCCCGACCTTTTTTATGCTCTACGGGTCTCTGGGTGCTGTCTTGTCTTTTGTTTGTCGTTTTTTCGTTGATTCCGCTACGTCTTTCGGTAAAAAATACTAACCATTTTTTTAAACACCCAAACTGGCAGCCATCCAACACGTTCCAATCGAAAACACGAAAAAATAGCAATTTTGATGAATTGACTTTTCGCCTCCGGGTTACGGTAGCCGACAGATTACAAGGCGATTTTCTCGAAGTTGTTTGGCGCAAAAAATTCACTCTAGATTTCTTCGAGACCATTTTTCGACGCTGATTCCGAATCTGAAGTTCATTTTTGGCTAGCTACCGCAATTCCCGAGATACTACCGTACCTCGGGGGGCCGGACTTCCCGCGGCCTTTAGAGTCCATAATTTTGCGCGTACTGTAGTGTTGCGGGTATAGAAATGACTGTCTTTTCCAGGGCTATATTTTATGCAAGTCAAAAAGTAGGAAATGGCAATGATTTAGTTTTTAAAACTACCATAATCCGAAAAATTCGAAATTTCTTAGATCAACGCTATCGGTATATTTTCGTCGCTTTTTGTGGTGTTTTTACTTTGCCGTTTTTAGGAAAATTTGCATTTTTAACCTTTATTTCAAACACCTTTAAAACAAAAAAAAAATGTAGATTTCGTAAAAGAAATAACGAATATTGGGCGATCGGGGGGATAGGGGGTTCAACACGCATGGGTCAAGAAAAAAGAGGATAAAAGTCGAAGCGACAGTTCGCTTGCTAAATTGTCAAAAAACTCGAGGAGGATTGGGTCATATTTTGATGATGAAGGATAAAGGAGGGTGCATAACCGAGTTCACTAGATGAGCAATAGACGGGTTCGGGGGGTGGCAATCGCTTTTTGGGGAGGGTTTTGAGAGTTTCTTAACTTAAAGGTAGCAATTTCGTATTTTAATTTCTAAAAAAATTTCAGGAACAGTGCCGGCATGCCAAAATGCCGACAGTAAAACGCTGACACGTCAAGATGCCGAAAAATCGGAACGGAAGGGATTTTCGACTTGCCGGTGTTTTGGCGTTTTTTCGGCATTTTTCTGTCGGGATTACATTTTTTGGGACTTTAGTGTCGGCATTTCCGATTTTCCTGCTGAAAAACCTTACAAAACCCCCGAAAAAAGCGATTGTCAAGTAGTAGCTGTGGGGGGAAAATCGGGGAGAAAAAATTGGGCGAATGTCAACAATGTATTGATTGTTTTGTGTGTGGGGACGGCGAGCGGGCAAATTGAAATCGATTTCGCGGATCATTTCTGCGGGGCATTTTGCGGCTTTTCCAAAAAAAAACGCGAAAAAGCACGTTATCCACACTAGAAATGCTGGTACGTCTTGCTTTTTTGCTACGCCTAGCTGCGCATTTTTGGGGGGATTTTAGGGGGCAAAAACACCACAAAACATTCATAATGCACAGCAGCCGACTGCACACGTAAAATCAGAGGGGGGCATTTACAAAGGGGGACCCCACGTTTTTAGTTGGTTTTTAGGAATTTTTAGTGGATTTTTGGAGTAATTTATAATTTTGTAGCACTTTTAAACCTTGAAAATGCAAATTACAGCCCAAATTCTCCTCAAAAATCCTAAAACCAATTAAAATGCGGGGACGGTCACCAAAAAACAACGAAAAACAATAAAATAGTCATCCCCAGGGTCTCGATCCACCAACAATTGTCGAAAAATTGATAAATTGGAGCTTGTGAGTTAGCGTGGGGGGGAGTTGTTGGAAAATCACTTTTTCCACAGTTACCGACCCCCCGCAAGATTTTGGGCGAGGGAAAGGAAAGGGAAAGGGAGTGGGCATGGCTTCCCACCCCCGCTACTTCCCCCGATAACTCACAAGTCCCAAAAAATTTCTTTTTTTTGATCGGGGCCTTCGACTCGTCCTCAATTGTAGTTTGCACTCAAAAAACAAAATTTTAATAAGCTTAACAGCTGGAAAAGGCGAGGTTTGAATTGTAGGGTACATGGGGAGAGATTGGGGAGACCAGATTCTGGAATTTCTGGGGATCGGGGGTTGGGTAGGAAAAATCGAAAAAACTCAGATTAGAAAAAGGTGGGTATCGTGTGACTCGGTATACAGTATTTTCAGGCCGACAAAAAGACACTTTTTAGCGGGCTGGGCTGGGCGGGGGGTAAAAAACGGAGAAACAATTCTTGGGGGGGGGGGGGGTCACGGGTTCTAACCTAATGGCTATAAACTCTAAAAGTGCAACGAATAATAGTAATAAGAAAAATTCCAAATTAAAAAAAACAACAATGCTTGGGGGAAAATCCAGTAGCATACCAGTTCGATCTCTCTCGTCTCGGCGGGGGTTTTTTTGAAAGGGCAATGCAAAGAATTAATCTCCACCCCAAAATTTAGCACAACATTTTCAGCAAGTTCAGCCGCTTTCTACGCGCTGTCTAGCCTTTTTTTAAGGTTTTTAAGGTATATAAAAATAGAAAACAGCAAAAATTGGCGAAATCGCGCGGTTTTTAGGGTTTTTAAGGATTTTTTGGATTTTTTTGGGGTTTTTAGGCTAGGAAAAAGCGCGGAAAATCGGGGTTTTAGCGTGGAAAGTGTGCTAAATCAGCGGTGGCCAGGCAAAACGAATGGGGGTTTTGATATAATCTCTTCTCTCTGTCTCTAGCTGGACGAGCTGGCAGCTTTCGGCGATTTGTCCTTTTTGCCTACCTGAAAAAATGGGTTTAGAAGGCTTAAAAACTTTAAAAATGTTGAAAAATGTCTAAAAATTTTGTAAAAACATTTAAAAATGTTTCAAGAGCGTTTAAAAATATCTATAAGTTTTTAAAAATGCTTAGAAACGTCGAAAAATGTCTGAAACTATTTTAAACATTTTTAAAAGTGTTCAAAATTGTCTAAAATTGTCATAAAATCTTCAAAAAAAAATTTTTAGGCCTTACCACGCAAAAGTCGTCAAGTGACTTGTATTTCTTGAGCTCGGCATCAATTTCGGCGGGGATAATCAGCTGCTTCGCGTTCTTGTAGCTAAAAAACTTGTTTTTCCGGATTCTACCGTATCCCTCAGAGCGTAAATAGCACTTTTCTGTACTTACTGTTGCAAAAACATCCACAATTTCTCGAGGCCGTACAGCTGCTTATTGTGATAATCATCGACGGTGTCCTGGATGAAATTTTTGTAGACTTCCGGGCGGAATTTCTTCTCCAATCCGTACGTATAGTATCGGAACAGGGCCTCGATACCGTAGCGGGAGCTGGAAAAAGTGAAAATTACAGTAACCCCGTGAAAATTGTAATTTTTTTGACGTGAAAATCCAATTTTTCTTACCCCTGTCTAGCATCTCCGAGGGCGAGTTCGCGGAACTCTTCGTACATTTTGCGATTGAAGTGATCGCGCAGGAAATAGGACCAGAAACGGTAGAGCGTGTTCATCTCCGTGCACTCGTAGCCGAGCGAACGGCGCTGTTTCAGGCAGTTTGCCCTCCACGCTGAGTAGACCTGAACAAAATTAGGAATTTAAAAAATAAAAATAAAAATAAAAATGAAATTCAAAAATTCTAGCTGCCCCGGTCCAGGAGGATCCCCTCTCCCCTTTTGAGCCCTTCCCCCTTTCCCCATGGCGTTCTAGCCTTGGCTCAGTTGGCAGAGCATCGGTCTGTCAATCTGCAGGTCGAGGGTTCTGTTCCCCAGACGTCCATTTTTTTTGCTTTTTGCTTGTAAATCACTTTTATGTGGCTTCTTTGTATTAACAACCCTATTTTTGTATTTTAACCTACATTCTGCTCAAATCCATTCTCCTTCAACAACGATTCCGCCGGATGCGGGCTTGGCATGCAGACCGACGTCGTCGTCTGACTACCAGCCGGCTGGGTACCGTATACCTAAATTTTGAAAATTTTAATTACTCTAAAATTCTGTACTCACCCATCCAACGGGCATCTCAACTGGCGGATTCTCGCTGTGGGCCGTCTTCTGTTTTCTCGGGCTATTCTCGGTGGCGCGGCTGGCCGGTTTGGGCACCTGGAATTAATTCCACATATACTTTTGTTTTTAGACCCCTGCTGTCCCCCCAAAATATATTGACAGCTTTTCCCTGCTGCCGAATCCCACGATTTTCGGCCGGAACGAGCCGGAAATTCTTGAATAAAACATCAAGGAAATATCGATTCGGTTTTTGGGGGCTGAGAATTGTCCACAGTTTTCTCGTATAAACGGTGAATTCTTGCGAGAAAGAGAGGGGGAGAAATCTGGTATCTGGAGGGTGTAAAGAGGAGTGGAATAGACAGAAATATGGTGAGGTTTTTGGTTGCTTACCGGGTAGAAACGCTGGACCTTCGATTCTTCGGTCTCTCGTCGAAGGATAGGGCTTCGTGGCTGAAAAAGAGTGACTATATAGGTGGGAGGATTACATGGTTATTTGACTAGATTTTTTGAAAGGAAAAGTTGGTTATAATTTTACAGATTTTTTTCAGAAACATTCAGCTTTGGCTGAGACTGGGTGGGAAAAGGCCCTGGGGGTTGAAGAGGGTCTTTCGTCGCTCTCCCCCGGATGCGTCTGGTATATTGATAAAGCTCTCGCTTGTCGTTCTTACGACTCCGGGTTCGATTCTCGCCGAAGCGAAAACTTTTGCTTTTTTGCCAAAAGCTTTAGATGAATGTTTCTTAGCTTTTTTACAACCACAATCACGAACTAATAATTTCTAGCTCTATTTGACTCGCATTTCAGGGTATAGAGGTATTGGGTCTCTAGCACAGCACATACCACAACATTCCCATATTGCCGCTCCTTTGCCTTCAATGCCCATACGGTATTTGGCTGTTTCCCCTCGGGTTTCGGGTCCACAGGCGGTGGCGTTTGTGACGTTTCTTCCGGAGCTTCTTCCTTGTGTTCCCCCTTCAGCAGCGCGAACTCCTCCGCTGAGACCGTACCCACTTTTGCCGCCTACAAAACGAGCACAACGTCAGTGAGCAGGAGCAGGCGTGAGAATTGTATTTTTCATGTGGATTTTGCACAGTACGAGGCGCGACAAAACACGATACGAACCACTTGTTAACACGGTTTTTTGGCCATGCATAGGGGCAGAAATGGTAGAAGGAATTTTGGGGGATTTAGAAGATTTTTAGGACGTCGAAAAACCCTCTAGCGGGCTGGAGAAGTGTCCGATTTTTACGATTTTGATATCTATAGAAAGCTCTCGAAAAGACTAGCAGATCTGTGCTCTTAAACTTTGGAAATTTCGATACTTTTGTTACATTTCCTAAGATTTTTTTGTTAAAACTTGGAATTTTTGCATGAAAATGGCGTAAAGCAAGCCAAAAATTTTGGAATTTCAAAAATCAGAGACAACAGTTCTACTCCCCTTTTTGAGAGCTTTCGATGCCTACCAAATTCATAAAAATCGAGCACGACTCCGGAGCACTAGAGGCTTTTTTAGTCTATAACTTAAAACCCACCGGTGGGGACCGCTCCTCCGGCACAGCAGCCCACAGCTCCTCCTCATAACGGCGGAGCCCCAGCTCGACCTCCTCGGCCAATTCCGAGTGAGATTTGGCGCGGGATTGGAAGTCGCCAGTCCGGTCCATTGTCCGCTTGGCCGGCGTGACGATGATCAGCTTGTTGATGGCGTCGTCATTCATGTCTTCCGCGAATTCTGACCTGAAAACGCGGGTGTTTTAGTGATTTTAGACGTTTTAAAGTATAAAAAACATTTTTAAAGTGATGAATACGTTTTTGAAACCTAGAAAAACATCTCCAAATGAAATTCAGGTGTTTCGAAAGGAGCTGTCTGCCTCATGGTCATGAATTCGATAAATTGGCAATAAGGGGGCGGGACTGGAAAAGCGGACAAACATGCCCGGTTATAGAAAATCGATATATTTCGAAATATTTGGAGCTTTTTGCGTTATCGGGGGATAGAGGTAGGGTTTTAAGCTGTTTTAGATAGTCCTAAAGATAAAAACGTAACGCATTTTTGTAGAAAAATATAGATTTTTTTCGAGGAAAAATGAAATTTCTTGGCTAAAATGTCGCATGTTAGATGTTTTTGACCTCGAAATCTGGCTAATTTTACTGAAGAATTATAAAACTATTCATTCCTAACATTTCTAGAGATTTCCCCCTATAATGCAAAAGCTCCGAAAATCGACAAATGTCGACATTTTGTCTCTAAAATCCCGAAATCTTCAAACTCACGTCGACTGGCGCGTAGCCTTTTTCTGATCTGGCCGACGCGGCGTCTGAGACTGTGTATTCCCGCTGAATTCCCCGCCCAAAAGCGGTTCATTTGAGTCGGCTTCATCTGCTTGACTATGCGAAGCCTGTGTACTGCTTCCGGTTGATTGGCGCGTGGATTCTCGATGCTCGCCGCGGCCCTGCTTCTTCTTTTTCGTCTTCACCTCCTGGAAAAATTACAGATAAACGAAAACTAAATCAAAATCTACCTGCCAAGTATCCACCTCGGGTTCATCCTTCGAACTGCCCGACGGTTGGGCTTCTTCTACAGTGCTTTTCTGCTGCTGAGTGGTTTTGGGTTCCGGTTGGGTTTGTTGGCTGGCTGATGAGGATTGGCTAGTTGAGGGGCCCTCTTGGGCTTTTCCCTCTTCTTCCTTTTTCTTGGCTGCAGCGGCGGCGGCGGCAGCGGCTTGTTCAGCGGGAATTAGGGTGGGAGGCATAGGCCATGTGTTTGGGCGAAAGCTCGGTCGGACGAGATCACCGATATCGTTCAGTTCGATCTGGAAAATGATGGTTTTTCACTTTAAATTATAATTCAAATTTCAAAAGCTCAAAAAACTCCAAAATGGCAGATTTTAGGCGGCAGCCACGGGGAATCCCCCGCTGGGTTCAAGTCCTCCCTTCACTTTGGGTTGCCTCATACACCTTTGGTCTATTGGTAATCCTCTCGCTTTTTAATCTCACAACGAGGTTTCGCCTGCCGCGGTCCAACTTTTTGCTTTTTGCCCACAATTATCTTATATCTATTTTTAAATCCCTCACCTTATCGCTAATGCGTAGCGCCTCAACAATAATCGCGATATCCTCAGTCAAACTCCGCACACGCGGAAACGACGCGATCAGCGCAATCGGCAAGTACCCCTCGGGGCTCATCTTCCGGCGGAGGAAGAAGTCCTTTTGCAGGTTGTCGGGGGAGAAGTAGTATTCACTAAAAAAGGCTTTAAAGGTACGTTTAATACTCCTTACATTTGCTTGCGAACAGCCTCTTTCAAGCCCTGCTCGGAGATTGGTTGATAGACCGGATGCGAGGAGAACACCGGGGCGTACGGGATATTTGTGTTTAACGGCATGTCCGGGTGCATTTGGGGCACTAGAAATTGTTATATAATTTATATTTAGATTAAAAAAAAATCAATATTTCTAAGTTACAGCCAAAATACCGTACCTCCAGGCGGCGAGACCATATTGGGACCGGTGGGCGAGATGACCGGATTTGGGGCTGAGCCATCGGGCATTGGCGGAGGGGCGGCAACGATCTGCAAGAGGGATACGGTAAAGTGTGCATTGTAATGTAGTGTAGCGTGCTTCGTCCCCAAACGTGAAAATTCGACTTTACCAAATTTTTGGTTTCCCAACAATATAAAAAAGTCGAGTTTTTTCCAGATTACGTCATTTTTTATTTTTGAAATCTTAGGGAGTACTGTAATTTTCGAAAAAATTTTGAGCGCGTAACAAGCTCCACTCACCAGTTAACCGACACTCAAAATTTCAGAGCTCTAGCTCAACTCCTTTTTGAGCAGCAACTCTTTAGGCCCTCCCCCGGCCACATGACGTCATTGTTTTCAGCTTCCTTTCCACCCATTGCCCCAGTCCAAAGCCCGCGCCTCGAAATTGGATAATCTATTCCGGCTCTTCCCCCGCCCGGGGAAAAGCCCGGCAAAAAATGTGAGCATTAGATTATGGTGGAAACTATCGGGGGGATGATTTTTCTTTTGGAACATAGGGTCCTTGGACGCTCAGGGAAGATGGATGGGCCAAATGTTGCTCAAGAGATCATGCTCCGGGGGGCTTTCGTTCTCTCTGTCTCTCTCACGCCTCTATCTATCTCTCTCTCTCTCTCCCTCTTTCTCTCTCTCGCTCTCTCTTTCTCTCTCTCGTTCTCTCTCTCTCACTTTTCTGTCTCTCTGCCTCTCTCTCTTTCTGGCTCACTTTTAAAACTTTGTTCAAAAGCTCATGCTCCTAGAAACTCTCGTGCTCACTCTCTCTCTCTCTCTCTCTCTCTCTCTCTCTCTCTCTCTCTTCCTCTCTCTTACCGGTGGAATGATGACCGGAAGTGGTGGGCGGAATCCAAAAGTGGCCATGTGCTGCTGGGCTTGTTGTATGAGCATGGTGGCCATAGCCGGGTCCATTGGAGGAATATTCGGATCGAATGGAGGCACAGCCAATTGATAGTACTGTGCGTATTGAGTGTCCATCAATTGCATATAGTCGAAATCGGGCTCGTACTCCTGAAAAAAAAACACAATTTTTGTAAATATTCAAATTTTCAAATTTTTAAAATCTCTTTAACGGTTTTCTAAGCCTAAAAATATCTTAATTTGGATTAGAATTGTCAAGTAAGTTGGATTTTGAGCGAAACTTGGGAAAAATACGAAATTTCCGGGAAAATCCTGGCTGTTTATAGGAATGAAACGGAATTAAATGGGGGGATGGGGATATTGGTCAGTTCTATTGTGTCGTTTTTAGCGCTGTTTGCCCAGCTGTTTTGGGGATGTCGAAATGTTTGGCGGGGAAATGTATAGTTTTCGGATATGCACGGAATGACGCGGAACGGATCCGGTTACTAGATAAATATACGATTTTAGGGTCAGTTCGGATACTGTAGATCTATGAAAACGCTAAATTTAATTTTTTTAGACATAAGGAATATACGAACTAACTGCCAGTTTAAATTTCAGAGAGCCTAAAAATTTTCTAACAAAAATCTAAAAAATGGATCTTTTTTGCATAAAACCGAATTTTTGAGTCAGTAGGCCTACTGTAACTTCAGAAAAACGCGAAATTTAATTCTCGAAGACTATAAATACATATAAAAACTGCCAGTTCACACTTTTACAAAATTCAAAAAAATTTAGAAAACAAAAAATGACAACTACCCACCTGAATCTCATCCCACTCGGGCAATGGCCCGCGAGCACGACGTTGCTCCGGCGTCAATTTCGGGGGAGCATGAAGATTCGGACGGGCCTGATAACGATCATTCCGTTGATAGAATGCTGGTGGTTGTTGAGAGGGGCCAGGTGGAGGACGAGGGTTATTATTGGCCACAACTGGGCCAGTGGCCACTGGGTGTTTCGAGGTATTTCCATCCTTATTCCCTCCGGGGCGTTGCCAATAGTCGTTTTGGCCGTGTTGGGCGGCGCGGTTCTAAATATAAGAATTTTTCACTATAATTAGGAAATTACTAAAGATCAAAAATATTCGTCAAAAGCCAGTTTTAACTCAAAAGAGAAATCCGCACGAGCTTAGATCTCAAAAGTTCCAGCTCAATTCCATCTAGCGGAGTTCAAAACTGGTCAAAATCAGGACTAAAAATGGCATGTAGGGAGTGAAAAATATTTGCCATTTTTGGACATAGTGAGCCAGGTGGCGCGCTAGTGAGAAAATTTTCGCCCAGCGCCTGCAAAAACGAGATTTTCATTAAATTTCCTCTACTTTTAACTAAATTATTGTTCTTACTTTCATTTCAATCAATTTATACCTGTTGCGACGATCCGCTGCCACTGGGGCCCGAGCGATTCTGAGCCGGTTTCTGGACTCCATTCTGAGACGGACCCTCTTCTTTGGCACCGGTCATCGAAGTGGAGGACTGGAAAAGATAGGTTGGATGCTAGTTAAAAGTTTTTGCAGCAAAAAAATCTATTTCCGCCTTTTTTGGTACAGATTGCTTAACGGGGGGGGGGGGGGGGGAATAACGGGGGTGGAGTGAAAACAATGCTGTTTTATCCAGTTTTAATGTTTCTAATCACGCCCTTAGATAGATCCATCAGCTAGAGCTTAAAAAATTGTATAACCTATTTTTGCCCCCCCGTTAAGTAACCTTTACCGCCTTTCCCGTATCTGTCTTCTATACCTCCCCCTTTAGGGGCTCCCAGAAATGTCAAATGTCACGTCACGCGTGTTCGGGTTTCATCAATGAATCCCCAGCCTCCAAAAAAAGCTTTAAAAAAAACTAGAAAACCAACCTTAGCCGGCCCCTTCTTCTCTCCATGCTCTTTCCCAGCCATTTCTGGGGCAATTTCCTCTTCTTTGACAGCTTTCTTCCAGCCGTGTGCTATACCCGATTGATAGTATACACCATTCGATCGACGATCCTCAATACTGAAACGGAATTGGTACTTGTGAGTTAACGGGGGGAGCGAACGTAATTGGTTTTAAGCCGGAATTCTACCAGGTACGGTATATAGGATATATTACAGATCAATGCGTAATGAGGCGCAGCGAGAGGAGCACGAGAAAGAGCAAGAGAGAAAGAGGAATGGAGCCCCGGGTCTGCTGGCCGGAATTGGGGGAAAAGAGGAGGACGAGGACGAGGAGGACGGCCGGGGGCTTTAGCCTCCAAAAAAAGATGGTGACGATATATTGGGGTTGAAAGAGGGGAGGAAGAGACGGAGAGGAGGGGAGAGTGCAGAGAGACAAAGAGAGAGAGAGAGAGAGAGAGAGAGAGTGAGAGAGAGAGAGAGCGAGAGAGAGAGAGAGACAGGGGCATATAAATGCCGACAGCAGATATTGATTCCATCGGCGCCCCGGCAAAGGGGGGAGAGTGAGAACAAGAGGAGAGAGAGAGAGAGAGAGAGAGAGAGAGAGAGCGACAGAGAGAGAGAGAGAGACCCCGGGCATTGCCCCACACCCTTCCCCTCAACAACGACGGCCCAAACCCCCCAACCGAGGGGCCGACCTGCCCCTGCCTGCCCGGAAAAAAGAAACAGCCCCTCCCCCCAGCAACTCTGCAAAATGCAACCCCAACAATACCCCAAAAATCGGCCGCTCGATATGGTGAGAGTACAGATGCGTTCGCTTGCAAAACATGCGAAATCGGCAGAGATACATAGGGAGACTGAATTTGTCTATTAGTGCCTTGAGCATGAGTTTTGAGCACTAGAATCTCTTGCTTTGTCTCAACTGGTATGCAGCGAATTTTTCTAGCCTAAAAATAACTTGAAAAATTCATAGAAAATTCCCCGAATTCCGCTACAATCCGCTACATAGAAAGAAGGAAATTTCTCTATTACTGCGTTGGGCATGAGTTTTGCGCCCTAAAACCTCTTGTTCTATCTGAACTGGCATGGAACGAATTTATATAACCCTTAAAATGCTTCGAAAATTCATGGAAAATCTCACAAATTCCGCTACACTCCGTTATGTTCGTACTACAGAAATTGTTAGGCAGGGGAAGGCATGGATTTTTTTTTCTGTTTGCGCGTCCATTTCAAGATTTTTTAAAGCTGAATCCATTTCATTTATGTAAACTGGCTAGCAGAAAGCCTTGCTATGCCAAAAAAATCCAATTTCACGACCCACAAAATTTTTAAATTCCGCTACCCCACCCTAAAACCCCTTTTTCCGTTCCTGTACTCTGCTCAAAATTTGAGCCACAATTTTCAGCTACAAAATGGCCGTCCTCCATAATCCAATGCAGGGGACGGGGATGGCCATAAAGTTGTCGCGCCGCCGACGGGGGGATACCGTAAAATTTGCCTTTCCCCGCGGCCGTGTCGGTGTTTTTTCGAGGGGGGTTTGGTTGGGGAAGCTGGTGTGGGCGGTGGAGTGTGATGGAATCGAATGGATAGACACACTGCCTGGTAGACGTGCAAAAAATGACCTCAAATGGATGGGACGGGGAGGGGAGGGGGTACTGTATGTTGATACGGTAGAAAGGGCAGGATATAGGAAATCGTCAAAAACATGGTATTTTTCTCAATTTTTGCATATTTTTCTAGGTTAACCTTCATAAAAGCCTGTTCTTCGGATTTGTAGCTCTGTACCTCCATAATCAAGATTAGCCGTTGCTCGGAGCACCATCTAATTTTTTGGATAAAAATAATACAGTAATCCTTAGGGAATAGGATACTGTACCTCCGACCAAAATTCTTTCCCCGGAACCACCGAAAAATGGACTAGTGCCCCGGATTTGTAGCGATTTTCGGACATTTTTCGCACATCTATACAGATTAATGGCTAGAGAAAGAGAGGAGAGGGAGAGAGAGAGAGAGAGAGAGAGAGAGAGAGAGAGAGAGAGAGTGAGAGAGAGAGAGAGAGAGAAACGGGGCTCTAGAGGCCCCAATCCATCGTCTAATTCCCTAATCCCCGGATTGAAACGGACGTTCGCTAAAAAGAGAATAAAATGGATGGTGTATGGTGGACGATGATGACGTTGGAAAAGATTTTTGAGGGTCTTTTTAGCGAATTTACAGAGATCTAAACCTCCTAACCAAAAAGCAAAACTTTGACGCCGAAAAGAATCGAACTCGGGTTGTTCGTCATAGAAGCTAGACCACTACCACTTGGCCTTGAAGTTTCTAAGTGAATTTTTGTACAAAATTTCGATTCCCCTCGTTTTTCGCGGCACTCATCAAACAGGGCTGTTTTCCCCGAAATGGCAGCCGTCTAGCGCGATCCCCCAATGAATCATCGCCCCTCTCCATCATCCCCCCCCCTCCTACCGTATCCAAACAAATTGACGAAATTGGGGCGTTTTTGGGGAATAAAAAATTGCTGAAAATCGAGGAACAACGACACATTTTGGGAACAAAAATCAGATACAAAAAGCTAGCAGAATCCCTTTTTCGTTAGCTTGTTGCCCAAATTTCCAAGGTCTCCCCCCTTCCTCGCAGGACCCATATCAATTTGTCAATGGTGCATATTAGCCTTGATAAGGGCAACGGCTACCTCAAGGGAGGGGAGAATCGACCAGGGAAGCCATTTTGATAAGAACTAGAGAGGGGGAGAGACTGAGAGACACAAAGAACAACAACAAAATTTGAGTCTAGACGTTGGGATGATTTTTGAGCAAAAAGCAAAATGTTCGTGATCATCTTGTTCAAAAAGAAAAAGCGTTCGTTGCGGGTGGGGGTCGAACCCCGAGGGTCAGATTGAGAGGCCAACGTTCTACCGACTGAGCTAACTGCCAAGCCGAGATCCGGAGTGGAAAGAGAGTCAAGAACCGAGAACGCCCTTCGGCGCCAACTTACCAATATCCAGAAGAATCAGTCGTTTCTTCAGCTGGGGTTTCCTCAGTGGGATGGCTATCTAAAATCATGAATTTTAAGGTATATTTCTCTTCTATATTACTCTGTGCATGTTCGACTCCATTAACGCGAGCCTCCTCCTTACGACTGGGCGGACGATTCCGCTTATCGACCCGTGGGGGATGAGCCTGGAAACGTTTTTAAAATGATTTTTTGGTGTTTTAAAATTGTTTTTAAAACAAATTTGTCATTTTTAAGGTAGTTTTCAATGGTCTTATATTTTTCTCTACTTTAAATACCTGTGTTGTTCGCCGTGCGCCGGCATTCCCGTAATCGACATCAATTTCCATCTTTTTCCACGATCCCTTGCCGGCCTTCTTGGCCCCGTGGTCGTCGGCTTCTTTCTGCAAAATTGGGGGGTTGGGACATCGTTCCCGCTAGAGGGCAATAAACTGCGACCCCTAGGGTAATTTATCGGGCCCCTGGAATTGGGTATAGAAAATGGCTAGAATAAAAAGGGATACATAAAAATTTGTTTTTCTAAGCCTTAATTAAATTTGTAATTTCAATTTGATTTTTGGTGCTTACGTGTTTAGGGGAGTCTCGCGGACTGTGCGCCGTTCCATTGACCACCGGGCCATTCTCCTCAACAACAGCATCACCAAGTGTCGGCCAATCTGCCATCCGCTCGCCAGACTTCTGCGGATGCTCAACCGGAACTTCGACCGGGGTCTAAACAGGTTTCTTCCATATCTATATTCTATACATAATTTTTTGAAAGCAATTATAGCTTATATTTCTCTCAAATTTTCAACGAAACAAAGCAAAAAAAGTGCAATTTTTGCAAATTTCTTCGTGAAAACACTATCATTTTGAAAATCTGAACTCCTTTTTGGATTCTTCACTAAAATTGAAACATATATAGTTTTTAAACATAAAATTTGGTATACAAACAGATTTTTATTTGATTTTTGGGCTGACGACAGGAAATTTCAAAACCACGTATGCAGGCCTCCTACGTACAAAATTCCTTTTTTCGCGTAAATTCTCGAACTTTTTGACATTTTTGCAACTTCCGCTTTAACCTACGGGTGCTTTTGGTGGAGATGGTGGAGGTGCTGTAACAACTGGAACAGGTTCAGGCTGTGCTGGCTTCTCTGAAAAATCGCATTTAAAAGTCTAACCTCCAAAAACTCACCCGAATTCTTAAACCAAGCATTTACAGCCGGAAGTGGGGCTGGTGTCAATTCAACTGGTGGTTCCTGTACTTCTTCAACAACTGCAGCCACTTCCTTTTGCTCTGTCGCTTCCTGAGGTTTCGCAGCTTTTCCTCGATTCTCATTCCTATAATCTGCTCCTCGATATCTGCTGTTCTTCTTCTTTCCATCAAAAGTTGCTGCTCCCCTCTCCGTTCTCTCGCTCCTTTCGTGATTCTTATTATGTTGATGTTGTTGCTCATTCTTTCCACTTCTTCTTCCTCTTCTTTTGTCAATCACCAATACTTCATCTGGATGTGCTGGTTCTCCTTTTCCGGGTTCATCTTCATGATGATGCTGTTGATGGCGATGATTGACAGGATTTGTAGTGTGAATTGGCTGACTGTCTACACCTCCTTCATCATGTTGATGTTGTTCTCCGGCTGCTGCTCCTTCTTGCTGTTGTTGTTGAGATCCTTGTCCTCCCCTGACCACTTTTGCAAACGAAAGCATTGGTTGCCTTGCGGCCATACCTACTGCTATCGTTCACTACAGATCACGCTGAAAATTCGAGTTTTATTAGTTTTAATTGAATTATTGTTTTTATAGAACTATTGAGGACATATAACTTTAGAAAGGATATAGATTACTAAAAATTTTAGAAATATTTTTATAAACTTTAAAAAGTTCTAAACAATACACTACAGATTACGCCGAAAACTGGCGTTTTTAGCTTTTAATTGTTGTTTTTTTAATCGAATTATTGAGGACACAAAACTTTAGAAATAATATCGATTACTAAAAAAATTAGAAAAACTTTTACAAACTTTTAAAGTTCCAAAAATTTTGCAAAAACAACTTTCGGCCGTTTTTCTGACTCAAAAACGTTGTAAAATCCAATTTTTATAGGTGTAACTAGTTTCTATTGCACCATTTTATCCAAATACCCTAAAATACCAACAAGGAAGTAACGAATTGAAACTTAAATTACTTGATTTGCTAAAAATACCTATTTAAATAATTTAGATTTGTCAATTTCAAGCAAAAATCACGTTTAGAAACGAAAGAAATAAGAAAATTTAGGTGCCAATTTTTGCTCGCCTAATCGGCGTAGGAGGGCATAAAATTCAAAAATAACATTTGAAAGATAGTTCTAAACTAGAGGAGGTATTAAGGGAGGCCTTGAAGTTGTAATTTTACATTAAAAAATCGCAAAACATTTTTTAGAGGTCATCAGATCAAAGAGCATCGCATGGGCCAAAAGAGGGCCGCCCCGGGGGCTAATACCTCCTCGCTAATCTCCAGGCGCACAAAAAACGACTCCAAAAATCGATCGGGCCCTCTGACGGTGGGCGCGGATTAGAAAACCGTCGACTTGTTGTAAGAAAAAGATTAATCGTAGCCCGGGCAATAGATTATCACCTCAATACAAAAATATAACACTGAGAGGCGGAGACTGAGGGCTGCGTAGCGGAGTGATCATACCTCACCCCACACACAAAATGGGCCGCCACGCACTCGCACAACCGGCACTCGGGCCGCACGTTTATGAAGTTTGTAGCCTAGAGAGGGGAGAGGCGGGACCATGACAGTTGAGCAACGACGTTTGAGCAACTTTTGAAAAGAGTGCGGAGGGAGGAGAGAGCCCAGACGGGCAGACTGTCTGGACTCTCGCCTCTCTCCGCACTCTTTTCAAAAGTTGCTCAAACGTCGTTGCTCAACTGTCATGGTCCCGGAGAGGCTCCTGCCGCGGAAAAGTTTACGCCCACTTCATCCCCCCTCCCCTCCACTCCTCACTCTCTCCCATTGCCGCCTGTACATTGGAAAATACGTTAACGAGTTGCTTGCCCCCCCACACCCCACGAAAAGCAATTAGTTGTGGAAATATCGAAATCGATTCGAAAATGAGAAAAACTCTGAAGGTGACAACTAAAAAGTGGAATTTAAAAATGATCTAGTTAAAAAATTGAGTGCGAAATGATATAGAAATGAAGAGAATGAAAAATTACCCAAAATGAATGAATTTTTAGACCTTCAGCAACACGCAAATACAAATGACACCCGCCGTTAGACCAGGAAACCCCAATTTCTCATTAAACTAATCGAAATTTTTGAAATTCTCGCCTTTATTTTATTTACTAAAAAAAGTAGTTTCCTTATAAAATTAGCGAAAATGAACTTATCAGACCTTTAGCAACATCGAAATACAAATGACACTCGAAATTAGAGGATCTATATCCCATTTCCGGTCAAAAATGGAATCTTTTGAAACTATCGCTTTTCTTTGATTTACTAAATCATTTTCTTCCTAGATTTGGCTAAAATGATCTTTTCACAGCTTTAGCAACGCGCAAGTACAAATCCACTCTTTATAAAACAAGCTAAATCCCATTTCCGATTCAAAAGAAAAGAACTTCTTCGAATTCTCGCTTTACTTTCTTTACTGACAGTTTCTTCTAAACATAACTTTTTCAGACCGATGTTCCGCGGTGCTCGAAGCATCTATCGGTGGATGACAGTCGGCAAACTCGACAGGAATCGCTTGTTCATCGGAGGGACGGCTCTACTTGGAACGATTGCCTCTACAGCCACTCTTCGACCCGATCTACCGATATTCCGAGAAGCAAAAGCACTCTTGATGCAAGACGACAATGAGAATTCAAGGCTAAAGGTGAGAAAACTATAGTTAAAAACGTATAAGTTTTGGATTCTAGGTGCACACTGATCACAAGTTGACACAACGTGAGATACGTTTCCTCCGCTTTGCTTCTATCGAGTATGATGATGTTATCTACATGAGTCCCATGGATTTCATCGATTCGTTGACGCTAGATCATCCAAGGGGTACTTTTTGAGTTTCCTATTAGTTACTGAAATTTTTAGAACGTGTCTACCGTCGCGTAATGAAGCCTGACGATTTGACAAGGCTATTGAAGAAGACACCACCATTTCGAAAAGGAAACAAGACACTATTCCGGTCATTGGATCAAGGAGGAATCATTTCCTATTCGGAATACATCTTTTTGCTTACATTGCTGACAAGTAAGTTATATAGGAGTTATCTAAAAAGTCTTTTTAGAGTCACGAGCGGCTTTCAAAATCGCGTTTATGATGTTTGACGAGGATGACAGTGGATATGTCGATCGGGACGAATTCTTGATGGTAAAAATTATCAATTTTCTAACAAAATTTTCGCCGTTTCACATTATCAAAGATCTAGCCAATTGCTATAGTATTTTAACTGGTTAGACAGCTCGCTTATCGAAAAACCGTAAACTTGGGGCACCGTAAAAAGTTCCGGTAGTTTTTTGGCACCGCTTATCATCTCGCCCCCAATGTTGCGACCGCGTTGCAATCACCTAGAAAAAAAATGGCGGGATTTTGAGCTCCTAAAAAGTACAAAATTTGCAGGCAATTATCTTTTTTTCAGATCAGAAGTCTTACATCATCATTGAGATCGATTCGCTTTCAATCGATGCACAAGGATGAGGTATAAGCATGATTTAGAAAGTTATATTTTTGTTTAGTCTTGTCAACTCGAGCCATCCGACTTCAGCTTCGTGGTAAATCGACTGAGCTCGAAGCTTTTCGCCGGCACTGATGCTTATAATATTGAATTTAAGGTAGAGAATGGTAGAAAAGTTTGTAAAGTTTTTTAGAAATCAGATGCCGAGGTGAAACGCCAAGATACGACCCTTCTACTACATCTGTTTGGCATCAGCGGCGGCTCGAAGCTGTCTTACGAACAATTTCAAACGTAAATGATTTTACAAAGTAGCTAAAAAAGATATTTTAGGTTCTGCGCCAATCTTCAAGAAGAGCTGATGGAAATCGAATTCCACGAGTTCTCACGTGGTCGGAATATCATCTCGCCAATCGATTTTGCACGTCTTATTCTTCGGTTTGAACTTCATTTCGGCCCGTTTTATGTGTTTCTAGGTATACAATCGTTCACGAGAATGACTATTCGAAGTATATAAGTCGAGTGCAGGAACGATTGACCACAGAAGATGTGGTATTTTTAGCCAATCTGAATGTATCATTTTTGTAGGGTATATCAATGGAACAATGGCGAAAGTTTTCCTATTTCCTCAATAGTCTCGAAGATTTTGCGACGGCTGTGAGATTATATACAAATGCTGATATGCCTGTATCGAAGAAAGAGTTTTCAAGAGCTGTTAGAAGTACGACTGGACAGGTTTGAAATTTTAAAAATTAAATTGAATCTATTAATTTAGGAGCTCGATCAAAATATCGTCGATATGCTCTTCAAAATTTTCGACGCCAATCTGGATGGTCATCTCACTTATGGAGAATTCCTGTCGGTGATGAACGATAGATTGCATCGAGGATTAAAGGTAATTTAGTTTTTTATGAAAAATAATTTTTATCAGGGCCGTCTCGACAAGAAATGGGATTGGAAGCAGTTTAAGAGCTGCGTGATGACTGAGGTCTCAAGAGGATAATCCATTTACACGTTTGTACAAATAATCTACCCCGTTTTGTGTGTGACTAATCCTGCCATATCTTCTGTGATTTCCCCCCACGCATAGTCAGAATACATTCAGATACTGTGTGAGTACCGGTGCTTGCAAGATTAATAAAGTTTTTTGGGTGAAAAATAGCATTTTGAGAATCTACGGTATTTTAGAACTACGAAATACAGCTTTCCCGGTTTTCTAAAGCAATTTTATGGTATTTTTTTCTACAAGAGCTCCTACCAGTTTGCAGGCCATATCTCGCCCGTAAATCTTTCCTCCAATTCCCCGCATCTTTCCTAGGTAACCAGCCCAGCATCTCCATCAACATTCCTATACTCACCTCTCTGCCCTCTCCACCTATTCCGTGTTTCCGCTTCCATCTCGCCTCCCCATCCTCTTCCCCTCCCTAAACCGTGCCCCGACCAGCGCGCCTATTCGCTTTATTCCCTGCGCCAATACCTCCAATTTTATAACCAAACCGGTTGCGTATCTTTTGTTTTTAGTCAAATCATGTCAAGCTTGTTAAGGTATTTTAGAAATTAGCTCTAGAAGTCTTTTTTCCGTTGAGTTTGAGACTAGAATAGGTTTTTTAAGGTTTTAGGAAGATTTTCAGGTCTGGCGATCGATTTTTCGTTTATTGAGGTTGGAAGAGCCTGAAGATTGCGCTAAAATTATGCTGCGAAACAAGCTGAAGCCTAGACGCTCGATATTTGAAGCTAAAAAGGCTCTTTCTCTTCAGAATTCCGATTTCCGGGGCCCCAAATTCATGCCCAGCCAATTTTCAGATTTCTCGACTCGCACTGTATCTTCTATTCCTCCCCATTGATTCTTTACTCGTATCATAATGTAAAGCACCATCTAATACATATTCTTCCCACCACAACAGTTCCCATATGTGGGTATTGGATTGAGTGTTGAGCATCGGCCCTCTCTAAATCGATCCATCCGTCGGCTCACTCCCCTTCCTTCCCTCCCCTTCCACCCCTGCCTTTTCTATACTCTCCATTTTCTCACAGCCTCTTCGTCTTCCGCGCAATCCAAACCACCTTTTTTCGCTTTCAACAACTGACGGCGGAATCATAATATTATGCCGGTGCCGTGGGCGTCATTTTTGTCTAGGATTCGTGCTGGTTTAGGCTTTATATTTTAGATAGATACTCAGCATCGCCAGAACGCCTCTGGAATTGTAGTTTTCTCAGTCTCCTTGTATTTCAGCTTTCTCCTCATCTTTTTTTTATGTGAAAACTCGATTCCTTTATATCTATTTTCCAGGTTCTCCGGCGGAATGCCTCGACCGGGGAAAAGAGGTGGTGTCTCCAGACCGTTCACTTCAAAACCTGCGGAGCCACCTCGGCAGCTCGAATTTGTGTACGATAGTGATGAAGGATTATTACCGGTTGGTGCTCAATTCCTTGAAAAAAAATGGATTTCCATTCGGTTTTCTACGCCACTGAATATAATTTTGTTTTCTAGGAAATCGAGCGGCTGACGGCACCTCCAGGAAGCTCTAAAGAAGCCATGGATCAGTCGGATTCCGAAGAAAAAGCTGCTCGATCTAACAATGCTGGCTATTGTGTTGCTTGTAAGGTTGGTAATAGCAGTAATCGGCTGTCTGAAAGTCAGTTATCCAAAATCGTGCTAATGACGCTCTAAAAACTCGATTTTTTTCCAGGAAGGAGGAGATCTTCTTTGTTGCGATATGTGCCCTGCATCTTTCCATCTATCCTGCCAAGACCCGCCAATAACAGCCGATCAAGTCCCGCCAGGTATTTTTAGCAATTCCCACCTCCAATTTCCGTTATTTTACAGGAAAATGGCTATGTAATCGTTGCGAGAAAACGCCCGTACATCTTCGAACTGAAAAGAAAAAGGGCGGAGAGGTATTCAAAAAATTTGAAGCAAAAATTAATCTTTTTTTAGTACGGCGAGCTCGAGCGGAATCGAATGACGATCCGAAGAGTCTGGAAAGAGAATGAAACTGAAAAGCTTGACCCGTTGAGCTTATTGGCCAAGTGAGGATTACGACCAAAATCTGAAAAAATGGTTTAGAACTGCCCTTGCACTGAATCCAACAGCTTACGAGCTGCCTGAAAGTATTGCCCCTCGCTACGAGCTTCCAAATGACGCATTGCCAAATGGGAGACAACGAACGGATACTCTGATTTGTGTCAAGTGTCAAAGGTATGGAAATGGAATCTGGAAGTCTAGAGGATTTTTTAGATATTCTCGAGAGAACAACCCGGTGATAGACTGTGATTTTTGCCCGTTGGGATGGCATCTTGATTGTCTCGATCCGCCTTTGACGATGATGCCGAAGGATAAATGGATGTGCCCGGAGCATATTGAGCATATGGTGGTCGGTTTTTAGAATTGGAAAGCTGGGGATTGCCCTGGATTACTGTAAAAAGCGATATTTCGGTCCCTTTTTGCTGTTCCTGGTCGTATAGATCATAAAGTTTGACCAATCACCTTTTCCCTCTAAAACGCAACACTCCCAAAAAGCCCTTCTAACCTTATTGGCGCAATTACTCTAGAGAGCAATTTCATTTCTCCTTCTACCTACTGAAATGGCCCTCCCCCTCTTCCCTCTCCCTCCTCCCTCTCCCCCATCTCTTCTCCATCCTAAAATCAATACCCCCCGCCATATCCCTTCCCTCCACCCCCCTCTCTACCATGCCTCGATAGCTCAGTTGGGAGAGCGTTAGACTGAAGATCTAAAGGTCACCGGTTCGATCCCGGTTCGGGGCAGCCCCACTTTTTGCTTTTGCAAAACTTTGCGAACCTTTTGCTTTTTAGGATCGCTTCTGTCTGAAGAGCACCTCGTTGACGCATCGGATGCGGATGTGGGAAGAACATGCCCAACAACCCGTTGACGCGGAAATTACTGAGAAAGCTTTCTTTAAAGTGAGATTTAAACGACAGTAGACCATCCCATTTTTTTATAGGCTGTTCGCGAAAGAGTGCCGCAACATCTGAACCCCCTGAAGGCGAAGAAGAGCCGAAATGATCCGACTGGAAATCCGATCCTACAGCAGCTTTGTCGGGCCGCCAAGGCGACTACGGCTGCAGAATGCTTTGGTAACATTTTTCATTTTTGGTTTTAACGTTTTCTTTAGCTGCTTTCAAAGGCGCTAGTGGATCTGCGGTTCCAGAAGAGGAGAAGCCAAAGACGTATCCGAATGCCATTGATGTCAGAGACCTCCCAGGGCCTTCGACAAGAAATAATTTGGAGCCGAAAAGAGAGGGAAAGGTAGATATTCCTAAATTTGCTCGTTGATACCTGATTCTTAGGCTGCGGATACAAATGATATTGTTTCCTCGCTCGTTGCCTCGATATACAATAGTCATGAGGAGAAAATGTAAGTTTTCTAGATTTTTTTAATATATTTTTTTATTTTTAGGGCGCAACTCGGAGGCTCTGACGAAAAACCGCAACCACCGGTCAACAAAAAAGAATGTCAAGGGCTGAAAGAGATTTGTAAAGTCAAGTAAGCCTGAAAAGTTTGAAAAATACAAAATTTTCCAGATTTGCCACCTCGTCCGACCCGAGAGATCGAGTGATTTTTCATCTAGCTGCCGAGAGATTGGAGCAGATTAAAAATGAGGTAATTACTGTAATTCTTAAGTTTTTACACCTTTTTCCTAGGTCTCAGCCCTCGGCCAGCGAGCCGGAAAACCCGTAAAAGCCGTCACATTAGACGATCATTTGACGGAGTTGAACCAATATCGGGAGAGTCGCAAAGTAGGTTCGTTTTAACTGTTTTTGGGTTTTACGGCTCAAGCTTTTGGGAAATATTAAGTTAATTACTTTTAGACAATCTATCCGAGGCGCGGCGCGAGCTCAGCGAGGAGGCCGACGGGCCAAACAAGATCGCGTGGTGGGAGGGGCGCTGGTCCAAAGAATATCCCAAGGAGGATGGCGCCGTTGGTGAGGCATTTTGCGTTTAAAAAGTTTAGGGCGGCTGTAAAAAGCAGACAATTCGACCGAAATCTACGATTTTTTAGTTTAAAGCTGCTCAAAAATCAGCGCTCTTGCTCGTGGTCTATTGGTCCAACTTCTGCTCTGTAGGCGAATGTCGAATCGAATAGTCGAATCCAGCCCGCACAAAACTTTGCTTTTTGCGATCAAGGATGGGGGAGGGCTTTAAAAAGCCGAAAATCTGGTAAAAGGCACATTTTTTGAGTTTATAATAAGCTGTAGAACGGAAGTTTTACGGTTTGAGCGCATGGAGGATTGCTAAAGCTCTAGCTTTATAGGCGAATGATCGGGGTTCGAATGCCGCCCATCGATTTTTTTTGCTTTTTGCCTTAAACAATTTTATAACCCTTTTCAGCCGCTCCCAAAAGTGATCCCGCCGAAAAACCTCGCCCCTCCCGCGGCCGTGGCCGCCCAAGGAGTTCTGGTACTACCACAGGTAATGTTGCGATACTTTGATCGTCTATATATTTTTTTATTTTAGGCGGAACCGGTCGTAAAAGTGAATCAACTGCGGGACTCGCAACAACAGAATGGGGTACCGCCGAGGGCACCGGAGATGGTGGGTTTTTCGCGATTTTAAAGGGACCTGGAAGTCAGTTTCGTTTACGACATGTATTCTCCCCTTTTTCAGATGGGCAAACTGGACCTTCTCCTTCAAGCAGCAGCTCTGGCCGGGGACTACGTGGGTACACCGGTCCAATGAGGGGCAGAGGATCTAGAGGTGAATTTTTTAAAAACTAAACTTTGATTTTAAAAATCAACAATTGAATTAATTTATTTTGATTTTTTAGGCGGCAAAATCCCCGGCTTCCACCCTCAACAATTACCCCTACAATCAACTACACCCTCGACAACCCCTCAAAACTCCACCTTCCGCCCGCTGCTTGTCCCCGACTACAAATTACTGTAATCTTTAAAAAAAATTTAATTATTGATTTTTAGAGCCAAAACCCTGACGCACCTCCCGAAAAATCTGAAAGACAAAGAACTGCAGCTGTTTAAGGAATATAATCAGGTACTGTAGAATTGTTTTTTAAATTATGTGATTTTAGACCCACATGGCCCTCCTCGCCCAGCCGAGCTTCGCCGAACCCGAGCTCTCCAAGCTGATCCGGGGCCATTTGGTGGCACAAATGCGAGTGGCTCATGTGCTCGAGCCGCTTTCCATTGCTACTGATTATTTTCTATATCATGTAAGCTTTAAAGTAACTTTTGAAACCCTAAATTTAGTTGTCAACCCAAAACCGCCTCCCAAAAACGATCCTCGCCCAGCCAGCACCCCCGGAAAATGTTCATTGTACAAAGTAAGTTGTTTTGTCGAGATTTAGGCTTGGCGCAGTCGGTAGAGCAGCTGCCCTTAATCTGGAGGTCAGGGTTCGAATCCTGGGACCTCCGTGTCATTTTCCTTTGGCTTTTAGACGTTTTAGATGAGATTTTTTAGATTTACGCAACAAGAACTCGAAGAACTCATCTCACCCCCAATAATTGGAGCCGCATCTTTAATACATGATCATGTAGGTTTAGTTTTATAGATTTTGTACTTTCTATTTTAGCTCTACATCGCCACCCACCGCCAGCAAGTCTTTCTCGCCTACGATTCCGCCCGAATCCGCGCATTCCAAAAGGCCAAACTCCTCGCCGTCCGCGAATCTCATGTCAATCGACCGCTACCCCTCCCTGCGCCCGTTCTTCCACAGCAACAAGCTCCACCTCCTCCTCCTCAAAACAACCATCACCATCAGATGCATCAGATCATGAAACGAAAGGTAAAATAACATAAAATAGACTTTATGTTCTATTTTTTTACAGATCCCCGTCCTCTCTGAAGCCCCGGAACCCAAGAAATCCTATGTACCAAATGGCAATCATCAACCAATTCTTGTAAATTTATTACTATAATCGATTACGCTAGTTGTGTTTCAGAAAGAACCAACAAAACCGATCGCATATCTGAAAGCACCTCCCCCAATCGCCATCCCACCCCCGAAAAAAGTCGAAAAGCCGATAGAAATTGTTCAGGTATGGGTTGTAGCTTTTCGTACAAGTATTGTGTTTTAGAAGCCAACTATAAACTCCAAAGTCGAACTGCTGGTCGACCCGGAAATTGAACGCCTAATGTCGGAGATGATCAACAGAGTCTGTGATGAAGATGAAAAACGAATATCGAAAAATCGCCAACTGGATAGTGTACTTGATGATGTTGTTAGAAAGGTAATGGAAAGATCAGATTTCTCTAATCTAGATTATTTCCAGGCATGCGCCCAGCAAACCGGCAAGAAAATGGAGCTCATGGTGGAGGATGTCATCAAGAAGGTTATCGCCGAAAAACTGGCGGAAGATCGACAACGAGAAGCCATGGCCAGGCAACCGGCCATATTTACGGCTAGCCAATGTCAAGGTGAGCTTTTGGAGGGGTTGAAAATGGTTTTTCCAAAAAGCAAAAAGTTTGTTGTGGGCGGGAATCGAACCCGGACGTGTGGTTTTAAAGCGAGCACTTTACCAAGCGGCCAAACGTCCAATACGCCTAAAATCGTTTTTTTCAGCAAACTTCGAAGAACAATTCCTAAAACTACAAGAAAGAAAAGAGCGCGATCGAGCGAGAGAAGAAAAGAAAGAAAAGCTGATGCGATTGAGGCAATTGGATGAGGAGGTGATTTCCAAGCATTAAATTAACGTTTTTTTTTTTCTAGAACAACCTGAAAATCGCCCGCGAGACGTTGTTACGCCGCCCTGTACTTGTTGATGATGAGCCCTACGAATTTGGAAGAGGTCTTGGATGTGAATATGATACAAGTAAAATTTAACTATTGGTTGGAACTGTTTTTTCAGGATATTTCAACGAAGACCTCCCCATTATGGCCGAGCTTCACCCGGAATTCGGCTCGACAAAGCCGTTTGCCATTCAGCGATTCGTTACTACGGTAATTTGGTTATTTTGTTTTTAAAGATGCATTTTGGTTTTAGTTGGGCACTGATGCGAATTGTCACATCCAACTTGACGAGCTCGTGGAGGGGTTTTGTTTCGCCCTTTCCGAGCGGCATGCGGATATTGTTTTTGATGAGGTAGAGTAGTTTAAAATAGTTGAAAACTTTATTTTTATAAAATCAATTTTTACAATTTGGTAAAAATTATTAAGATTCGATTTTTGCAGAAAAACTACCGTTTCCAACTGCGAATCGGGGCTGAATCGCGCGTTCTGGTCAATGGCGATTGTTACGGTGGCCCATCTTCATTCCCCAGCGAATGTATATGTGGGAAAAGAGGCGGCAAAGAATTGAAGGTATTTAAATTTTAATCTAAAAACTATATTTTATATTTTTCGCGTTTTTATAAATTTAATTTACTTTTTTTTTGCAGCCAATAAGCCAAGCTGTCTGGCTGACCGACGGGATGTGGCTTCGTTTTGGGTGTGCGCTGTTCCTCTTCCGTACTCGCTACACCCCGGTTCCGGATGATGTTGATGTACTGTAGCATTTTTACTAATTTCGCTAATTGTCATTTTTGCATTTGTATTTTTCAATTTATTTTGATGCTTTTTTTGAAACTAGTCCAATAATTCCCCCACACCCACTTTAGCATAATTTAATACGGTGAATTTTTGAATTTTGAAGCTTACATTTTGATTATTTTTGCGTATTTTTATCTCTGTACAATGTTGCTTGATAAAATCACTTATCAGCTCTCCATATCCCGATCTATATTCCCCTCTCGCCCTCTCCTATTAATACAGAAATCATTGGGTATTCGATGACACGAGGTATCTCCCCCCTGCGAATTATCCCCCACCCCCAATTTATGGATTCATTTTTTGCCTTATTTCTGTGAAATATAAGTTTTAAAAGTTTTTGTTCGATATATCGTGCGTAATAATAAATTGTTTCTATTGGTTATTTTCAAAATTCGATTTTTTTAAAAATCTGTAACAACTACAGTCGATTTTTCCTCGATTTTCTGGAGATTCTTTCCGCTATTTTGAGGCTTGGCTGGCTTTGGCTGGTGAGATAGATATGCTAAAAAGATATTCAACTAATTTTTATGAAATCTGCAGCAACAACAGTCGATTTTTCCTCGATTTTCTGGACATTTTTATTCCCTTTTTGGGGTCTTTAGAAGTGGCAGGGCCAGGGGGTTGATTGGAGATTTCGAATCCCCTAGAGGCGGATTTTCTACGACTAAAAGCCGGCAAGCCTCGCCCGGGGGATCTGTATACGAAATTCTGACGATAAAGCGGATGAGATTCGATTAGTTTGCCCATTTTTGAGATGGGAGGCGTATTTCTCAATAACGAATTCTGCAGGTATAAATAGCTACAAAATCCGATGTTTTGTGGGCGAACGGATTAGGCGAATTTTGAGGTTTTTTCGGCGCTATCATTTTGATTTATTTGCAATTTTTAAAATGTATTTTGTATCGTAAATAACCTCTACTAGCTAGCTTTATAGTTTTTGTTAAATTTACGTAATTACCGTATCTTTTTTTAGTTTTTTAACGAGCTTTTTAACAGCCATGACCATTAATGCGTAGACCCCTCCCTTCGCCGCCCCTTTAATCCTTGCTATACAATTTATAGCCAATCTGGCAGCCGACAAGCCGAAAGCGGCCCCTGAATTTTTGATAAGCTCCCATTCGCGCGAGAGACCACAGATTTGTACGTGTAGATTGGTCAGTAGCCCATTCTCTCTCTTTTTCTAGTTCTCTATCTCTCTCGCTCTCACTCTCTCTCTCTCTCTCTCTCTCTCTCTCTCTTCGTCTTCTGTTGTCTATCGGAATGTCCCCTATGTGGAGCGCGGGTGCGCGTGGGCTTCTTTCGATTCCCAATGGCGCGCGTATCCACGGAGACCCCTTTGAAGGCGACTCTCCCTCTCTCGCTCTCGCTCTCTCTCACCCTCTTGCTCCCTCATTCGTACCCAGATTTCTGCCATTTCAATTGGTTCGAGGGTTGTCGCATTGCCTTTGAAATCTAATTTTTAACCTATTTATTCCGCATTCCAGGGTAGCTAAGTGGCTAGCGAGTTTGATGAATAAGTTTTGAGTGCGGGTTCGACCCCCGGCCCGCAAATATTTTGCGCTTTGGACCCGGAACGCCGGGGAGCAGCCCAATTTGGGAGTCCCGCCCGTGCTCGGAAAGAGAGAGGGACAGAGAGAGAAGCTCTTCCTCCCCACTCTCCCCACCCTCTTCTCGTTTTAATGGGTTGACGATCAATTGTCAGCCCCCGTCTAGTCATGGATTCTGACATGCTACCCCATAAATTTCTAAGTTTAAGCTACTATTAATGCGCCGAATTGATCGACGCTTTGATCTTTTTGATCTTTTCCGACGTCTAAATCCCCTTAATTAAGCCGTTTTCTACTTTTTCGATGTCATTTGGATGTTTGCCAACTTTCAGCCCTTCTCGAGAATCCCCCTAAAAAGTTTCCATTCACAACATTCTACCCCAAGGGAAATTCCAATCGAAAAGCCGCCCCCTGGTCACCTTTAAAAACTCCCTCCTCCCCCCCAACCCCTCGCCCACTGAAATCCCAGAAAAAAAACACAAGAGGGGAACCCAATTTCCTGGCCGGCCATTTCGTCTATAGGCGTCTTGGTTTCTGTTTCTCTCGCTTTCTCTGTATCTCTCTCGCCTTCCTATTTAAATGCCGTTCCAATTAAGAGGATCCTCATTTTGGAAATTCATTCTTTCCGGGTATGACCTTTTGGCTGGTCCTGATTCCTAAAGAATCTTTGCTAACTCGCATTTCCCTAGAAATTTCTTCTAGCTCGCTTTTCCCTAAAAATCTTTGCCAGCCTGTTTTTTTCTATAAATTCCGCTAGTTCGCCTTTCCTGAAAGATCTTTGCTAGCTTTCCTTTTTTCGCATTCTTTGCTAGCCCACAATTACCTATGTAGAGGCTGCTGCTCACTAGCCTTTCCTGAAAGATCTCTGCTGGCTCGCCTCTCTCTCGAAATATCTGCTCGTCAGTTTTGCCCTAGAAATCTCTGCTAGCCGTTTTTCGCTAGAATTTTCTGCTAGCCCGCCCTATTTCTCAGATCATCTCTGCTAGTTTACCTTTTTTAGTGATCTCCGCTCGCTTGCTTTTCCCTAGAAATCTCTACTAGCCTGCCCTCGTTCATCATACACTTGTTTTAATCAATTTCAATCCCCCTCCCTTTCCCAATAGACGTCATCATCACAAAATCCGGCCCCCACGCCCAGGCCTCCCCTCAAAAAATGTAGTTTCCAATCGTGATTCTGTTGTGTGCTTTTTGCTTTTTACTTTTCCCTCCTCAAAACACCACTATTCCAGGGTAATTACGTCAACCACCCATTTTCTCGGCTCAAATTTGTATTTTCAGGTCCCACTCGTTTTTCTGATTCTCAGAGCAGGGATTTCGCAATCTGGTTTTTTGCTTTTTCATTTTTCTGTTTCTCTGTCTGTCTCTTTGTCTCTCTCCCTTTCTCTCTCTCTCTCTCTCTCTCTCTCTCTCTATTTGAATGATATTTCTAAATTGCCTCAATTTCCTCCCTCCTCCTTCCCTTCCTCCAAACAATTATTATCACCATCCCCTCAAAATATATTAGTTTCTATTTTTTCATCGATTCCTTCTTTTCTTTTTCTATTTTTCGGCATTCCTCCAACCCCCGTTTAATAGATGGCGTCTGTTCAGAAGATGACAAAATCTGATGCCGTTATTTTGACGCCGTTAAGTGAGGCGGAATTGTTGCGCCGAGACGTCATCACGCCGCAGGATGTACTTAGGCTGAATGCCATTACGCAAGGTGGGTGGAAAAATCAAAAAGAATGATATTGGTAAAAAAGCAAAACGAAAACAAGGAAGTTTTGCCGCGGAAGGGATCGAACCAGCGTGCTCAGACTTTGGAGCGAGAGCGTTACCACTACACCAAAGGGCAAAGCGTGTAAGGACGATGAGGCGCCCTCTTGTCTCTTGGTAGCGCGCGTCCCGGCGCCAGTAAAATCCCAATTTTTAATTTTAATTATTGATTAAAATTTTAGAATACCTCTGCAAACCCTCAGCCAACATCTACGAAATAGAATTCACCCGCTTCAAAATCAGAGATCTCGAAACGGAGCAGACACTTTTCGAAATTGAAAAACCCGCAGGTAAGATCATCATAAATTATTTAATTACTATTTTAAATGATTTAGACGACCAAAATAACCATTTCCCGCAAGACCCCGAGGACTCCCCCTCCAGATACGTCAGATATCGATTCACGAAAACATTTTTGGAGCTGAAACACGTCGGCGCGACGGTAGGAGCATACTGTATCGGCCCTGAAAAACCGCGTAATTTTTTCCAGGTCGAATTTTGCGTGGGGAACAAGCCGATCAATCGTTTCCGCATGATTGAGAGGCATTTTTTCAAGGTAGGAAATTTTATCGCAAAATTTAAACCTAAAAACGATTTTAGGATCGACTCTTGAAAAGTTTCGATTTTGAGTTCGGATTTTGTATTCCGAATTCGCGGAACTCTTGCGAGCATATTTACGAGTTTCCCCAATTGGCCACCGAGTTAAGTAAGTCGAAAACATAAAAATTTTTGTCGATTTCGTAAAATCATAAATTAATTTGATAAATTTTTAGTCGACGAAATGGTGGATTCGCCCTACGAGACGCGCTCCGATAGTTTCTATTTTGTCGACGACGTCCTCGTAATGCATAATAAGGCCGATTACGCTTACGACGGCTAAAAACTACAGTATCCTTTTCCCTTGAAAATACCGTAATCATTCCATATAGGCGTAAATTCAAATTTCAAATCTAATTTACCTTAAATCTCTCGTTAATTTGCATAATTGCCTTTTTCTACGCGTTCCAACTGTATTTTCTGTCAAAGACCCCATCTTAAAAAGTGCGCTTTTTCGCCCCAGTCTTACTGTAGTCCTCTCGCCGATGCCTGCCATTTTATTATTATTAAAAAAAGCGGAATAGCTTACTGTATTTCCGAGATTTAATTAATTACTGTATTCCCAAAAGACCGCTAATTGTGATAGAAATTTTGTTTTTCTCTCTTTCTGTCTCTCTCTCTCTCTCTCTCTCTCTCTCTCTCTCTCTCTTTCTCTCTCGCTTTCCACCAGCAAATCCCGTTGTGCATATTTTTACTGAAGAGCTGAATTTTACGATCTCACAAAATGAAATTATCATTATTTTTATTTTTGTTTTTTATTTTTATTCCCATTTTCCATTTTTTTCTATTTTTTTTTTTTGAAATCGACAAATCCCTCCCAATTAAAAACCCTCACCCCCAAATGTTTTGTTTTGTATAATGACGAATAAATTTTGACGGCAATTCTGGTGGCGGGGATTTAAGACATCAAAATCCGGAAGAAGCCCACATTATTTCGCAAAAAATGCTGCGAAAACTGGTGTTATTCCTGGGTCTTTTTATAATTGGAGATTCGTTGTTGTGCTATTCGGGAAAATTTGATCCGAATCAAGATTTGGATGATCAGGCCCCGAAAGCTGTCGTGAGTTTTTGATAAATTGGCATCCAGTATGCCTAAAAATTATTTGAAAACAGAATTAAATTACAATAATTTTTGAATATATTCGATTTTTGCTAAACTGGCTTGCAGTATGCCTAAATTTAATTTTTAAAGCCTGATTTAATTCTTAGAATTTTAAATAGCTGGAATCTTGCCCAAACTGGCATGCAATATACCTAAAACACACCATAAAATCTTAATTTTATGTTGGAATATTTAATTAATTTTAGTTTTGGCTAAACTGGCATGCGCCATATATGAATTTGCTTTTTATATCTACTTTTCTTTCTTAGAATTTTAAATCGATCAACGATGTTGTCTAACTGGCATACAGTATGCCTAAGAGACTTCTTGGAATCATAGTTTCATGCAACAATATTTATCTAGACTCAATTTTGGCAAAACTGGCTTACAGTATATCTAAATTTATGTCTAAAATCTATGTATAATTCTTAGAATTTTCAGTCGATCCGATTTTGCCCAAACTGTCATACAGTATACCCGAAAATGACCATAAAACATAGGTTAATCGTTCGAATCGCTAAACGAAGCTTTCATGCCTAAATTATTCTGAAAAGTGTTAAAAATCGAATGTTTAGGTAGATTGCCATGATCGTTGCAAAAGAGAGACGAGCGCTTTCAATAATCAAGAAATCTACAGTTGCGGCAATTGTTCCACATGGGATAAATTGACAAATTGGGGCGGATTGACTCTGGTAGGATTTTATAAAAAAAAATGTCGAAATTCGATAATGTCGAAAATCAGAATTTTGAAACTTCAAAATCCAGAAATAATCTCGAAAAATTAGATTTTCTGAAATTTCGAAATTATGAAATTTTGAAAAAATAAAATAAGCCAAATAGCAATGCTGGGATTACTATAAAAATTAAATTCACAATTTAGGAATGCTCAGACAAAGATTTCGGCCCCTCAAAGGGTGCAAAATGGGAATCACGAGGAAGAGAGATTTGGGCTGCCCAGGGGGGAGATAGCCAGAAAAATGTTCATCCCCATATTGTCACCAATGATGTTGGCTCCGATTGGGATCAAATGACGAAAGCTATTGGGGAGAAGGGTGAAGAAAGTGCTCACCGAATAAATTGTTTTCTTTTTCTCAGGCTCATTTTTGATTTCGTTTTAGATATTCGGCAAATCTTTGCTTTTTGCCATTCGCACCGAAAACCCCCTAAAATTCAATTATTTCTCCTAGTAACCCCCAACTGGCACCCACCCTACTTATTCCAATCAAAAAATCCCAAAAAACTCGCAATTTTTAGGATTGACTTCGTCCTCCCGGGGTTCGGGTAGCCCCATATTCTCAGCCAGTTTTCTCGATTCCCATTAACGCGTAAATTAAACATCAACTTCCTTCTAGATTACTTTTCTACGCTGAATCCGAATATCAAATCTGTTTCCCCCTACCTACCGTACATCCCGAGATAAGGACGTACCCCTTGCCGACGCCCGTATTCCGCCGCCTCTAGGGCCGCCCAGTTGTACGCCAAATATGCCAATGGCGGTATAGAAACGCTCGTGTCGGTCAGGGTTACAACTTCACATGCCCAAAACAATGCTACAAGCTACAATTTCACAGGAGACCTGCCACCCCCCGAAACGCCCCCCATCTGGCCCACCCGTGCTGCGGAACGGCAATTATACAAAAATTCGCGTTTTTCATTGTTTTCACAACACCAATTTGTAGCCCTTGCCGAGACGAACATTTCTGTACCGCCATTGGCATAGGTGGCGTCAAACTGAGCGGCGATAGAGGCGGCGGAATGCCGGCGACGGCAAGGGGTACGTGCGTATCTCGGCACGTAGGGTAGGTAACGCGAAACAGATTTCATATTTGGATTCAGCGTGAAAAAGTGACCTAGGAGAAGGTTGTTGCTTCATTTTCGCGAAAATGGGAAACGAGAAAATTGGCTGATAATTTGGGGCTACCGTAACACCGGCAGCACAAAGTCAGTCCGGGAAGATCGGAGTTTTTCGGGGTTTTTTTTTATTGGAATGGGTTGGGTAGGCGCCAGTTGGGGTTCTAAAGAGAAATAATTGGGTTAAAGGATGTTTTCGGACTTTTTTAGGTTTTTTAATGGGATTGGGAAATGCTATTGGATGCAATCTGCTAAGCTGCGCTCTATATCTTGAAAGATACGGTAGCTGGAAAAAACGGTTTTGGAAATTTGGAATCGACGTAAAAAACTGGTCTAGAAAAGTGTTCGTTCAGGGTCTAACAGCGTTTTTTTTAGGAAACTAACGCATCTCATGATTGAAAAGTCGGGTTTCTATTGTAGATTTTTGTGGCAAAGTTAGTACAAACTACAAAAATCTTTAAAAACCGGGTTTTCTTTACGGCAGACTACAAACTACAAACCACAAAAATCCCGAAAAACGCGATTTCGACGACTTATTTTAACTTTTTAAAGCGAGGTAATGCATTTAAAATGTGTAAATCCCGATCAAATTTCAATTTTAAAATTTTATTAAATGAACGCCTAGCGCGGCAAAATTATGACAAGACAAAACGAGGGAGAGGGATGGGGAGAGTGCAGAGAGCAGAGAGACGCAGAGAAAATGCACAAATATGGCCATAAATATCGTGTTAATTGGAGCTAAAATCGTAAAAACATAAAACAATTATACAGAAAAATTGGGGAATTTTTTATGATTAAAAAATTAAGAAATAAAGCACATTTGATGGCAACGGAAAGGCAGCGAGGAAATTGGAAAGAAAAAAATTTAAATTTGGTTCATTAAAAAGTTAAGGCAGTTTTTTGGGGGATTAGACTACAGACTACAAAGTACAAAAACGTTGGCTGCCCGGATCGGCTTGATTTATTTTTGGCAATGCGATGCGTGTGTCAGTCAAGTCCATGAGATTTTTAGGGGTTTTCAAATTGCAAAAATCGCGAAAAAATTGCAAAAAACCGCAAAAATTGAGCTGAGCGGGAGATTAGTAGCTGCTTTAAAAAACTGGGGTAAAAAATAAGGACCCAATTTTCAAAAAAAAATTAAAAAATGAAACTGAAAGCAGGATGGCCGTGAAAATGTGAGAAAAATTCAGGGAGGCACCAGGCAGTGTTATTAGGCGGGTAAGGCAGGGTTTTTTAAGACCAAATTTTGATTACAAATTTTAAAGGGATAAAGTGAGGAGATTGAGCTAAAATACTGATTTAAATGTTGTAATTTGTTTAATTATGTTGTCCCTGGTATGTGGGATTTTTGAAGGTGGTTGTGGCTTGTTTGTAGATTGGGTTTTCGTTCTAAAAATTTTTTTTGTAGGCTAAAAAATGGGCAGCCTACCGTATCCCATTTGGCCATGAGCCGTTCCTGGTTGAATTTGGCGTATTCTCGACGATCGTGGAGTACGGTAAGGACTTTCCAGAGGACGAGCAGGATGATTCCGAGAATCACGATTCCGGCGATAACTCCAAGAACAATAGCCAATACTGGCACTGGTGGAGGGCAATCTGAAGAATAAAAATTGTTAAAAATTCTAAAATACATCCAAAAAAATTAATATTGAATTTTTTGAATTTTTTTTACCTTTTCTCCTCTTCACCCAAACTTTCGCGCTATCCGCCGTCTCATCAAATACATAGAGAAAATAGAAGGTACAATCATCGGCTGGATCGACAAATTGGCAAGGGGTAGATTCATTGATTTCTAAATTCAATTTAATGAATTATATTCTATGTTAAATCCTAAAAAATTTACTAATAAACCCTTACTCGGCAACTCCTCCACAATCTCCACTTTAAACGGACAATCCTCGCATTTCGAGGCGTTGTACGGGCCTGTTTGCCAGGTTTGGCACATTACGCACGGTTTGTATTCGATACACTTCGTCGGGCAGGTCTCAAATAATTTTAGTACAAATTTTTAGTGATTTTACTCACCGGGCAGAGCTCGCACTTTGCGCCAGAGTAGCGCTTCCCATCGTCAGTGTCAAGGCATCTTAAAATGGATATTTGCGCAGGAAACTGTTGCTATAAGCTCTAAATCTTTAAAAATAAGCTATACATTTAAAAATAAAATTAAAAACAACTTTGTTGTAGTTTGGTTCAAAAAGCAAAAAAATTCTCGCGGACGGGGGTCGAACCCTGGTAGTGAGAATGGAAGACAAAGGTACTATCCACCAGGCCACGGTCACAACGTGACTCGGGGGATGAGAGCAGTTCAAGAGGGAGAGGGGGTGCCTGGAAGGCAAAGGACAGCAATACAACCACCAAAAAGGCGAGTCGGTGGAACTTACAAAATTATGCTTTTTTTATTAAATCTTTTTAGGGTTATTTCCTACCTGCATCTTCCACAAATACATTCTCCCTTGCCATTGCAGATCTTTCCATTGGCGGCCAGGCAAGAATCCGTGGAAATCGGGCATTCACAGGCCCTCCCAGTCCATCCCGGCTCACAAATACACTCTCCACAATTGCATTGCCCGTGTCCGGCGCAGATTTTGCGATCGTGTCGCGGGCAGTTGAAGTTGTCACATTCGCAGAATTCGCCCGAGATTTGCTCCTCGGGGTTCTAAAATTATTGTAAAATAAATAAAACTAATTTTTTAGTATTTAAAAAAGTTTGTAGACATGTTAAAACAATTATTTTACATCTATTTAGCCAAAATTTTTATTGAAAACCTACCGTTCTTGGGTTGCACTCACAGCGTCCACAATTGCATACGCCACGACCCTCGCAAATTGCACTTTCGTTTGTTCTGAAATATACAATTATTTTTAATTATTTAGGTATTAATTATACTGCTTTAAAGTTGTAGTTTGTAGCCCACCTTTTGCACTTTTCGTTCAAAGCAGCAGTGGACATTCCGGGGCGATTACACTCGCAATGCCGGCCGACGTAGCCAGGCTAAAAATAGAGCGTTTTTTATTTTTTAAAATTTTATAAGATTAAATTTTTTCCGCTTTTTCTTACCTTACACCTACAAACACCACAAATCATATCACCGCCATTGCATTCAACAGCTTTTCGAACGATTTTCTCCTAAAATAGGGGTCAAATTAAATTCAATTTTTGTCAAACCGGATTCTCGCAATCGCAATCGCACAAAACATGGACATTCACGATCAGAGAATCATCAAGACCAGACGGCCCAATTCTCAGGATGAAATCTCGCTTGTCAACACAGCGAACAGCCTCCAGCGTCACTTCGAATTTCACCTCATCTCCGACGCGAATCCCCTCACAAACGTGAGTGTCTTGCATCGTTGTCCCACTAAATATCGAGTTTTCACATTTTTAAAACGCTCATACCCCAAGCAAAGACTCCTATAGCTCGTTCTCAGCCCATCAGAAGCGTTCACGTTATCAACCATGATAATCTGGAAATAAAAATTATTTTTAGAATCGTATGAGTGGATTTTGCCCCCAGCTTGGCCATACTATCTGCTGTATCTCCTCTCTCTTTCAAGCTACAGAGTTGTAACGTATACCAAAATACTCGGTAGGTTGAGTCAAATATTTTGATATACTTTACAACTTTATATCTTATTAAGGAGCCAAGATACGGTAGCTGGAGCAGGTAACCTAACCAAATTTTTTGCTTTGCCTTATGTCTCAGTTATCTCGGCTCCCCTTTAAGTTACAGTGTTGTAAAGTATATCAAAATACTCGCCAGGGTGATACGAACATTTTGGTATACTTTACAACCTTCAACGCCTAAGGGAACCCGAGATACGGTAGGTGGGGTGGAGAGCCTTGCTGCAGGTACTAGCTATCTCGACTCCCTTCTAGGCTGCAGTGTCATAAAGTATACCAAAATACTCGCCATATTAAGACGAGCATTTTGGTATACTTTACAGAGCGGTAGTTTAATAGGGAGCCAAGGTACAGTAGGCAGAGCGGCGAACAAACCCAAAATTTTTGCCTTGTCTTATGTCCCAGTTATCTTCCTTCCCCTTTAAGCCACAGTAATGTTAAGTGTATCAAAATACTCGCCAGGTCAAGACGAACATTTTGGTATACTTTAAAACGTTGTAAGTAAAAGAGGAGCCGAGATACGGTAGGTGGGGTGGCAGCGGTGCAGTTTTGCCTTGCTGTAGGAACCTGCTATCTCGGCTCGCCTTTTAGCTACCGTATTGTAAGGTATATCAAAATACTCGGCAAGTTCAGGCGTAAATTTTGGTATACTTTACAACTTTGTAAGTCTAAGGGGAGCCAAGATACGGTAGGCGGAAGCTCGGATGGAGCGCGAAAATCGACAAAATCCATACCTTTTCCGCGATTTTCTGATATTCCTTCTCGATTAGATCGACAATATTTCGGGAATCATTCGCCAAAACACCGACAGTTGATGCCACATCAAGAAGAGAGTTTGAAAGCTACAAAAATAGTTTTTAAAATTCATTTTTGACTTGCTAACCTGCGAATACAACTCAAAATTCTTCTCAGTGACAGCCCAAATAACATTAGCCTTCATATTCTTGACAATCTGATGGACAGCAGCAATTGATGGATAATCTTGATTGGTAGTTTCTGTATAATATCCATGACGATCCAAATGGCATTGTCCATCATTTGGCTCAACAATTCCAGCCAATCGACCATCACCCGCATAATGGAACCCGGCATCTGTTGAGAAGACGACCATTTTACGGGCACGTTCACGCCAGCCGATTGTGCGCTGCAAAAAGTAATATTGTAACTTTTATTGAAAGAATTTTTCAAAATACCGATTTTAATCATCTAGAAATTCAGATATCGGCATTTTAAAATGTCTAAATTCAGACATTTTTCGATTTTCCATAGTTTTCGACGTTTTCTAACCTTTATAACCGAAATAAAATTTTTCTATCCTCACATTGCAAGCCAAAATTTGCATCAACGCGTCGAAACCTCCCTCCGGCGCGTCAAGATTTCCGGAAATCTCGGCTTTGTCGACTTCGGCCTGAATTATTTCAATTGTTTCGTTTGTTTCCAAGCCCACCTTGAACTTCTCGGTGTTGGTGGTGAGCGTCATGCCGTGTTTGAAGCCGTACGGCTCGGCGCAGGGCTCTGGGCAAGGGGACATTTGCCTAAAAATAATAATTCCATTTTTAAACCATTAATAACTAATTAGAAAAATTACTAAACGATTTAAATACTCAAAAAACCTACTTTTCAATCCTCGGATCGATAAATGGCATCTTTTTCTTGTCGACAAACGACCCGAAGCCAAGCCGGAAATTCTTGGTGACACGTCGCATTTTTTCGGCTGAAAGTCAGTTTAAATTATACTTTTGATAGAATTTATATTACCAATAAGATCCCCCAACTCGGAGAGCTTTTTCTTGTCATCTTTCATCGAATACGACAAATCCATCAGATAATAGAGATCCACCGGGTAATCGACGGCCTGACGGTAGGTCACGTTGAAACGGACACGAGATTCTGAAGTTCAGAGTTTTAATTGAATTTAAAACAATTTAAAAATTATTAAAAATGTTTACTTGGCCTGATTTCGACCCTCATGACTTGGGGCTTCAATTGGATGGCTTCTTCCTCTTTATCGACCGTTCCTTGATCGGATAATGGCTCGTCCTAAATGACAGGAAATGGTGCTTTTTCGTTATCGGGGGGGCTGAAAACGCTACAACGTTTCAATAAAAACGAAAAATACCCATTTTTCTCACAAAAAATACGTTTTTTCGTCAAAATTTGGGATTTTCAAAAATTTTAGGCGTGTTGAGATATTTTTTCGCTCGAAAAACGGCCCCCGCTAATGCAAAAGTACCTAGAAAAGTAATAAAACCTACCTCAACAATCTCCAGCGTCGTCACCGGCGATTCAATGTCATATTCCGGACATCCATTCGCCAATAGTTTGGCCTTGTTGTCACAACGCGGGAATTGCTTCTTGTTGTCGAACAGCTGAAATTATTGAATTTAACTTTCGTCGTTTTAGCAATTTAATCATATATAAGTTATAGAATTCCAAAAATCACTACCGGTGCTCCACACCACGCGCAAGAATCGTGTTGTTGAATACAGGCCGAGCAGGTGTAGTTGTCACGGGATAATGAATGGCACGGGAAATCTTGTCGGGTGTCCAGGATTTCGCCGGTTACTGTAAGGGTTTATTAAAATTTAAATAAATATGAAAAATCGGGTTTTAAATTGGATTTTGCAAAAAATTGCATATCGCGTCGCGGCTCTGGGAAATTGATGGACTATTAAAAACGCTCCGATAAGCTTTCAGAATATTATAAAAACTAATTTTAAATTTTTTAACCCATTTTGGACGAACCGTCATCCTGCATTTTCCAATCGGAAACATCAGCTGCCAGGGCGACCAGGGCACACGCCCCGAAAAAGATGAGCAGCCGCATTTGATGTTGGGGTACCCACTTGCTGAAAAATATAGAAAAATGTTTATAAATGTTTAAAAAACAATAGAAAACCGGAAAACAGGGTCGAAAATTAAGAAATCAGAAGGTTTCGGCTTTACATGCTCAGAATAACGGAATAATCTTAAAACTCTCGATTAACACCCTAAAATGTAGGAAAAAAAAGAAGAAACCGCCCGATTACTCAGCTAGCCCGCTCAAAATCAATTCCTACACTTTTCGCCCCGATTCGCTGACTAACCCCCGGGGACACCAAAAATAAAATGACACATCCCACGAATTTCTCGATATATTATTATTATTACTAAGTCATGCTTTGAATGGCAAAACCGAAAAAGAGACGTTCAACCTGACACTCTGATGAGCAACACTTCCGGTGCTTTTTGAGAAAACGAGAATTGGTGATAAGAAATGAACATTCTGGCCGGCAGGAAGCGCAAATCTTGAAACCAGAAACGTTGGAGCATGAAATTTGAAATAGCCTGAAATTCCGAGCTGCAGGTTAGGAAAAGCAAGGAAAAGTCCATAAAAACAGACCCGTTTTCCCAGGGTCAAAGCAATTAGCCTTAACATTAAACTGGCTTTTCGAGCTACTAGCTTCTCCATTTCAGCTCAAAAACGAAATGCTATAGCCTTAAAATGTGTAAAATTCTTGCTAAAAGTAGAAAATCACGTTTTTTACCCTAAAAACGAAAAACGCATGCGTAGAACCCCGATTTTCCTACATTTCCTGTGCTGCAGAAATGTTTTCAGGGCAAAATTCTACTAACTGACTACCAATAAACCCCTTGAAACATCAAAATAAATAATAACTACTAAAATTTCAAAACAATTTTAAAAATCGTACATAGGAGCGGCTCGGAAAATGAGGCTGAAAGGATGATGGTGCAATTAGAGGGGCACAGGTGGTTGTCACTAAAAGGTGCCCTAGGGTAAAATTGGGATAAGGGTATATGGGGTAGAGGGATTGAGTAGAGAATTGGCCATCAATCGATACGGGGTAGAGTAGAGGGGCAGGAAGAGGAGAGGGAAAAGAGAGAGCGGAAGGAGGGGGTTGCGGGGGAGGAGAGAGAGACACATCTCTCTCTCTCTCTCTTTATCCCCTTAGACCCCCCTGAGGGCCCGACCTCCTCCCCATTCGTGTTGTAAGGGACCCAGCCCCACATCACAGGGCGAGAGTGAGAGAGAGAGAGAGAGAGAGAGAGAGAGAGAGAGAGAGAGAGAGAGGGAGAGAGAGAGACCACATCCCCCAACACCCACCAAAAATCTTTGACCACACCAACTGGCGAGCACCATTCCCAAAACGCTAGCGCGAAAACGGCTAACCCCAACAAATTTAAAATGTTGGAATTTTTATCTATAGAGTAGGATCAATAGCTTTGAATACAGAATTTGGAACAACCCTTAAAAATTCTGCCGCGACACGCATCGCGCACGCTGACAAAATCAAGTCCAGATCGCTAGCTAAAATTGCGTAGAGAATACTGAGAGAGAGAGAAAGAGAGAGAGAGAGAGAGAGAGAGAGAGAGAGAGAGAGAGAGAGAGGAGAGAGAGAGAAAGAAAGAAAGAGAGAGCGAGAGAGAAAAGAGAGGAACTATATGTACAAGGTGACGCCCAATCGTCGACTGCAAAAAAGCGGACGAAACAGCTGGTCAGTTGCGGGGGGGCGTTACGAGAGGAGGGTGGCGACGGCTTGCAATATTAGTCAACGTTCTGCTATTTTTCTGAAATCCTAAAATTCTGAAATAACTCCTGAAAGAAACAAACAAAAATTGATGGCATTATTTCTTCAAAAGGCTCCCCTAACTTCATTAACACCGGCCATCGTGTAGTTTTATCTCAGCGAGTTTTTAATAATAAATAACCGGTCAATCTGCCATTCTTCTCCTCCTTTCGGTGCTGTTCTTCACAACTTGGTGCTGGGAAAGCAAAGGTGCGGCCAAAGCGGTCGTCAGAGCCTGGCCATTCGTCCTTCAGTCGAAGCTGAGTGACGCCCGCTTTCACGTTCTTTTTTGTTCTAAAAGCATTTCCAATATTAAATACCTTCCCCATATTCGATTCTTGTTCTTCTCTTTCTTCTGCCGCCATGTTTTATGGCTTTCGCGCGCACCGCGGTTCTTCGCCAATCTTTCCAGATGTTGTACCATCATCATCAAGTACCTAAAATTGATGGATTGTAATGAAAAATGCCTGAAAAAATCCGCCATTATCTACTCTTCTGACTGCTTGTCGGCTTCACACCTTGGGATGGCATTTGCAGTGCATGGATGTCGGCATAACATCCGTTGACGTTCGATTCCTCAGTCCAGTCGATCATTGGCCCCTCAGTATTCGCTCGACTATCTAAAAAACATGCCGGGGAAGTACTGTGTCCAAAGACTAACCGCTCGATACTGCAATGAAGGCGTGGAAGGCATGTCGGCAATCGTTCAATGGCAGTGATCGCACCTAAAAATGGTTAGGAACACCCCACCCCGCTTTTCTTTCGACTGATGAGATAATGAGAAAAGGAAAGGTGAAAAGATGTCGCTATTTTCTAGCGAAATCCGGCAGTCTAAAAAATGCGCGACTGGCAATACAGGGCAAGACAATACAAATTGAAATGTGGATAATTATGTGAAAAGGGCAGCAAAAGTACGAATGATGTAATGGCTTGTCCCGTATTCTCCAGCTGGGGCTGAATCGAGGAAGTGGATGCACAGGTTTCTCGCGCCGCCACACGCTTTGTTAAATCGATGATAATAGCCACAGCGTTTCGATAACCTAAACAGTAGAATTTCAAGTATAAATCTAAATTCCCTACCATTTCCCTGTATTTCGGTTCGCTGATCTGGTTGAGCACCTCCTCCACTTCAAGCGCAAACTTCATTTCACGCCGCGTCAATTCCTAAAAAATTTCAAAAATAGTTTACAAATTTCAAATTACTTGTGTCAATCCCCAATGTAAAATGATTCGATTAATCTGCAGGCCATGGTGGAAGCGATGAACACTATCCCAGAGATTCTAAACACACAAAAATAAGCTTAAAATGTGCAAATTACAGCATGATTGGGGACACGATTGAGGGCGCCATCGATCCTTCGATGTCGCAGCCAGATGCCGAATTGGAAATCGTCAATGCCGGCTTCTTCTTCTAGCAAATCCGCTTCCATTTCATCGACTTCTTTTGGAGTCGGAGGAGCATCACGACGAGAATGACGCATCGATTTTCGTAGAGACTAGAAAACGTGAATATTATGGAATAAAGTCTACAAAATTACCTTCCGCTCCTCAATATGCTTCCTGAAGCTGCCAATCCCAGTGCGGGTCTCTTTCGCGGCAGCTTCATCATCGAGAGGTACTTCTTCTAGAAGTCGTCCACTCAACAACATCAACAGCATTGATTTGAGCTCGAACGGGGATATTGCCAACAGATTTTGGAGAGCATCAGAAGCCGAGAGATCTTTTAGGCGTGCCAATTCGGAGGCGAGCACCTAAAAGAAAGAGATAGGTTTAGAGAAACCCGATTTCTAAATACCTGAATGATCAGCCCAATTCTTAGACGGAACATTTCGACAAAAAGCTTGGGTTCAGTTCTGACAATCGAGCCGAGAGCCACGATAATTTCTTGACTGAGGGTGAAAGAGTTAGGGTCATCGTGGAGGGCTCGGAACATGATATCCTTCAGTTCTTCGTTCGTTTTTGGGCAAGTGATGGCTTCTTCTCGTTTTGACGGCATTCCCACCTAAAAATACGTATTTATTAGCTCTATTTCTTCAATACCGTAATTTGTTTTTGGCGTACAAGAAGATGCGTGACAGCTTTTCCTAGTTCTTCTAGTCGTTTGTTCAAAAGGCCAGCCGTTAGTCTTGTCAAGGCCCAATCTCTGCTTTCACATGCCTAAAAAAAGAGGTTTATATTCGTTATTAAACGATGCCTTAGAGTATATCTCTTCCATCAATGCTCGAATGGATACTTGTCGATTGTTGATGGTTACCGGGAAGTCGCCGCCACTAAAAACATCAAAATGACTTTTAGAAAAAGAGCTCCAAATACCATTTCATCCACAAGCAATGCAGAATCGACACTTGTTCTTCCAGCTGTGTCGTATCCACCAGCATTTCCACTAAATCATGCGCTTTCATGGCAGCCATTTGGGCACGTTGCACATCATCGAGACGCGCTCTAAAAATTTCCCATTTGTACTATGAACATTCCATTACGTTGCATCCGCTTCTGTATTCAACAAATTGCTAGCCAATGATGGTATTGGAGAGGCGCATCCCGATCTGTCAGCAGATCCTGGCTTCGAATCCACGTCTTCCAAATTCTTGCCCTTCTTCGCAAAGGCCAGTCTCAGTTGGACAAGGTCTAAAAAAAGTTATAAAAGTTTAGAAATCGCTTTATTACCCGAATCATTGCTATCCAAAACAATCGAACGATGTCTCATCGAGGCTTTATGAATGAGGTTATATGTTCTTCGATCTTTCATTGAATCCGTTCTTTTTAGCGAGCTTTTCATTGGCGAGCCATCGGACATTGGGCTATTCATTTCATTCTTTCTTCTATCCACTTCCGTTTGAAGATTGAAATGGACTCGTTCTGTCGCATCAGTTCTTTTCAGCAGATCTTCCGCTCGAGAGACACTAAAAACAACAGATTTTGCATTTTTTATGTTTGAAAATTACCCTCTAAACTCGAGTTTCAATTGTCCACAGTCACATCATCCAATTGTTGCCATTTGTTGTACACATTGCCGCCGCTAACTTCGTGCCCATTCCCCGATGATTGTTCAGCCATCTTCTTCGGAAGTTATCTAAAAAGTGCCGGGGAAATAAAAGGTTCGAGACTAACCGCAGGGTATTAGCAGAGATGAGGAAGATGTGAGAGCCGGGCATCCACAGATTCCGATACGATTCATCGAGATGATGTCGGCCTATAAAATGATCTATCAGGGGAAAGAAGCCAATTTACCAGCAAAAGAAGCCACTCGTTGCTTTGTCCTCGCCTGTCTCGATTTTTTGCCAGTTTTGCACCTAAAGAACGTTGATTATACTAATTACCTCATCCTTTTCGATTCCTTTCATTTGAATCGTCTCGACGGTCTCGATTCGCTCGTGTCCGCTGCGAAATAGACTCCTTTCCACGTCCATTTCGAGCCGCGTAGCATCTCAAAAAGTCGAAAAGACGACGTCATCTTAAAATGTACGATATACAAAGAATAAAATAACTCGTATAACTATTTTTTCCCTATTTATAGAGCTATTGCCATTAAAATCTAATGAATAATGCGCAAAATGGCCTTACAATCAACGGTTTTCTGTCGATTTCCTTGATAGCAGCCGGGTGATGTCTTGTTGCTGATCCCGGTTGAGCATTGCCCATTCTTCCTCTGATTACGTATCTAAATATGGCGGAGAAGTAACTCGAAAATGACTAACCGCTATACGAGACGAGGAAAATCTTCAGTCCACAGCCAATCGACCCGCCGCCGCAATGCTCTACCTGAAAATGGACCTTGTAGCAAAACTGAAGTAATTCTACAATCCAATTGACAGAAAACAGAAAATCAAAACAGAGACGCGGCAGAAAAAGAGAAAGAATTCCGCAGGAATGTTAAAATTCATAGACCTTTCAAGAAACGGTGCAGAAAGCAGAAAATCCCAGACCAGAATTCCCAATCATGCAAAACTCGTTTAATAAACGTTATAAAAGCTGTGAAACCGCGGCTTTTTATGCCAAGTTGCTGTCATTCCACCTCAGGATAAGCTAGTTGGAATCACGAATTTTGGGTCGGTAATTTGAATGTGAAACTGAAGTCGCGGGAAAATAGCCAAGTCAGTCATTCACCCAACGTCGGCGACATGTCGGCGCCGGTTCCGATCAAAAATATGAATGCGCTCTTTTCGAAAACGTGAGTGGCCCTATGAAAGCAACCGAAAAACCTCCGCCAGATTCCCCATCTCTAATGAAAGTCTCTATTAGGGAGCCATGTTTTACAAGTCTCGCTGCCCGGCTTTAGAACGTTAGAACTAACTTTCGCCTTCTCCTTCTCAGAGCCTAATTTTTCACGTGTAAATAGTGGAAGTGCTTCTAAACCGTTGCTGGCTATTCCTAAACGTGAAAACTTCCAAAAATTTTATTAAATCACATCAATACTATCGATTTTTCGGCCAAAATTTCGACTTTTTCAACCTTTTGTAAAGTTTTTTTGTATGAAATCTAATGATAGGTTACTAAAAACTATTAAAACACTGTTTATTAACTTACTGGGCATTTATAGACGGATACAAAAAAAATTCGCCGCCCTCCTCCTTATATTTGGCGGTTCTGGTTTGCACGCTGCTACCAGACTTAAAACTGAGTTTTTAGAGGAAAATTAAAGTCAGGCAAGAAATATCTTTTTAGTGGGGCTGATCTGCAACTCCGTAACCTTCATCCAGGACGCAATATGAGCGGCTTCGGCGCATTCCTGTTGGGTAAATATCTCCAGAACCACCCCCAGGTAAAATCTTATTGGATTCGCGACGCTTAACCCCGAAGCTCAAATCGACGCCTGAAAAATCGATGTAAACCTAGACAAAAAGAGTAGTCATGGAGTAGCCGAAATGCATGAATTCTAGTTTGCTTTGTTACCTTGTTATCGGTTAAAATATCGATTTTTTTGGTAGTTCTGTCCTTTCGCGCGAAAGGAGACGTTTTTAGGTGGGACCAAGCCCATCTTCTGTAGAATTTTTTGCTGATTGTTGTGATCCTAGCTTTTCGAAAACCTAATTGTAAGAATCTGCGAAACGAACCATCGTTCACCCCTCGAAGCTTCATAACTTTCTAACCGTTGTCGTTTCGCATATTTGGAAATGCTGCTCAAAATAGACGTGCTCACCTTTTGAAACACTAAAAACATCCCCGAGTAAGTAAAAACAGTCTTCCTGCTAGCACCCAGCCATTTTTTCGAATACATTTTAATGGATTCTTCGTCAACAGGCCAGGGCGAAAATTTTGAGATAATTTACAACCATGTAGAACAATGGGGAGCCTAGATACAAAATGCAAACCGTCTGTGAAGGGGGGGTTATACTAGAGAGCTACGACTTTCATTAACCAGAAATGTTTTCCAGTACCTCAAGGAGTATCGCAGTCGTCAAACCGCCACGCCCGCGGCCCGTCGCCGTGAAGTAGCGTTTTATCTAAGTAAAATGAAAGAAAATAATACAGGGTAGCCCAAAAACGGAGCCACCTGAAGTGTTGGGTTATTTGCCTCGGGAGGGCCGGAGGTTCGGAAAGGACACTAAAAATGTGCTTTTTTGCAATAAGACATCATTTATTTGCATCAGCGCAGTGATTTTTGAACGTCAATAAATGAAAGTGATGCGAAGTGCGCATAGAAATATAGGCTAATATTTATAGGGAGGGTAGTGGTGAAATCATTTTTCCACTCAGTGCTTTTCAAAAAGCTGATTGCGGGATGCCAGGCAAAGCATGAAAAAAATTTGAAAAAGGGTTTGGCAGGAAAAGCATCGTGCACCTAGTAAGATTCACAATTAACATTAAAACTCGGGCAAAATCCCTGCCCACTGAATGGGACTTTTTTTGGTGAAGGTTTCCACCCCCCCCGTTAAGCGAGCTTTACCCATTTCTTCGCCCATCAAGTCGGAAGTCATAATAAACCGTGAGCCGAAACGAATCTCAGGCAGCGAGCTGCCAAATTGTCGTTTTTGGGCATCGAAAATTCAAAACTTTTGACAATTTAGGTAGACTCGAACCCCAAGGCTACTGCTTCGGTTCGCAAAGCGGGGGTTTGTTTATTCTTCGAATGGGTTTCATAAATAACAAGTTAATCTACATCGTCTTATGAGAGTTATGAGAAAATGATTTTTGAAAATTCGCCAAGAGCAGCCCGTTTTGAAAAGTTCCAAAACAGCACCTAATTTTTTTTGCTTTCAAGTTACCTTACAAACTACTCATGACCGTGTCATTAAAGATCTGAGTGAGGGGGTCGGTTAGACACCGATTTCGGGTTCACAAGGCCGATCACCTTGACAAGCTGCTCTGCCTTTCATTTATATAAATAACGTTTCTTCGATTCAAAGCTATTTTGATATGTTCGTGATTTCTGTTTCGCTTCGTTTTATTAATCACACCCTGATGACTTCCGGTTTTTGGCCATCTGCGGGCAGATGACCGCCACGGGCGCCGGACATTCTCACTCTTTTCCCCGGCGCATCCCGGCATCTGCCTCAGTTTTCTGAAAGTTAAACGTTGTTCTTTCTTGATAAGGTTTTATAGAATATATATTTTGGATCTAAATTAAATAAATCAAACATTCAACTTTTGTTTTTAAATGAAATATAGAGGCTTTTAAATAACTATAAAATGTAAAGCTAAAAGTTAGTTGATGATATTTCGAATTGGCGATAAATGCCCGATCTGATTGGAAACAGCCGAAGCATTGATATCACAGCTGTCATCCCTCAATTCTTTCATTCAGATCAATTTGACACGGCCATGAGATATCCAGACACCTTTTTATCTATTTGATCATCTTGTTTTTTCATGATTCTCAGATACGAAGTGGATTTTGCAATAATCAGAAGTATCCGATCATCTTCTACGACTTTCTTTCAACAATTCTTTTCATTGAAAAAGGTTTCATGGAATTTGCTCGCTTTTCGTTTCTTCTTTTTCATTGCTTCGGAATTATGGAGATGATCGGATCCTTCTGGCTATTTGCACATTCTAATGCTCTTTTTCCAGAGGATCGAGCGGCCTCGGGCCACCTCCGCCAGCCGGTGAGTTTCGTTTCAAGTTAAATAATTCCAGTTTTGATCTAGCAATTTAGTAATTTCTAGTCTTGTGTGCGTTTTCTAGGTTTGTAATAGGGCGGTTAATAAAAAATGTATAGAAAGTTTGCTTTAGCGAAGGCTAAAACTATAAAATGTTTTGGAAACATCACTTTTGTAGACCTCATAATAGTCTGGCTGTAGGGTTATAAGTTGTATCAAAAGGCCGTTTGCCAGGGACCCGAACAAGCCTCGTCACAGTTTTTTCGACCCCGTTTTTTTGATGCCATGTGAACTCAGCTGAACCCTCACGGCCGTGTCACGGCCAAATCCGGTGCCACGGCCGTGGGAGTGGCGGTGACACGGCGGTGGGAGGCCGGCATCCGTGCCACGGCCGTGTGAGGGTCTCGTGTCACGGCCGTGTGGCGGCGGGGTGTCACCGCCGTACGAGTGGCGGTGTCACGGCGGTCGGAACTGGGGGGCGGTGTGACGGCCGTACCAGAGGGGGTGTTACGGCCGTATGGCGGCATGGTACCACGGCCGTACAAATGGCGGTGACACGGTCGTGTGAGCTGGTAGTAGTATCACGGCGGTTAATTCAATTAAACATTTCATGGATATTCGGACGCTTCACAGGGCCTTCAGGAACTGCTAAAACGATTTCAAGGCTCCGAAGGTCATTGCCGAGCCCTGGTCATGGATCAGTCATCTCTCATAGGGGCAGACGAGTTAGACCGGTCAGATTAGACAAGTAAGTCATCAGACATTAATTAGCAGAAATAGTCGGTAGGTCGCTATCGATCCTCAAAACCGACTTTCAGGTATGCTTCGGGTGTCTCCATACGATTATAGGCGGACAGACACCTTATCAGCGCTAAAACGACCCCACCAGACACAGCCGTGCCACCGGCTGGGGCACGGTTTACGGAAGTATGCCGTGCCACGGCCGTACAAAATTGCCGTGACACGGCCGTGAGCGTTCAGCTGAGTAGAAAAGATATTTCTTTTTGCTCTTTTTTGCAATAGATTTGCCTTCTCCTTTAGAGTCGATTGAAATCCGCGGATTGCCAAAATACAGTCAATTTTCACACTTCACAGTTTTCGTGCAATTTGGTTCAGTAGTTCTCGAGGTAACTTTTGCAGGTTCTCAACTTTAACACCCATTTAAACCTAGAGAATGAACTTTTTAAAATCTCGAAATGCCGCCACCCTACTAATTCGACCAGCCTCTTTCGAATGGCATCAAAAAACTGGGTCAAAAAAAAACTGTGCCAAGGCATCCTGCCTTGGCACACAGCTGTTCGACTGACCGGCGGACGGTGGGGTTTTTTGTTAACAAGAAATCTTTTGACCGGACGATATAAAACAAATGA